CCTACACATCTGAGCTATTCACAGTAACTGGGTATACACTACAATATATAATGAATACTATATAGTGAACCAATAAAAAACTAAAATATAAATTACCTCAATGTTATCAATAAACTCTATATATTCTCCAATCAGCTAAGCTACCAACAATAGGTCGTTATATATCACAATGCTATATGGCGAAAAAATGGGTGGATTCTTACCCTCAACTTTAGCAACACGGATAGCTATGGGCCCCGTTCAGACGGACGAGTTCATCCGTGGTCGGAACAGAGGAGGGGGAGAGAGACAGCTGCGAGGCGCTGTTATACTCCATGTTGTAAACCATGCCATTAACCGTGGTGTGAGAGGTATTAAGAGTCAATGCCAGCGAAAGAGCTGCGGTCTGAAGGTCATCGTAAAATACAATTAATTAAGAACGGAAATGGTTTAAACATCTTTCCAGTGGTTACTAAGTCCAGAATCCATCTTCTCGGTTGAAATTGTCTCTGTGCTTGTATATGTGAATGGCCTCATGAACGAATCTCTCATGGTAGCCGGTTGGTTTGCAAAGAACCTCCGTCTTGGAGAAGTCAATGTCATGTGAGCCCACTGAATTATAACAGTGATCTGCCACGGCAGAGGAGTTCGTTCTACCGTGTTTCAAGTCTGCTTTATGTTCGCGGATGCGGTCCGAGATATGTCGTTTGGTTTCTCCAATGTAGCTACTACCACAGAGGCACTTTAGTTTGTAAACGCCCGGGTACTGTATGTCTGGAACAGCATCTTTTACAGATGGAACTAGATCACGGATTTTATGTACTGTGTTGAATCGGACCTGGATCTTGTGTTTATTCAGGATTTTGGAGATCTTTTTAGTTACCCCTGCAATTAGTCACATCTCTGCAGACTTAGCAAGATCTGAAATCGCTGCAACCCTCAAAAACGCTAAGTTGCCATTGTAGTGTATACCCAGTTACTGTGAATAGCTCAGATGTGTAGGCCTTGACTTCAACATAGCCATTTCTGTGACCAGTCACAAGCTAATCACTCAGTTATTTCAATGCTAAATTCGCCTAGTTATTTCAATGCTAAATTCTCCTGTTTGATTTGTACTAGGTGCCTCTGTGAATGTGTATGCTCTGACTTTAACATAGCTATTTCTGACCAGTTACAAGCTAATCACTCAGCTATTTCAATGCTAAATTCTATGCGAATTCCTTTGTCAAGGGGTGCCTCTGCGGATGTGTATGCTTTAACTTTAATATAGCCATTTCTGTGACCAGTCACAAGCTAATCACTCAGCTATTTCAATGCTAAATTCTATGCTAATTCCTTTGTCAAGGCGCTTTGTTTCTTCTCACAGAGCTTAAAGGTCGCGATCTGAGCGTGGCTTTTTCGCTCCAGCGCTGTCCTCCAGTCTCGTCCCTTCACCTGATGAAGGCTGCTTGTGTTGTGGCCGAAACGTCGTGAGAATTTTATTGTGTTATTTTATTTGATCAATTTATTACTTTTTTCTCATTCTACGTGACTTTACCGAAAGAACCAAAGAAGATGAATCCTTGCAGTCACGAAAGCTTTAAATCGAAATCTTAACACCTGTTTTGTTGCCAGAAAAAAGGGGAAACCCCTATTATCACAGTTTCACTTTGATGGTGCATGCCTTTAAAGCACTATGTATGGTATATTTTTGCACGAGGTGCTATAAAAAAAGTTTGATTGAAGTTCGCTTTGAAGCATTTGGAGGGATGGGGAACGAGACAAATTCTCGACCCGAGCCAGTGTAGTTTCTAAAAAAAAAAAAGAGGCGTGTGAAGAATGTGTAAACATTGCGGTCCAGAACTCACGTGCAACCACCCAAAGAATTAGGTAGTCACTTATGAAGGTGGGCAGTGGGCGCAACCGTCGCCCATCGTGGTGAAGTATGGTCAAACGACCGCAACAAGCTCCCCGCGTGCGGGAAAGGGCCGCGCGATGATTCGGCAGCGGATTAAGGGCTGTAAAAATATGGACCACTGAAGTGCGAACATGACACCGCAGATACCGGCTCAAGCTATAAAACACGTGAATCTCATGAGAGGCGGTTTGAAGCCGAGTGCGTATCCCCGTGGTTTATCAGAGGATGCGTCACAGTAGCCAGCGCCTTTTTTTACACAATTGTCAAGGGGGCTCCCCACCCCCCCCCCAATCTAATTGCCCGTGGCGTCGTTTCGTTGCAAGCGCCCATTTATTGCCGCTCATTATTGCAGAGCGCGAGACGGGCGAGTCCCATCGCGCTTGATGGGGGCAGCAAAACAAAGCAGCACCGTCAGCACATCTTGGAGTCTCTAAAACAGTCTGCGGGTTCAGAATCAAAAGTTTTTTGCAAGCGCAGAATGGATCGTAAAGATGTCCTTTCTGAAAATGATGAGCATTGCGGAGCGCGTGGGGGCTCCAATGTAATTTCAACAACAACAAAAAACCACACACACGTATCTTGCGATGTTTACACATGGTGTTCTTTATCAATAATCATATATAGTTATGAACAACAGCGGATGCAGTCTTAAATCGCCCACCCGCATCCTTTCATACAAAACTATAGGATTTACAAGACATGTCATTTATCGCCGGGCCATTAATAAACGCAACGCAAGTATTGCCACGTCCTGCGTTGCCGCCACCCCCATGAGCAATTGCAAAACCACGTGGCGCCAGTTATTCTTTTTTTTTACTTTTAACGAACTGCCCAGAATAGTCCAGGAGGAAAAGTAGCAAGGACCAAATTCCGCAAATAAATACAACCGGTATCACATGACACGTTGCCAACAGGACGATTAAAACAAGTTTCGCGTTCAACAACACGGCGAAACACGAGAGCTACTGGAGCAGCTTGCCAGCGACCCCCCACCCCCCCGATATAAAAAAAAAACTCTGATGTCAGCCACATCCAGCCCCCCCCCCACCACCGCTCCACCACCCGGCCACATGCTGGGGGACTATGCCTGAAATTAATAACTGTACCGCCACTGAAAGTAGCGCAACGCGAACAAAGCAAATCTGAGCAGAACCACTGAATCCACGCAAAACAATGGCACGTTCGTCTCGATAGAGAGACGAGGAATAACTCATTAGGCAGTGGCGCATGAAACAATGTGTCCATTAAATTTTGATTTAAAGCTTTCGTGACTGCAGTAATTCATATTCTTAGTTTTTTCGGTAAAGTCACGTTGAAGAGAAACAACAAAATAACAAAATATATATAAAACAATAAAAAATTCTCACGACGTTTCGACCATAACTCAAACGGTCATCATCAGGTGTGTCGTTTGAGTTATGGTCGAAACGTCGTGAGAATTTTTTATTGTTTTATATATATTTTGTTATTTTGTTGTTTCTCTTCAACGTGACTTTACCGAAAAAACTAAGAATAATGTGTCCATTGAAAGAATGGCTAATTAGTTGTCGACTCGTAAACAGCACTTGTGCACAAGCGTGTTAAGGGTCTGTGCGTGCGTGTGTATCTATACTTAAACACACATTTTGTGTCAACAACGGCAGCGTGGTGGTTAGTGAATTGTGCCGAGAACACGGCTGGGCACGAGTTTGATTCACGCTCGAGGCCAACATGAGCAGTGCTACATCTGAACCGATTCTGGACCACCACAACTGGGTCGACCCGGCTTCGAGTAGCCGATGCAGTGTGTACGCATCGGCACTGGGGAGACGAAGGTGGCTGGGAGTGGTGCTGGCCACACCAACCCCCTCTTCCAGTACCGTGCCAGGCATCGTAGGTGCTTGCGAACAGCAATTGCCCCCACAGTCTGTGTAGGCTACACAGGGGGGGTCCCTGTCTTTATATACACAGTGTATACATAGTTTAAAGGTGTCTTGCCTAGCAATTAACAAAAAACGTGGAACCAGACATGCTAACTTTAACCCGTATTATAGTATTTATCCCAAAAAAACTGAAGTGTAGAAGTAGACACGCTTCCTTTAAACCCTATTGCATAGTATTTTAACTACAATGTGGAACCAGACAGGCTTAATGCAAGTCGTGAAGGGGGGGGGGGGGGGGGGGGGGGGGAGAAGCCTTAGCGGTGAAAGAATCCTCGCGAAATGCCGTACCTCGAGACGTCACCGAGATGGAAAATTACTCTCACATCTTATCTCCCCGAATTGTTCGCGTTGCCAACGCTCGGCTGCCCGAGGGACCTGGGGGAGGCGGGGGGGACTATCGCGGCACGGCTCTTTCATTGAATTCCCATTTATAACTTCGCGGGGGGGGGGGGGGGGGCGTAGGGGCAGAGGCGGCCGCGTTATAATGTTTATTGTGCGAGGATGCAGCTCTATTGGGAATATCATTCTTGGTCAGCGAGCGAACGAGCGAGCGGTCGGTCGCTGTCGGCGAGAACAAAGCGCCCGTCGCTGGGGACTGTGCCGCAAGTAGATCGCGGGTTGCTTTTAAAACCCGCGATCTATGGATTCTGTCAACGACACATTCGATGTGCGAGGGAGGTGGGGTGGTTGGGGAAGGCAATTAGTAAGCGTAGGGTGGTGGTGGTGGTGCAGTGGTAACGATTGTGAGAGGCCTGGGTTGGATACCTGACGTGCGTGCCTCTCTGCGTGGAGTTTGTAGGTTCCCTCTCGCTCTGGCTCTACCCCTGCATGGGTTTCTCCTCCGGGTTCTCAGACTTCCTCCCAGAGATAAAAATAAAAAAAAGGATGCCATGCAATTGGGATTGGCCAAACATCCTAATTCTGAAAAAAATACCTGCAAATTACTCATTTGGGATTACACATCACTCTTTGGTTCTATTCGGTAAAGTCACGTAGGTAAAAATAAAACAAAAATCACGACGTTTCGGCCATAACACAAGCGGCCTTCATCAGGTGAAGGGACCAGACTGTCTCGAGGACAGCGCTGGAGTGAAACACAGCCAAGCTCAGACCGCGACCTTAAAGGTCCTCGAGACAGTCTGGTCCCTTCACCTGATGAAGGCCGCTTGTGTTGTGGCCGAAACGTCGCGATTTTTGTTTTATTTTTTACCTACGTGACTTTACCGAATAGAACCAAAGAGTATGGATCCTTGCAGTCACGAAAGCTTCAAATCTAGAATTACACATCACGTCGCCCCGACCACGAAACATCGGCAGGACACTCCTGAAAACTGTCTAAAGACTCGGTGTGAGGCTTTTCTGGATAAACGAGCGTAACAATAATGAAAACGCATAACACACGCAGGTTAAAGACATCACTCGGACTGCCAAGGACATTGTGTGTTTAGAGATGGTCTCTACGTATGTATGTACAACTTCTTTTGCACCGTATGTAGCCAACCGCACTAATCGGAGGTGCGGGGGAAGGTTCAGGATCGAGGCGAACGATGGAGTGGCAGCCAACAGAGAGGGGAACGTGCCCAAGAGGACATCCACCACGGAGTGATCGGTTACTGTGTAGGCACGAGGTGGATTACAACATCGCAGGACAGAGAGATGGCGACGTCGGTGGATTACAACTACAAACTATTTTTTTGTTTTACCAGCTAAGGCCCACTGAGATATTGTAGCTCTTTTTTTCAGAAGCGACCTGGCCACAAATAATTTATTGCAGCCAAATACTCTAAACGCGCATTTCTAAATATGGAGGGATAAAAACCGAAGGTCCCAGACAAAAAACACGCGCCTACGGTGAGAACACCCAAACTCCAAATATACCGCTGGCGTCAAGGTCGAGATCGAACCCACGACCTCCTGTATACCAGGCGAGGTATTAAACATCTCGCTTGAAGCCGACGATGATAATGCGTTGTATATCACTGACCGTGTCAAGAATTCCAACTGCACTGGGGAGATTGCGACTTCCAATTGTAATCAAGGAAACACAAACAGCGCTGCGCATTCCCCCGTTGTCGAGGTGTGGGGAGCGTTGGCTTACTCCGCATCCCTTGTCAAGAAGCGGCTTTTGGCCGACCGTTCCCAGCGTCAATATTAAACCGCTGCGAGCTGTGGCGGTCGACACGGGAGGGGCGGGCGGGCGGGCGCGTGTGCTCCCACTACAACCTCATCCGCAAGCCGCAAGCGAAGGGCAAACATTTGCCCCTGGGATTAGACTCCCGCGCGCGATTGGACGGCCAGCAGTGGAGAGGATTGATGGCGGGGCCGCGAGACAAAGGATACGATACTTCTCACTGCGCTTGGCCAAAATCTTGCTTGCATTGGCTAGGCAGTGAGCACGCGCACACACAAGCACTTTTGACAATAAAAAAAATTAAAATATTTAATTTGTATTCCTTTTCAAGGAACACAAGGGTGAGGCGGTGGATTGGTGGTCTGTAGCGCACTGTGCAACAGACCCATCGGCCCGAGTTAGAATCCGGGCCATGACTTACATCAGTGTAGATTGGCATCTGAACCGGTCCTGGGAGCATGACCCTTTCCCGCAAACGTGCACTGACCTGCGTGAAAGTATGGTCAAACAATCCCCATTGCTGAAAAGGCATGAGGAGGCCTTTCATCCAGCACTGGATGGGCAAAGGGCTGCATATATATACATACAAAAAAAGGAACACAGAATCTTGCGTACCTTTAATGCTGCCAACATGTTTATCACTGGGTGGTTATCAGAGATGGGACGTCCCCTAGTGGGCAAGAGCATGAGACGGAATGAACCAACAGTTGCGGGAGAGCACCGGGCGTGGTTGGGCGATCTGTGGCGGCGTTGTCAACCGGAAGTGGCGTCGCATTGGGAGGTTGTGAGGGAGGAGAGGAAGGGTGGGAGGCGACGCCGGTTAGGTCTTGGGTTCTTCGACTGCGGCAGCCTCCGGGTTCCGGGTGGCATCTTGCACGAGTGGGATGATGCAGATGGCGTTCTTCGCCTCCTTCATCCTCCACCAGCGGCCGAGCCTGCGCGCGGCGGACGCACGGATGCCGCGTGGTCACACCGCGGGCGGGAGAAACGCGCCGACAACAACAGAGGCCGCGCACCAATACTAATAAAAATATGGGTGGTGCGCGCATCAAAGTTCACGTCGAGGTTACTTGGTTAGAAGGTGATAATAATTGACACTTAAAATTAATCATAAGAAAAGGCCTTTTACAAGAAAACAAATTCTCCAGGCAGGATTAAAATAAACTGAGGGACTCGACAGATCGAATATTCTATGGAAGTTAATTCCACAGCTTGGGGGCAACACGGGAAAGAGATTTGCACCGCTGAGATTAAACCATTTCCCATTCCGAAGACATACCTGTACGTCATCAGTTCTTTATCGGTACCTCTGCAGGTCGGAAAAAACATATCGAGGCTCCTACAAGGCCATGCGGGAGGGGCGTGTGGCAGTTTGGCACCAGCTATCATAGAGTGCGGTCCAGTCACTACAGTTCTCTGTGGTGAGTACAATGTCTTTAAAAATAACAGCGCTATTACGCCTCTCTCAATAAAATCAACGCTGAACCTTTCGCACGCTACGAGATTCAGCGGTGAATGGGACAACCCACCCTGCAAGTTGCAGATGTCTCGGGGAACGGCTAAAGGGAAAAGTGGCTGTTAAAAAGTGTATTACCGGAGCCTGCGTGTACAACTCTACATAATTAATGCACCGCGGATTCTAACGCAAGCCGAGCTGTAGTCCTGTGGGCGGAGGTCACTTTTCCCACTGTAGGTCTCAGACCCAGGCAGGAATGTAAATATTAAAACAAGTACGCGATGAGTGTTACACCCTGCGATGATTTTAAAAATAAACACAGGGGGAGCTGCATGGAGGCGCGGTTAGCCGAGTTCAATTCCTGGCCGCGATTAACGTCAGCAGTGGGAGAGATTCATAATAAAGGTTTTTGGGTTAGATCATGTAAGTAACCCTCCACCACCCGACACAGCCAGTAAGGTTTGTCACGTAAAAAACGTGCCAATTAGTTACTAATTCAGCCCACCGGTGTGTTGGAGAGTAAATCCACAGCATTTACAATTTGATTTTTGATTTAAGAATATTTACAATTTGAATACGAAGTTTTGCTGGTAATTACATCCAGCATCATCAGGTGATTTGCCAGAATAGTGAAAGCCATCCACCTGCTTCCGGTCTTAAATAGAGCAGCAGGGTGACGTCATCACAGAACCCATTAGGTGCAGAGATCAGAGGCGGAGGAAGGGGGGGGTATTATTAATTATGATAGATTAGTAATCAGTTAATTAGCATGTGTATCCTCTATAAGGAATTGTAGTTGTAAAACGCATTGCTTAATAATACGCTTCCAGGCCGCACTAAACCTGTAGCAGTCAGAGGGGAGAGATGGTTGAACCCGTTCCCTGAGACACTGCCGAGTTCACTTAAGCCGTAAATGAGTCCCCCTGGTGCAGTGTAAACACTGCTTCTTTCTTATGCCTGACGGAGATGCAGAGCAACAGCTACAATTTCACATTGAGGTGGTCATGCCAGCTAATCGCGTCAGGAGTAATCGCTGCGATGTCTCCTTCGTATTTGTGGATCGGGGCACTGCGTCGTATTACGTTGTACGGTCTTGTGTTCTGGATGACCAGAGACGCACACTCCTGGAGAGTTTTTAATTATCCATTTGTGCATCGGGTAGCCATCCGCATTTGCTACCACGATTTGTGCAGTGGATGCGGTGTTTTGGGTGGACCATGGGGCTTCGTGGGAAGCCAGGGACCTTCAGCGCTGGGTCTTTCACACGCCGTGCACATGCGAGACTGTGTGCAGTGGCGAACGTGCGCATACCTGTGCTCTTGCCCTACGCCGGCCACCAAAAAGGAGCCGCAGCTGGAGAAAGCGAGGACGTTGATGAAACCGCTCTGCGAGGAGAGAGGCAGGGGGCAAGATGCGACGGGCGCGCACGTGAGCGTGCGGGCGTGTCACAACGCGCGCCCTGTAATACGCCCCCCCCCCCGCCACACAGATGACGGAGGTGCAGCCTTGCGAACCGCTTTTGAAAAGATCACTCGAATATCGCCCCCACCAACCGCCCAAAACATTTTCTTTCGTCCTCCGAGAAATGTTTTCAATATATAACACTGCCACAATAGCACTGCAAACGTACACTTCGGCAATCCAGTACATGGTCCACAATACGATCCTTCGGCAAGTCATTATGAAAATCAACCACGGTCTACCCACTGCTGGATGAAGGTCTCACCCCACCGTCGCCATCCATTCATGGTGCGGCGATGCTCCAATCCATCATCGCACATGCGCACACGAGCCCATCTCACCGCTCCATCTACGCAGTAGTCATCCTCCCGGTCGCGTCGTCCCCTACGACTGCAATTCTGTGGCCAGTCTCGTCCTCGAGCCTGAGTCCACTTGTGATGTCTCTCATTATGCATTTTTGTTGCTTGAACCGCATGTTCCCCTTTCTTTCCCGGTGCAATTCAAAGCATGCACGTATCTCCTCCGCAAATATTTGTGCGCTTTTGAGCTTTTGAATGGAGCCATCCAGTTTTAGAAACTACGGCTTATTTATACGGATAAGGCCAATCGTTTGACGCGTACACAAAACTCTTTGTGCCATCACCATCCCAGTATGGATGAAGAAGTCGGATCGTAAGAGTATGTACAGCATTTTGAGCATCTTTCCCCGATCACGATGGGTTGATGAATTATTTCGATCCAAATTCCAAGTCCTAATTGATAGGGATATGATGCCACAATTATAAAGGCCACTTCATTGTCATACCGATGATTACCAACATCCCTAGAGCCTACATCTGGAATTGTCCTCATTTCCAAACCCGCTTTGCTTACCAGCGGCACGGTGAACAGCGGCTCCAGCGACTTGAAGCTTGCCCCACATTTCCACAGTCGTATGTGCCCGTCGTGCGAGCCTGCAGCAACACAGAGACACGGGCGTGAGACACAGGATATCTCTTTACCACAGTTCTATGCAACTTCTGTAAATCCGAACCGTCTGCCACGCAGCACGCTTACTGCCATACCGTCCGTTCTATGCAACTTCTCGAAAGCCTTCCCATGTAACATGCTCGGCCGCTATGGCAGGCAGCTTTTCGGGGTGTCGCTGCGTGAGATGTTAACTCTCTCGCCTGGTACACAGAAGCTCGTGGGTTTCATACCGCGACCATGGATGCTTGTATATTTGGAGTTTATATTTCCTCCCCGTGGTCACGCGGATTTTTCTCCGGGTCCTCTGGTTTTTCCCTCCACATTTCAGATCATTTGGCCGCAGTAAATTTCCACGTGATAAGCCACATTGTTGAGGTATCATTACGTGTGCCCAGGTCGTGGATTCACTCTTCAATGCACCGGTGGGCTAGAGTAGTGAACTATTTGTCTTTTGTCAACGTGACACATTTTTGCTGATTGGCCGGGTCGGGTGGTGGAGGGTTACGACACATTTATAAATAACGCGATCTAACCCAAAAACGTTTATAATGAAAGAGCTATATGTGGGCCTTACCTGGTAAAATAAAAAAGTTTAGTTTAGCTCAATAGGCCTCTCCCAAAATATACTGACTGGCTGAACAGGGGCCTGCACAGGCACAGTTTGGCTGCCGTACCTCGACCCAACCTCTGCCCAATCCGTGGACGACTTTACAGATGAACAAACACAAGCACGCACATTCACACCGAAAAGGTGTCAGTGCTGACGGCAGGCCGAACGCGGTAAAAATTAACTCTGCGCACAAAGCAAACGTCAACGGCGGTTCCGAATCACAGAATGCGATTAGCCAATTTGCAAAAACACATTCGGATCGCGCAGATTTCACAGTTAATTAGATGTGGTGTTAACCTCTACATTTTACCCGCATAATTAAAATAAGTAATCCCCTCTTGCACCTCGTTACGGAACAGACCGACGCTCTTGCGCTGGCGTTCTGCGTCGTTGCGTGGGATGGTGGTGCTAGATTTGCATACTAAATTAGGTCGTTTGCACGCAAGGGCCAAATTAAAAACCCGCCGACTTGTACCACGGGTTCCCAGCACAGCACGGCGGCTCGGCGGTAGAGCGAGAGCGGCTGGCAACGGGAAGGTTACGGGTTCAATTCCTGTTTTGGTGGCTGCCGCAGTCTGGCAACCCTCTGGGGGGGGGGTCACAATACCCACGAGTACCGCTTTGTGTGGAAGTTAACAGCGGTTGTGCTACGGCTAGACTCGCCTATGCCAAAGTAAGGTTTCAATTTCCACGACTGGCTCAGGGTCGTATACAGGGGATGAGCACCATCTCAAAGCTCATTCGAGCAGGCAATCACTTCACTTGTTGCATGCCCAATGTTAAAAACCCATCGTCTTGCTGCAATGGGCTCGCGCCACCAGAGCGTGGCAACAGCGGAGCCAGCCTTATTAGCGCCAACGCTCGCGGAGGGGTTGTTACATCGTTTGCAGCGGCTGCTTGCGACTGCCTGCAAGCCACCAGTGGCCGCTGCATTCACCGCGACGTTACAGAATGAATTGATTCTCCGATTGAATCCTGACCCCGAATCGCCACTATCGATCGAGCGTCGTGGCTGAGTTGGGAATCGTTACTCATCTACGATTCGTAAACAAAATAAAGGCAGACAATGCCCACCGCATACTTCCCCCGTACCCTTCACATTCCAAAAAAATCATAATTTTTTTTGTACACATCCCATCAGGCAAACAGTAGCGGTATTCTGAGAGTAATTTTTTTTGTACACATCCCATCAGGCAAACAGTAGCGGTATTCTGAGAGTAATTTTTTTTGTACACATCCCATCAGGGAAACAGTACGGTATTCTGAGAGATTTTATTTCCAGCAACATCGCTTTAATAGAAGCAATCTAGGGACCGTGAAGGCAGGAAGAATAGATATTGGAGCATACAAGTAAAGTACAACGGATTTTGCCGAGCGGCTTTCTGCTGCCCACCAATCGCAACCCCCGCAGCAGCCAAATGCAGATGTCATAATAATGATTATTACTCGCACTTATCAGGCACCTTTCAAAATGTCTCAAGGTGCCAAAGCATAGTGGTTGCCCATCCAAGTACTATCCAGGCTCAACCCAGCTTTGCTTCTGAGACGTAACGAGGACGGGCTGGTTTTAACTGCAGCTCGCGCGCACACGTATGTGTGTATTTGTTTAGACTGTGTGCTTGTGCACGCGCACGAGTTGGGCGAGCGGTGGCGTGGTGGCGTGGTGGCGAGCGCACTGCGCTCCACAAAGCCCGGCCACCTGGGTTCAAACCCTGGCCAAGGCCAACATCAGTGGCGAGCGATATGTACGAACCGGTCTTGGGCCACCCTCTAGGCCGACTCGGCCTTAAATGCGTACCTGGTGCGGCGTGCAAACACCAGCAGCGGTGAGACAAAAGCAACCCGGGCGTAGCCTTCATAGTCGCTCGCTTAACTGCAATTGCCCCAACAGAGTCCGAGCAGGCCACACGCTGCTGGGAGGGGGGGGGGGGATCTCTTTGCGTCCGTGTACATGCGCGGTGCACGAGTTATAGCAGGGCCCACCTGAGGCCACCACGTCGCTGTTGAGCATGGCGGCCACCGAGGTGATCCACTGCGGCTGCTCCAAGCCGGGCTCGCCCAGCATGCCGTGCGCTTTCTGCACAGTGGCCAGCGGCCTCTTCTTGTGCAGGCCCCAGAGCGCCAGCGAGCTGTGCGGAGAGAGAGAGAGGGAGAGCGCGGAGCACGTTAAAAGCACTCACACAATTTGCATCCCCACTGTGCTATCAGCATCGGAACTCCCGCAAAACAGCGCGACCCTTCGTGCTGTGGAATGGCCGCCGATCGGATTTTGGTTCCCAGCCACGGCTGCCGTCGGCGTTGAGTGACATTTGGAGCGGTTCTTCTATCGGACCCGACCGGCCGGACCTCCCCCGTGCCCCTCCTCCCCCTTACCCCCCCCACCACCACTGCCCAATGTGATGGAGTGTCATTAACAACAGCCGCCACCACAATTGGTGTCACCACGGTGCCTGTGGTTGGGCCAGCTGCACTATGAGGCCACGTGAAGTGTCGAAGGTTCGGTGACAGGTCACGGAACAGACCAAGGTGCCATGGGTTGACTGAGATGACTGGCAGGTGCACCAATCCTCATCACTGGCATGCTGTGGGAAGACCTTCTTTTAGCAGTGATTTGACAAGAGGCTGCAAATTGTTATAGGCGATGGCTGATAATGAAAATAACAATAATTTGACCAATGTCATTTATAATTTATTATAAATTCTCTTGTCCTTCTACCGAAATCAACCGTTTGGCAAACACATTTATTCCAGCCATGACGCCTCAAAAGCAAAACTGGCATTTAACGTTATTACAGAGGTACCAGCGCTTAATGGACAAATCACTGCTTTCATGATTTGTAATCAATCGTACACTGTAATTACGCAGATTGGACTGCATGCTTTAACGTTCGTTGCTCATTCATTCCTGCGCCATAGATTCGCATGCAGCCGGCATCACTGCCTCGCCACACGGCCGGCTTCCAACTCATCCTGGGCTAACGAAAAGCGCGTTGCGTGCGCGTGGGTTTAGACATTCACTGCCGCCTCAAAGCAATCGGATTACTTGACGACGACGCCTTTGCCGTCACATGGGCACCGGGTCGCCGACCCTCGATGAGCGAGGAGCGGGGGGGGGGCAACTAAACTGAGCAACTTAAAAAGGCACCAACGATCACGGTTGAAATCGAAAGCTGGACAAATCCGCCCAACGCACGAGCGATAGCGACCGGCGCTCGCTGGCGACGAGCGAAACAAATGCGTGGGCTTGACGCGGCTATTTGGAGCTTGCGCGTCTCTCTCCCCGTGGCCGTGTGGATTGTCCCCGGGTCCTCCGGTTTTTCCCCTCCACATTTGGAAACATGCGTTCAGAGTATTTGGCTGCTATAAATTTCCGCTCGACAAGCCACTTCGTTGCGCTATCATTTGCGATAGCCATGTGGCTTCTGAAAGAGGGCCACAAAGCTCAGTCGGCCTTGCCTCGTAAGTCTAGTTTTTTCTGCACCAAGTTCTCAGCGAGCAACCTTCCCGCACCGGCCAGGCCACAGACCCGTGCACACGGCACGACGGCAAAAACGTGGACAGAGGCACTCACCCGTCGTCCGCTCCAGACACCATGTGCTCCTCGTTGATCAGCTGAATGCAGTCGATGGATCCCCTGCGGGCAGACGACAAGAGGGCGACGACTTGTTTAGCCTTGTGCCCTCTTTGCACGGATACGCTCCACAAACCGGGGGTGGTAACCACGTATAGCTGCACTGTGGGGGTGAGGCACGAGGATCGGAGATTGAGAAATACTGCCCTGAGAGACGATAATCCACGTCTAACATCCTTAAATAATAAACAACCTATCAATCGGTGTTAAACATTCAGGACTCCCGTTTCTCATAAAACACTCCGGCAATTAAAGTGCTTGGCACCAATAACAGTCACAATGGGAAAAGGCCAAATTTGATCCAAAAGTGTCTTGTTAATCTTTACACGGCTCACTGTTTTATAACCAAAAACTTTCTGGAGATAATGATTGCATAATTTATCACCCATGTGTCAATCCAATGCTGGATTAAAAGGCTTCCCCCAGATCTTTGACCATACTTCACCTTGCTGGTCCATACGGGTTGATGAAGGCGGGGTGGGGCGGCATTGTTTCAGATAGAGCTCGCCACTGATGTTAACTTTGACCGGGAATCGAACTCAGATCGCCAGGTCCATAGCACAGTGCGGTAACCACTGTACCATCGTGCCACCCCTTTAACTGTAGATATCACATCTATGTGAATAATTAGGCAGATAACTTTTTGACAGTGGAAGCGCTTGTACACGAGTCATGTGCCCACTCTAAGTTAAGAAAACGCAGACTATCTCTGTACTGATCTATCGAGCTCAATTAAGCCTGGGACCACACGAACAAAAAAATAATCTGGAACGTTTCTGCAGCCTTGGAAATTAGCCCCATTACAACAATAAACCTCTCCCTCCTCCCCTGCACTGAGCATTGATGTGGCCGCCTTGACGTCAAAACGCTGGGGTTCAATGTCGGGTCAATATCCGGGGGCCGAGATGAGCGCAGAGATGCATTTCCCACCGGGGCTTTTTGTTCCAAAAAATGTCCAACGTGGTCACACTCTTGACAACCTGTATTGAATCCAGTCCTTCATTTGTTTCTCTTTAACCACCCCACCCCCACCCCGCCGAGCCTGAAGCGCCACCTTTATAAAATCCAGGGTTTCATCGTTCCCACTGCACGATAGTAAATTAAAAACAGCCGCAGCAGAGTGATGACCGGCAACTCTCGAAAATGTGGGGTAATGGGAGGGAAGGAACTGCCGCTATAAAACCAAAACAAGGATAATGCTAAAGATGCATATTCAGCGTTTAATAAAACGTATTGATCGCTTACATACGCAGGGAACGAGGGCGAAGAATGCGTCTTCCGTTATTATTTTGTCCTGACGTAACCGCTTTAACTTGCCGACGTGTTTGCGGTCATGTGGGAACCGAGGCCCGTCGACGAGTGAGGAGCAGCTAAATAATCGAAATGGCGCCACCACAGTGGCGAGATGTTAACTCCCTCTCGCTTGGTATACAGGGGGTCGTGGGTTCGAGTCCAACCCTGACACCTGTATTTGGAGTTTGCGTGTCTTTCTCCCCGTGATCGTGTGTATTTTTCTCCGGATCCTCCGGTTTTTCCCTCCACATTTAGAATCAACATGAATTTTGAGTATTTGTGGCTGCCATTAATTTCCACGTAAGTAAGCCACTTCGTTGAGCTATCATTTGTGACCAGGTCGCTTCTGAGAAAAAGCTATATAGCTCAGTGGGCCTTTAGCTGGTAAAAAAGTTTAATAGAAAAAGTTTAGTTTTAACTCATTATTATTCACAAGCACGGTTACGATGCAACCCATACAAATCCCGCCTGTGGCCAATCGTGAGCTACGTGTATTTCAGGAACCTCTTCCTCGTTTATAAACGGTGGCCTCTCTACCGTAGCAGGGGAGGCGCGCTATACTTGACTGCCGATTGTCAAAACACTCTGGGCAAATAAAATCCACGCACAACATAAACCCCGAGCGTTGCAGCCTCATCCTTCGGGAAAGCGGAGCTGTCAAATTAAAATCTTACAGAGCAGAGATTTTTTTTTTTCCCCTTCCAGAAATCGATAGTACTCATAAACTGGCGCAGCTATGGCTTGGGGGTGCGCTAATTCAGTTTGCGGGATATATATTTAATTATTTCGATGGGAGTCGCACGGCATTTCTTCCACGAAAACTCAAATGTTACGGGCCAATTTTACGAGTGATGGGTTCAGACAGCGGACCCAACGAATCACAGTCAAGGTCAGTCCGCGGTAATGAAAATGACCGCGTTGAACTGGCACGAGCGTAGCGCCCATCTTCACCTCGGGTCCGCATTCGGAATTGCGCACGACCGACGGCGACCGACGGCGCTCACCGCAGGGAAAGCAACCCCATCCTTCGGCCCGGCGGGAGGCGAGGCGATCCACCGTCGCCGAGGGTCGATACAACTCGTCCCAGAACAAAAAAAGATTCACGATACACGAATATGGCTCACGTGTGTTTGTGAGAATAGTATACGTCGCACGAAACAGCAACAACAACAATCTAGCGGGCGGCTTCCTAAGGTCTTCATGCATCAGTGGATACTCGTGGCTGCTATTGCTGCCAACGATGCTGCCATTGTTGAATGGAGCGGTGGCGGCACGGTTGTAAACGCACCGTGCTACAAATCGGGCGAATCGAAGGGTACGATGCTTGGCTACGCGTGACACCATCAGTGGCGAGTAAAATCTAAACCAGTCCGGTCATTGCACCGCCCCCGCACAACTCCGCCCGGCTATTTTCTTTTTCTTGAAAAGTTTCGGACCTGAGTTGAGAGCAAACTCATTCTCATTCAACGATCCACGTCCCCCCACCGTGCAGATTTGATGACCTTCCATGATTCAGGGTCATTAATCAAATAAAAGGATCTTTTGTTTGGGTCTCAGTTTTAAGAGTCCCCCATATGGATCACTTCTCGCTTGCACAGTCACCTTCGCTCCGTTATTCTTGCACGCAAAGCTTTTCGTGTACCGATTCATTGATAATCAATTCCTGCACGCGTGCATCGCGGGTCTAAGAAACGACTTTAACTCACGTGGGCGCGTGCAGTGTTTACGCAGTACCTCGACGGAGCTGGCTCAAATCGTTCCCCCCCTCGCGATAATTCCATTCATTTTTTTTTTGCGTCAGGTTAGCGCTTCAGATTCTGAATGATGTTTCACCGTCCAGGTGAAAAGCACATCCTGCAGCACTCTGCACGCTCCACCAAATCTGCTTCTCGTGCTCGTGCACTGAAAGCCTTCACGCGTTGGCAGACTGTGAAAGAGCAAAACCAATCCGTCTGCGTAAAGAGAAATGATGCAGCGTAGGTCGTTGCTGTTCTGCTGCACGGCTCCCCCCAAAGCATCTTGTGTGCTTTGTACGGCTATGTCGTTCGGCATAAAAAAAAATTCGGATTCCGATTCATAACGTCCTGACGCGGGTGCCAACCGGTGCGGCAAAACGACGGGCATCATTTGCGGTACAATCACGAAAATACATCGGAGGGAAATTGTACAAATTCCCACACGGCCGATACAGAAGACGGGCGAAGAATCGGCCCGAGGCATCGGCGGCCGCCACCCCTGCGGGCCCCCCCGCCAGGGCGCGACGCCGAGGCTCCGTGCGGATCGCGCGCACGATCATCCTCGGTGCGCCAGGGCCACCACCCCGGCAAACAATGCCGACAACCTTTACGGCTTCCGCTAAATTATTCAGGCTCTCGCGGGCGGCCGCCAGCTCGTCGTGCAATATTAATCCACGGCAAGGGGGCCACCGCACGGCGCCGGGGCCCGGCGCCTCACCAGGTGTGAACCACTGGCTTTGCCGACCCCCTCGCAGCGCGGCTACTGGTGCAGCAAGCGAGGTCCGAGGCCAAAACACATTTTGCACGCAACTCTGCCGGGTGTACGCACACGTAGCCAACCGTGCCAATCGGATGGCTCGGCAGGTGGACTGAGCAGCTCTCAATCGGAAAGGTTGCGAATTTAAAACCTGGTTGGGAGTTGCGTGGAAGTCAACAGCAGATGTCCGAAGGATGCACTTTCCTTCGCCATAGGAATGTGGAATTTCCACCACTGGCTCAGGGCTGTAAACGGGACACGAGCACCGCCTAAAATGTTCAGTTTGAGCAGGAGATGACTTGACTCGGGTGACGTTATGAGACATGCAAGGCAGATGAGGCCGTCTCGAAATCGCCTTAGGCGACGTGCTGTATCTGTTCTGTTATTTGTTTGCAGGTTGAATGCACCTTTCCTGTCCGGCGTATTCGTCGTCATTTGCGTAAAGGGCTGGGGATGGGTTTCGGAGGAACGGGCGTGGGTGGAGAGACGGCGAAAGGCACGGAAGGGGGCAACGGTAACAAAGCATCAAACGACGCTTGCGATGTTATTAACTATCGCTGCGGAGAAATTTTCCCTTGCCGGATTGTTTCCAGACCGATACGAACACCCTTGAAATGTTTTTTTTACGCATAATTGTTGTTACATTTAGGAGTACCGGTATTCTGAAGGTAACGTGCCACGGTTTTTGATAATAAAAAAAAACAATAATAATACCGCCCTTTTATTTTCCCAGGGAAATTCTCACTGGGTCTCAGACACTTTTGTTGTGGACCGGGTCCTGCATTGTGACGCTTGACCCAATCGCGAGCGAGTGTTCGTCACGAGGCACGCAAACAGAAGCAGCGGCAGGAAAACCCCACGGAGCCGAGAGGGCGATGCTCAAAGCCACAAAGATAAAGATTAAAATAATCCATCGCTGCAATGCCGTCCCCTGGCCACTGCACAGGCCAAGCCTCCAATAACAACCATTATTATTCCCATGCAGTGTTCCGTCCCAAGTGCTAAGCGGGCTCAACACCTTGTTTAGCTTCCAAGATGTGACAAGATCGGGCGGAATTATCGTCAAATTGGTCGTAAGGCACTTGCAGGCGAAGAACGATCCAAAGCCCGACATCAAAACCGTAGCCCAGCCGCGATATCATTCACGCATCCTCACGTTAAAAAATATTAAAAGTGTAAACTGGCTCGGCATAAAATAACATATTCCTTCGCTTTGTAACCTTAACAAAGGAATATTCAACCTCGATCGCGACGAATATTCGTGTCTGCACGGCGCAGCTGCACAACGAGCCGCTCGAAATACCGCAAGCTGTGGCCGAGCACGCGCGCCTGAATGTCAGCTCTTGAAACAACAAAAAAAAGAACAAACGTGTTTCATTACAGCGGCACGGCGAGCAGGTGCGTCGATGTCACTCAAAGCCGAGCGGAACTGACAGCGACGGACGAGAGGCGCAAGCTGTCCATCCCGCGACGCGGAGACGCCAAAAATGCCATGGCTCGTGGTCGCAGCGTGTACGTGGGCGCGAAGGGAGAGGGATGGGAGAAGGGGGTGCAAGACAGTTCCCCCACCCCGCCCAAAGGACGTCACCCTTCTCCCACATTGCACGCGGGACAAGAGCCTCCCAAATACCGTGCGGGTCACGGGGGTCGAGAGACACTTCAACCACGATGGTTGGTGTGCGGGTTTGGTGAGGGCGGTGAGCGTAGAAGTACAGTGTAACTGGATTTTTTTTCTGCTGGGAGCGTAGATTGAAAGAACAGAGGAGTACAGCTTCTGAGATACGAGCTTCCAAAGGTTTACCAAGCGATGCATACGGCGCGATGATATGACCAACACCTTTGCCACATTGGGCATCGATCCACATCCAAAGGCATAATTCCATTATTTTTCAAATAACATTCAGCCAGAACTGTGCCGGCAGCAGATGCCCCGAATGCACGGTGGGATTTTTTTCAGGGCGCGTCGCGTTAAATTAATCTTAATTAAACATTAAAAAGAGGGCAGCCCTCCCGCCCCCCCCTCCAGACACAAAGGGATTTGCAGCGATTGTACTCGCGAGCAAAAGACGCGGCCACGGCTAAACAGAGCGCACTCCGACCTCCTGTGTTTTTTGCCCCCCGGCAGCACGGGGTTCACGAGGACACAGAAGCGCCGGTACTCAGGGTGGGAGTGATGCAGGCTCGGGTGCAGGTTCAAATCGCCTGTCAATTGTGACCCAAGTTAACCGACGATCCCTCTTCTCGACTAACGAGGGCTGCCTTGTTGGCAGCGGTGGTCGTGATGGGAAAAGGAGGCGGGGCAAGTCAATCATTACAATACAATTCCACTCCTCTGCGGCCTTAATATCCAGCGCTTCTCATATCCGGAGCTCTGATTGATCCGCATGATCTCTGCGCTATTTGTCAAGGCATTATTCCTATTACCCTCGTTTATAATGCAGATAACAGATGTGGTGGCGAGAGTCATCCCGTTAGAATGTGAAGCTGTGAGGTGAACAGCAGAGGGCAGTGCATACAGATGCATCGCTGTACCGCACTCCAAATGCAACAAGGGCGACCTCGTGTATGCCAAGCGAGGTAGTTAAAATATCGCAAACGCAGCGCACTGATAAACGAGAGACGATGCATGTACGTTGAACTTCTTTCGCACCGTGCGTAGCCAACCGTGCTAATCTGAGGTACGGGGGAAGGGGGAAGAGAGAGAGAGAGAGCAAGGAGACAGACGGTGGTGTGGGGATGGCGGGGCAGGGGCCGTAGGGGGGCGGTAGGGGGGCGGGCGGGGGGAGGGGTTGTGTGGGGGGGGGGGGGGGTCGCCCAACTCACGCGTGGCCGTGGAACACGAGCTGGGACTCCTCGAGGATCTTCCAGACACGCACCGAGCGGTCGCGCCCGCCTGCCGTCACGCATCGCTCCCGCGCCAGGCAGTCGAGGCCCATGATGGCATCCTGGTGCCCGAATCTGCGACGGGGAGGGGGGGGGGGGAGGAACGGGGGTGTCCGACATGCTCAGACAGTGGCGATGTTTTCTGCCTCGCCTGGTATACAGGAGGTTGTGGGTTCAATGTCGATCCTCCGGTTTTTCCCTCCACATTTAGAAACGTGCGTTTCGATTATTTGGCCGCGACAAATTTCCACACGTGATAAGCCACTTCGTTGAGCTATCGTTTGTGACAGCCAGGTCGCTTCTGAAAAAGACCGAAATAGTTCAGTGGGCATTACCTGGTAAAATAAAAAAAATGTTTCGTAGTTTTTGCGTTTTGTGACGGGCGTTCAACCAGCGGCGACGTCGCCAACTGGGACGGGGTACGGAATCGGAGGAAAAGCCGATGAAGTACATGTCCGCCACAGGAACAGCAAAGGGTTAAAATGCAGATAAGATGATGCACTGAAAGCGCCCCCCCCCCCCCCTCCCGCTGTCGAGGCGGCCGAGAGAGTTGCCGCTGCAGCTCCGCGTACGCCCGCGGCTGTCATGTGGCGGGCGAGTCCCTGCGGGCCGGTCTACTCACAGCGTCTCCACGTAGGCCCTCTCATCCACGTTCCACACCTTGACGGAGCGGTCGTGCGAGGCGCTGTACAGCTGGTGGGTCCCCTTTCGGAAACACAGGCCCTGCGGATGACGGCGGCCATGAGCAGATCAGCGCGTGAACCAACTCCCGAAGCCGTCTTAGAAATCCAGCAGTCGCTTCAGCCTTAACCGATCTGCCCCGATCACGTGCGCTGGCTCGGGGCGCTTGCGACCACAATCATGAGCACATTTTCCCCCGAACGCCCCAATGTTGTCACATCACGGACACAAAGCAGGGGATGAGCGTGATTAGTTGTTTTTTTTTTTTTTGGGGTGAAGCCACCTAACGATCGGGTCAAATTTACACTGTGAAACTCTCCACCACCCGACGCAGCCAAAAGCAATTAAAGCTGTCGCGTTCACCGGTAAGTGTGAGAGTTATTCGCAGCGCAACCAAATTTAGCAAATCGGATACGACGTTCCGCACCGTAACCGCGCCGAGCATTTTGAGGTCAGATCCGAGGACAGCAAGCGATACGTTACAATAGGCTCGGGCAACAAGGTAGCCCAGGGGATGGCAGCACAGCGACGTATTCTAGAATCGGAGTAAATTCCCTTACGTGTCTGGGTTCTCTACAGTTATTTGGGTTCGCCTCCCGAGTGCCAAACCATTTGTTCATGGATTTGGCCAAACATCCTCATGCAGGACTCTTGAGACTGGGCGAGGCCCTCATGGCTATTGGGCGTTGTCGTTATGGTAATTATTATGACAGGATCCATACAACACCGCTAATCGTGACACTTAGCCAAGCATAGCAGGTTGCTATGACAACAAATTTAATTTAACGATTAAAAAACTCCCAAAACAAATTAATTCCGAGCATATTTAATTACAACAGCATTAAAACTGGGAGCCCCATGGCCTATATGAAATGAGCGCCTTGATGAAAGTGCTGAAGGAATTTTATAGCGTTTAAAAAAAATCTCCTGACAATTGGAAGGCTCTTCCTTCCGATTATAGGAAGTTACTGGAGCTGTGCACTTCATTTCTTTCGAGCTGCTTGTGTTTAATTTGTTGTCCCTTCCCCCCGCACCTCCGATTAGCACGGTTGACTACGTACGGTGCGAAAGAAGTTCAACGTACATACATACAATTTCCTTGGTGCATTGTGGCACAAACACGATTGCAACAGCCACACCCTCGCTAGCGTTTAGCGGTAACTGCGGTGACTGTAGCCGCTTCATTTGTATTTGAACGGACGGCAGTGGCAGACAGGCCCTTGGTTGGATCGTGAGGACTGCACTGGGCAATGAGTGAAGCAAAGCTCGGGCAGTGCCGAGCCATCGCAGCCACACCGACAGTTTACCACCACCAGATGGCGCTACGGGCCCACAGTGCGGCACAGAGATTGTGTTGTCAACTCAAACGCAATGGTGCGGGGGTGGAGGAGGGGGCAAACAAATATCGACGCATCGGTGGACGATCAGCACCAGGCCTGGCAGTCTTTGACTCCCTCGTGGCGATGTTTTCGCACGGCATCAAGTACTCATTTGAGGCAGAGTCGACCTATGGGAGGCCCAAGACCAAGTCAAATATTCGCCACCGCTGGGTCGCTGGGTTCGTAGCGCAGCGCGCTAACCCGCCACACTCTCGCTCTCCAAAGGACAAAAAAGATTCCCCGTATAGCCTTAACATACGGACGGTTGGGGCAAGTGCTGTTAGCCAGCACCTATAAAGGCCGGCACGGCACACGAGGGGGTGATTGGCCAGCACCACGCCCGGCCGCCTTTGTCTCCCTAGTGGCGATATTTACACACTGCACCGGGTACTCATTTGAGTCCTAGTCGACCGAGGGGAGGCCCAGGACCAGTTCAGATAATCGTCACTGGTGTTGGCCATGAGCGGGAATCAAACCCGGGTCGCCGAGTTTGTAGTGCAGCGCGCTCACCGCTACACTCCCGCTCTCCGCAGGACACACACACACACACACGGAGACGTACCGACACGGCGTCACGATGCCCCTTGAATGTGTGCAGCAGCTGCATCGTGGCCGGGTTCCACAACAGGATGAGGTTGTCCCTGTCGCCCGTTGCCTGACAAGAGTGCACAAACGCACACGTGCTTTCAGTCATTGGTCATCAGTCATCAAAGTTGGCACAGTAGGGGGCACAGGCGGTGCATCGGCAAGTCACCTCCGCCAGTCGACCCATGGCACCTGGGTCGGTCCCGTGACCTCCTGCCAGCGGGCGTTCAATGCTTCACGTGGCCTTAACGTGCACATAGCCTGGCACAAGCGCTGCGGTGATGTCACCGCCACTGAGTGGCGAATGGCCGTTGTTGTTTCAGTCATTATCACGTAGCCCACAGCAGTTTAGTTCCCATAGATATGCCTACCACTCAGTAGATTTAGTGCCAGGCGGGATGACGGTGATAAATATTGACAGACATAATAGTGGATATGTATGTAGCACATAACAGGAGATATTCTATAGGTAGATCATGAGGCTTTATGAAACTCCCAAACCTGCTGATCTGCGAGGTGACCAGGAGATAGCAGTAGAGCAAGAGGGTTCCTCGCCCAAATGACAGGGGCCTTGGGCGTTATCCCCTGGTATGCATGCATTGCCTCCCACGAACAAAAACACTCGCCCATCGTGAGCGATGGTGCGCGCGCGCAATGCGCTACGAAACTAGCGATATCCGCTCACGGCCAACTTCAGTGAGAAATAACTGAACGGATCCTGGGCCTAAGTCTACTCAACCTGAAATGAGTACCCAAGTGCGTTGCGTGGTGCTGGCCAACCACCCACCCCATGTGTCGTGTCGGCCTTCATAGGTGCTCGCTAACGGCGTTTGCCCCAACAGTATTGTTTAGGCTATAAACGGGGGATCTCTGTCTTTGTGTGTGCGTGTACATACCAGGTATTTGCCATCAGAGGAAATGGCCATGCAGAGGACGTGCGCTGCGTGGCCGTCGACACCACTCTTGTCCTTCTTCTTGAGGCCCGGCACGGAGAGCACCCGGCGCCCTGACTCCACGTCCCCTGCGCGCGTCACGACCCGGGCAACGAGACAGCGGCTACTACCTGCCTGTGAACACCTGCCTGTGAACACCTGGCTGTGGACACCTGGCCGAGGCTGCCAGGCAGGACTAAAGCCAAGACGCCTCCGCTTGAGCTCTGGTCGGAGCGTCCTCGCATGTTAGCGCTATCTGTTGAGGGTTCCCTTGTGAAAATGTTTCTCACAAGCTGGGCCACCTGATCGTACAGAGGCCCTAACCTATTGGGTGTCTGCTCCAGTGTATAATCTGGAGTCGTCTGTTTTGCCGATTTATGACGGGAGGGAGCTCCGAAACAAAATTAATTCGGTGGGGCACCAGTCAGGCCACGTTTGGCAGGAGAGTGGCCTGTGGCTGTTGGTACTTCGACTCTACGGGACCAGTTAATTCTGTGGTGAACAGCGGTTTTCTTGTTGCTGGCAACTCAGCATTTTGCAACCATTAGGCCTATGTTCAGTAACCGTGCTGCGAGATGTTAACTACCTCGCCTGGTATACAGGAGATCGTGGGTTCCATCTCGGCCCTGCCGGCACCTGTATATTTGGAGTTTGCATGTTCTCCTCGTGGCCGCATGGATTTTTCCCCGGTTTTTCCCTCCACATTTAGAATCAACATCACGCGTTTAGAATATCTGGCTGCAATAAATTCCCACACAATAAGCCACTTCATTGAGCTATCATTGTGGCCAGGTCGCTTCTGAAAAAAGAGCGAAATAGCTCAGTGGGCTTTACCTGGTAAAATAAAAAAAAATTAAGTTTCGTTTTCGAAAAAAAAACATGTCGAGTCTTGCGTGTCCATTCTTTAATGCAAACCATAACCAAGTTGAACTATATATATATTTAAATTTTGATTTAAAGCTTTTGTGACTGCAGGGATTCATATTTTTGGTTCTTTCGGTAAACTAAGACACCCAAGTGGAGATGTCTTATATTCTTGGTTCTATCCCTTCCCTTCTACGTGACTTTACCGAAAGAACCAAGAATATATATTTAAACAAATTCTATCAATCGGGAGTATTAACCGACGGCTCCAGTGGGCACGGCGGCCCCACCGCGCGGTGCCGGGGTGGAGCGGCTTACACTTGATGAGGGTGCAGTCCTTGGAGGCGGAGAAGATGTGCTTGCTGTCGGGAGAGATGACGAGGCACACGATGGGCAGCTGGTGTCCGCGCAGCACGCGCACCGCGCCGGGGCCGGGCAAGCGCAGCTAGTGGAGCACGCGGAGAAGCACACGCCGAGTACGTACATACATGGAACTTTTCAATAAAAGATTTAAAAGTCCACAGCTCCCAGTGGCTTCCTAATATTGGAAGGAAGAGCGTCTCCGGGTCGGCCGCAGAAGAGGATCTGAAAGTGTGCGACGCGGTGACCGTCTTTGTTCGATGGCAAGCCCAAAAGCCGCCGCTGCTGCTGGAGAAGACCGGAGTTCGCATGATGATTCGTGCTCCTTGATGCTCTCTGCTTAAACAGCTCAGGTTCCTGGTTCAAGTTCCCTCCATCCTGTCTGACTGTACACGTTCCTCCTCACTCTGTCACGCACCCCCCTCCCCTGACGTTCATCCACGTTGCAGAGCAGCGCCTTTCCCTTTACAACCCCTTGGGTCTCGTCCCCAGCATCCATTCGTCCAAGTTAAAGTTAGCCGCATTATATACGTGAAATCGCACAAACCGAAACCGCATAAAGCGAGGCAAACCTGTACAGAGTAAAATAAAGACGTTATGGGTGATAAGCGTGAAGGCGAACAGGGAGTTTGTTCAGGCAAGTTAGAAGAAAATGCACAAACCTCTTTTGCGATTTGTCGCTGAAGAGTGCCGCTTTGTTCCATCTGAAAACACAAACATCCACCCTTAGCTCAAACGTCTACCGATACACAAGAACATGCGCAGCTCACTCATCAGTGTTCCACACACAGCAAAGCTTTCCTGGCATGTGCTCATGCTTTGTTTAATTGATGACATTTAAAAAAATATATATATATTTTTTATCCTCATTGTGCTCCGAGCACCATGTCACAAGACCAAGCATCCATTTGGAGCTCTTGCAAAGCAAGGACACCCATTCGTGTTCGAGAACGGCCCACATAGAGGGGTATTAAAACTACTTTTTACTTTACCAGGTAATGCCCACTGAACTACATCTCTTTTTCAGAAGCGACCTGACCGCAAATAATAGCTCAACTTAGTGGCTTATCATGTGGACCATTTATAGCAGAGCTACCTCACAGAGCTATCTCTGAGCTAACTCTGAGGTCTGTTCAAGTGACTTCTGTGCAGTCATTGCCGACTGGACTGTGACCATTAACTCTCTCCAATAAAAGTACAACCAATGCACCGCAATTCAGAATCTCAAGAACCCAGTTTCATCACAGAAGGCTGCCCCCCGACTTAGAACCCAGAGTCTCCGCAGCGCCAGCTCATGCTGTCTACACCCGAGCCGCTCGCCCATGCATCGTCAAAGGACATTTACCAGCTCGTCCTGCAGCCGGTCCGCTATGACGTCATGACGGAAAGCTCGGTCATCAGCCTTATCCTCCTCTGCACGCGCACAGACACACACACACACGTGGGATTCAGCGGGGAACGGGACCCCACCCTGCAAGTCGCGGGTGTCAAGGAACGGGAAAGGGTTGAGGTGTTCTTGTACATTTGCAGCCAGCGAGGGGTTTATATCTGCAAGTGGTCAGTGGGTGACAGGGTACCTTCCGTCCGCAGCTGCTCCAGATACAGCTTGGTCAAGCGCAACTTCTTCTCCTGAGCCGTCTCCTCCACCTCCAAGTCATTCTCCTCCTCCTTCTTTCCTCGCTCGCCATCGCTGCGCACGCAGCACGCCGAGACGTCGCTTACGACACCACGGCCGGGAAAGCTACGGTCTGCGGCTGCATTTCACGCGGCCAGCAAGCCACGGGGCCTATCACCTCTTAAGCGGCTCGCAAAAAAATAGTTTGTAACCAACCTTGCGAACCTCCGATTAGCAAGGTTGGTTACGTATCCGTACAGTGCGAGAAAAGTTCTACATACATACAATATCCACTTATAACTGCATCTTAGCCGCCCTAATTGGGACGAGAGGAGAAAATTATCCACGTGGCAACAGTTTCTAATTTGAGTGCACTCAGCAGGGTTGTGTGACTGAAAAGGCCCCTTTATACTTCGAAGACACACGTGTTATTTTTCAATAAACGTCAAGGGTGCGTTTCAAAGCGCTTCTTGCCAAGGGTCCTCTTCGGACACGAGTCAGGAAATAGTCCCCCACCACCCCTGCGCTATTACACCCTTGTAGCAAATGCGTGCAAGTCGCACAGTAATTTTAAAATTAGATGGTAATACTTTGCCACTTATTTGAACAGAATGATTCAATTAAAATGCATTCTCATACGCGACAACATGCAGCAATTTATGTCGAAGAATTTACTATTTACAGTCAATGCCATTTTTACGCAATCGTTGCACACTGTAAAAATGATACCTACCAACAGATCACATACAAGGCAGGCAATACAAACACAATCAATAAAATAATGCATTCTTAAAACAAAATCATGATCCAGGAATCGCACAGAGTGAATCTTGACAGTACTCCGGTACTGTTCTATTAAGGAAGGTATTGAGTCGTATAAGAACACATTTCTATGCATCATGGTGTCCATGTGTTATGTAAACAGATACTGCCGACACCGTAAAGCGTAAACAAACCTCTCTTTTTCGGAATCGCTTGAGATCTCATCATCTCTCTGGATAGTTTGTTTTCTTTTCGCTTTTGTGGCCGTTGTTTTGTCATCAGCACCCTGAAAACGCAAAACGGGTCGCAGCATGAATGCGACAGACAAGCTGTAATGTATATATTTTTGTTCCTCTCCTTGCGAGTTCCATCACTGCGTGATCCACCAACCCCGCGCCTTGGTGGGCTTCTGTGCACACCTCCCGTCCAGCGTTCTTCATTGCAAGGCGAGCGGGCCACTGGCGGCCCCTGACGTGGCCCCCGACAATACAGCAACACGTGACAAACACATCCCTGCATTTGAACACGCTTTCGCGAACAATATTATCCATAATAGAGGTGTTTTTTTGGGTTAGATCGCGTAAATATGTGTCGTTAAACCCTCCACCACCCGACAGCAAATTATTAAGTTTTGTCACGTAAACAAAACATGGTACCAAACCCCAATGATTTCAAATGTTGTGGCGGCTCCCACACTGATGATGATGCCTTAACGGCAAAAGTGCCGTCCCCCGCCACCGATCAAAATTGGTGAAGAACCACTGCCACCAGTCCCAGCTTGAGAACACAGGGACATTTCACGATGTTCCTTGTCACCTTTAAGGTGGCCTTTATCACGTCGACACTGGCTGCAAGTCGGCACGCACGGCGTTCGTGTTAAAACTATAGGTGCACATTGAGGCCACGGTGCAGTGGTTAAGTTTCACAGGCAGGAAGGTCCGGAGGCAGACCCATATGCTACGCGTTAACAGGCGAGGGCGAATGGCAGGCGCATTACTTGAAGCTACCCACCGTGTCAACCACACACTCGCAAAGACAAAGATCGCCCCCGTATAGCCTAAACAGACTGTTGGGGCAAGTGCTGTTAGCGAGCACCTATGAAGGCCGTAACGGTACACACACACACTACCTCACACTCACAATCACACTGACTGGCTCATACTCCCCAACCACACACGCATTATTTGCACACACAAACACTTTTACAATTACACAATTATTAAATTCACTGTCACGAAAATAAACACTTTCATTCATCGGCAGCACACGACATGAATACATCAATATTTATTTTATGTGCCAATATCTCCCTCAATAAAGTAGGTATCAGTGCAAGTTACAACAGAACGGGAAGAGAACTGGACTTGCGAGGCAATTACTGTGAGCGATCGATCATACTTTCTCACATACTAACTCAAGTCACAGAGAATTACACTCGCTCTCAAATCATATCCATTGACACACACAAACTCTTTAGGCAACGGTGTTGTTGCTATTGACGAATCTGTTGAGTTTGTGTGTTAATCGCGTTTGCTCACCACTGCTTACGCAGCAGCAGCGCCAAATTATATTAAACGCACGCGGTCACTTTCGCGCGCTCACTCAAAATTATACTCAAGACGCTTGTTTTCACTCGTACCTTAAACGCACTTTTTACGCTCACACTAATTGTACACATTCCAGTACATACTCGGCACACAGTCTCTCTCGCACTGTCTCAAGACACGTGTTCACTACCCCGACTCCAATGGCCTACCTAGACGAACCCGCAATCGCAGGCCCACATCACCAGCATCACCACCACCATCATCATCACCACCACGGCAGCTGTACCTTCCTCTTGTTGCCTCTGACGGAACCGTTGGTCCGCTCCCTGTCCACCACCTTCTTCTTGATGAAGAAGGACATTGCGCGGCGATGGGAAGAGGCAACGAGAACGAGGGGAAACAGCCAACTTCAACTGAGACTGATGCTGAGACTTTACCAATGCCGGGACCCACGAACGAACACGTGGAGGAGGGGCAACCACGTGGTTCCGGGTTAACCCTGACCCCAAGCCCCTCCCCACCCCCCGCGAAGGACGGCGAGCGGCGAGGGTCGAAAGCGACGCCCTAGACCGCGTGCAAACGGAAACGCGTTTTCTAAATACAGAAGCTACTTCCCAGACCGACCCACTGCACCCTCTGCTCCCCCCCACCCACCTCACCCCTGCTCCCCCCACCCACCTCACCCCCTGCTCCCCCCACCCACCTCACCCCCTGCTCCCCCCACCCACCTCACCCCTGCTCCCCCCACCCACCTCACCCTCTGCTCTCCCCAACCCACCTCACCCCCTGCTCCCCCCACCCACCTCACCCCCTGCTCCCCCCACCCACCTCACCCCCTGCTCCCCCCACCCACCTCACCCCTGCTCCCCCCACCCACCTCACCCTCTGCTCTCCCCAACCCACCTCACCCCCTGCTCCCCACTACCCTCCGCCTATCGTTTGAATTTGTTATCGCAGGCACGGGCAGGTAGGGAGATGGGCGAGTGGGTGAATTAGGTAGATTGGCATTCTTGTCAACCCCTTATCAGTGCCCTACCTTATTACAGACCAATGCAGACATTATTGGTCACCCCGTGGTGCCCTTATAAATCTCACCATTCGTCCCATCACAAGGGAGAAACACAACCAGACACAATTATTGGCCTATACAAAAACAAAAAACGACGGCGTTTCGATCGCAACACGAGCGGTCGTCTTTTGGCGATCGAAACGTCGTAGTTTTTTATTTTCTTTGAAGCTATCTACGTGATTTTACCACAAAGACCCAATAATATGAATTCCTGCAGTCACAAAAGCTGTAAGTCAAGATTTATACAAAAACATTTTTAAAAAATTAAGTTTGATCATTGGTGTCAATGATACTGTAGTGACGTAAATGGTGTTACGAGGGCGTTCACGCCAGCTCCTGCTACAGGAGTGCAACTCTGCGTCTGGAGCCCTCTCTCTAGCACCAGAGTAAGTGCGGCATGTCAGCCAGCCCTAGGGGGCATAATCCTGGTGATTGCCTGGGGAGAGGGCAAGTGAGGACGTGGTGGCCTGAGTGATGCCTCCCAGTCCAGAGTGTGTGCCTCTCTGTGTTGAACACTACAATACTACTCATCATGCTTATTGACTGTGATCTTGGATGCTGATGCTGCTGCTTGCTTGATATGTGGATGCACACAACTCCCATACCTGTCAACCCCTTATCAGTGCCCTACCTTATTATAAACCAATTCCAACCTTCTTCTTCGGTTCTTTCGGTAAAGTCACGTAGAATGAGAATAAAATAATAAATTGATAAAATAAAATAACACAATAATATTATAAAAAAATAACACAATAATATTATTGCGTTATTTTATTTTATCAATTTATTATTTTATTCTCATTCTACGTGACTTTACCGAAAGAACCAAAGAAGATGAATCCTTGCAGTCACGAAAGCTTTAAATCGAAATTCAATTCCAACCTTATTGATCAGCCCGTGCCCTTAAAAAGCTCAACGTTCATCCTACAACGTCCCATCACAGGGGAGAAACACAAACAAATAGACAAATGTTTATGCCCAAATTTAAACGGCTGTACGCCGTATGGGCCTCAACTCAATTTCCCTGTACAAATTTTGATTTAAAGCTTTCGTGACTGCAGTAATTCATATTCTTTGCTCTTTCGGTAAAGTCACGTTGAAGAGCTAAGAATATGAATTCCATGTACAAGTGTAGTGAGTCCAACTGAGTCGCAGGCGTTGTTCTTTAGAGGCAACACTTTTATTTGTAGCATCAACACGTAACACAAAGGGGTAACTGTCCCATCACCCGATACAGCCTAGGGTGGTGGCCACCCAGCTAACTACCCTATATGGAGGAGTTGCAGCTACGAAGGGTCTGACCCTCACTCGGGTCCCGACCAAGTGTTGATGCCTGCAGAGCTTCCAGCTTGGAGGACGTAGAACTTCAGCTTGTAGAATGCAGCGACCCCGCTCCCTCTCAGGGACCCACCTTATATTCCCCCACGGGTCGGGGCTGCTCCGCCCCGAGCCCCGCCCGCCTTCTGGAGCCTTCTAGCTCCCTCTTGATCCCTCTCGAGAGCTCTCCCCAGACACGTGATCACCCCCTAGTCCCACCACCTGGGGGCCTCTCTGTGGACACTCCAGATCATGTGTCTGCAGGGTCAACCAGATGACAGTACATCGCGTGCCGCGTGGCCCTCTTGGGCCGGCACCATACACTGACATCCCCGATGTCACTATGCAAGTATACGGGGTAAACCGTATGGGTTGACAGGTGTGGATAGATGTACGTATCTAGGTAGGGACGTAGGTGGATATAGGTAAGGTTTGTGAGTAGGCGAGTTGGTAAATAGGTCGTTGGGGAGGTACGTGGGTATATGGGTAGGTAGGTTGGTGAACGGATAAACAGATAGGGAGGTGAGTTAACTAGGTAGGTGAGTGGGTGTGTAGGTAGATGGGCGAGTAGGAGAGTGGGTAGGTGGCTAATTTGAGTTACCATTATCTATCCTCAATGCGAACATTGACTCTTTCTGGACGTGGAACACATTTGAATTTGTGACGAAGCCGACCTGTTCACTCAGTGGGAACGGAGCGCTGAGTCTCACCATGGGGACACACCAGCCCCACACTGCAATCCAATGGCTATGCTCGTGTTGCTCCTAAGGGTTTCCGGATGCTTATAATTGGCTGAAGTCTCCACAAAAGCACTATTTGAGAGATCACGGGCAAGATAATTAAGCATCATTAATCGACGATATATTAAAAAAAGGTCGTAAAAACTGCAATCATTACATTACCTGACGGGAGCAAATCACTAGAGATTGCTGTCAGTAGGTGTAAGTTATTCCTAATGTAGTCAACATACTGCCATGCTCAATACACTGCTCCATTAAGGGCCTCCAAATGCTCATACTGTTACCCGTGGGCGTTTACTCTTTAGACGCAGTGGTGTGCTTTTTCCTTTCATAAATCATGAACACTGGCAATTAAATTACAGGAGCAGCCAGGAAATGTCCTAGTCGGCCACTGCTTGGCGAAAGGACCTCTACTGGAGAACCCATCGAGGAGCCATGTGGCCTGTACGTGTGTATGTTGAACCTCTTTCGCACCGTACGAAGCCAACGTTGCTCATCGGAAGTGTGGGGGAAGGACAACAAACATAAGGCAGTTCTAAAGAAATGAGCTTTCAATATATTTAAAAGTGCGCAGTTCTCAGTGGGCCCCCTAATATCGGAAGGAAGATCGTTCCGGACGGCCGCAGAAGTGCATCTGGAAACGCGCGATGCAGTGGCCGTCATCGTTCGATGGCCGGCCAAAAAGCCGCTGCGAGGATGACCGGCGTTTGCAAGCACTTGCGTGTGTGAGATGAGTTGCGACCCTTATGATGTATTCGTTCGGCAACCGGATGCCAATGCAGCTCGGCGAGCCCTGGACGGACACAGTCGGACCTTGCGGTACCTGTCACGACACGGTGCCTACTCTGCAATGCACGCCAGGCGTTTTGTTTTTTTAGGAGTGGAAGTACCCCCACACGTTACAGTTGCCATGGACGGCCGACTGGAGTCGACTCGGGTGCTCAACTTGCCCTAAAATCCAGTTGATGGACAACTCGAGCAGTGGCGTATAGTTGCTATGATTGTGTGAGTTGCTAGAGTTCACACGTGGATTGGACGTGTCTTTCCGAGAGATATTTCCGAGTAAGACTTTCCTAGAAATACTTGCACGTGAAAGGTCAAGACCACGCTGGTGACAAATTGAAATATTTGATGTAAATCATCATTAGACATCCTTTGCCAGTACCAAAATGTAATAATAGGGTTTTTCCCCTTTTTTTCTGGCAACAAAACTGAAACCTTTTTACAAGGATTCATGTCTGCATTAACCACAATACCTGCAGTCAAAATGCAAACAAAAAACATACTATGATAATATATGCATTGTCCTTGAAAATGATTGGTCCACACCAAGGGACGGCTTTCTTTTGAGCCTCGACCCAATTGGTGCTCGACCACATGACGCCAGAAGGCGTACAGCTCAAAGACAATGCACTATCAAAGTAATGAGGGCTCGGGGTGAGCATCTACATCATTAGACCTCCTTTGCCAGTACCAAAATGTAATAATAGGGTTTTTCCCCTTTTTTCTGGCAACAAAACTGAAACCTTATTATATTTGATGTAAAATTACACAATTATCGCTGCTTTCAACATTTTTGATCGACATGTTTGGGTGATGCATCTCCACTCCCCGACGAATGCTAACGTGGAAGAGCACGTGAAGCAAAATTTGGCCTGCACAATTTGGGACCCAGCCCAATATTTCTGCCAGATTTAGTTGATTAAAAAAAGATGTACAAGCAGTAACTAGAGTTCAAAGAACATCTGTGACCCATGACAATCATAAAAACAGTGGCGTAGTAACGACATTATCAGCTCAGAGGGGTGTTGCATTCGGTCAGGTGGGGCCCCAATATTTGATTTGTCTCGCGCGGTCGCACTTAGGCTAGAATAAATCTCGGTTCCTCTTGCCTAATCATATAATTGCATACATGTGTGTTCTTTGACAGTGTTGTTTAACACATATCTCATGATGGCAACTTTGGCCACCAGTGGGGGTTGACGGGGCAAGGCACCCCCTGCCCCAATGCTTGTTACGCTTCTGGCTGAACATATAGAAATGGTTTGATGTGAATGATCAAGGGACACAGACAAGTTTCCGTCAGTATAAACACATGCAGTATAAACATATTTATTTACCGTTTCATGGAATACATTTAAAAGACGTATTTCAGTCACAGTCACTATGCTGTACAAACATTTTACAAAATGTTTTAATCACAATAAAATCATTACTCTCAAAAAATAACATTCCGAATTAAGCATTTACAGAGTTTGTTTTATTGGAACAAAACCATTGCATTATAAACCACATTGTTTAATCATACCATTACCTATAGGTTTCAAGGCAGTCATTCAGACCAATGAAGAGGAGAGCCATTCAACACACTGAAAAGCAACTGTGAAACAAGAGTCTTAGTAGTGCAATGATGGCTGATAGAGTCTTAGCAATACGTTATCTTATATACAGCGGAGAACAAGTTTTCCTTTTGGCATGACAACCCAACAAGACTGCCTCCGAAGAATTCGCGATCTGACTTGACTATGTTAGCTCCGTCCATCACTGTCAATAAAGATACTGCACACAACATTGCGTTTTTCAACCCCTTAACTCATCAGTGTCTGTGCGAGCGGCTGGAAGGCTCACGTGGTTTTGTGATCGTGGTTTTAGAGTCTGGCTGTAAATACCCAACGATGCAAACATTTAAAATTCGCCCGTACAATCACCATCTATCCACGCGATTCGCTAAACAATCTAAAAGTCAAAAAATGAGCGCGATTTTAAAGGGCACAATGTCGAGTGTCTTTCTCGAGAACCATGCTTTTTTTGGTGCCTGCTGGTTCACTCCTGTAGGGAATTTAACGCTCTGCAATAAGGATCGTGGAACTTAGCAGCAACGAGAGAAAATATAAGGGGAGGGGGGGGGCAGGTGCATTGACAATGCAAAGAAAGATAGTGAAGGGGGGGGCAGCACTCATTACCATGCCGTGGCATTGCTGTTCTTTCCCGGAACGTGGGGTTCCTCGGCGGTGCCGTGAGATGGAGGTCATCAGTGGACTTCAAACTGCACAAATGCAATTTATGAGCATGCTGCTCAGCTAAGTAAATAAATGCATAGCATTCACTTAGAGCTCGAGAGTAGATGTTCTTAATGTCGGGGGGGCGCGACTTGACAATGCATTGTCTAGGAAGCTCTCTTTTAAAGGGGGCAGCATTATCAGTGGGCAGCACCCTTGTTCGAAGATTTTAAGGGAAGCACCTGCCTAGGCTCAAGTAAAGACGCTCTGTCGTCGCCGCTTGGACTAACCCACCAAGCGACTGTGCCAGGGCGCACACTGGCACACTGGCACGCTGCTTTCAGTGCGGGCGTTCCACTTCGTCACGGCAGTGCAGTGGGAACGGCGCGGTGAGCCGATTGAATTATGAGCGGGTCGATAAAGCGGGTCTCTCGTGCAACCTGTAACGGGAGAACCTTTTTTACGGGAAGATGCAACTCTTAAAAAAAAAAGCGTACACAAGTTTTGCATCCGGAGGGCTTGTCTGACAAGGGGGTTTTGTAGCTTTGTTGGTGGGAAACGAACTTTAAATCGAATCTGCTTCCCTCGTGGTCACAAAAGCGTACTCCTCAGAGTCGCCTTAAATTCCTTCAGTTTATTTTCTTGTCTCACACATGAAGCTTCAAATGTACACGGTTTAAATTTGTATAGCGCTTTTCATCTACAGCATCCCATCAGGATGCTTTACAGTGACCAAAACAACAATAATTTAAAATCCATTTCCCTATCAATCCAGCAAAAAAAATACTCAAACACGTTCACAAATTTAATTACAAAAAAAGATAGATTGTGCCAGCAAGCAATCCTGGTTCCCAACAGGAGTTAGAATTGAGTTCCACGAGGCAAGGAACAAACATTTTTCGTTGGACAATTCAGGACACGGAGGTCAAGATCGTACCTGAAAGAGTTGTTTTTGTTTGGTTGTGACGGCCGTAACTGGATCTCCAACATCGTTACCAAGTGACACCAAAGCACATACCGCATATATAAATGGATATGTAATGATGCATCGATTCAAAGAGATTTATGATCATGATACAAAATTGTAATCTTGCGCGTACGGATCATTTTACATACAATTCAAATACGTTGTCTATAATTGGTTAATGTCAATTTTATTGGCGCTCAATTGAGCTTAACACCAAAAATTACCGAATTGAATCACGACCCTCGAATAGTGATGATTCATCAAATTGCGAGGGGAACATTAATCGTTACGGGGCCTAATTATCATTGATTATTTGTAATACTTATCTAAGGGCTTAATTTATCGTACACCATGGAGTAAAAACACAGGCCAAGATAGACAGGAGTCCATAGCATCCGACAATTCCGTAGAAAGATTGATATGCAGCTTAGGCTAACCACCCCGGTTGCTTCAGAATGATCTGCCACCAAGTGTTTGCAACTGCAGCACAATCATCGGGCGCAAACGCTTGGGATGCCCAGCGAAACGTTTCAAACACATTTGCAATGTTGTGGGGGTAGTACACTTCTTTCTAACCAACCTTGATTCGCTTTTTACAGTACTCTATTTTGCATTAACTGTTTTCTTGTGTTTAACGCTCAATCTCATTATTCAATCATCATTATCATCATATCGTTTTTAAAGAAGCACTTTAAAACGTGTTTTCAAACAATATAATTGTTAAACTATTTGATTTGATAAGTCAAAGTATTATTCCCAATAGCGACTAACCAAATCATCATATACCTGTACATAAAACAGACTATCAAACCATGCCAACTCACAGCTTCACATTCAAGAAAGTCCATTACAAAAAATCACTATGAAAATACGACAGATGATGGCAAAATGATTCGGCAATAGCGTGCATTTGCATCACTTGACGGCTGGGAGCAGAGGCAAGGCTATTTCAGTTAATCAGCAGCATAGGGGTAACAATTACCAGGTGTATTGGAGGCCAATATACCTTTTCCATTGGCACATCTGAGTCAAGCCAGTGTGGGGCCTTCACGGTACAGTCAGTTTTCCACTGTCTTTCTGCCATGCCAAACCAGAACCACAGCATAAATACACAGGCCTCGCAAGACATTTGAATCTAGCTCCAGGCCAAGCAGGGCCAGGGGCAGGGCTAATAATGCGTTCATTGCGTGTGCCACCAATCATTACTCAAAGGACGGTGTCACCACACGTCATCTACGTGCGTCTCCATTCTTTCACTGTGTGACATCAGCGGCACGCAATGGAAAAACAATCAGGCGGCCACCTAACCCACACCGGGCTGGCTCGGCAGGCACCCGGCACGGCTCAGTTGCACAGTGGAAAAATATATTTTAAAGGTCTGAGGAAGGAAAGGGGTTTGGTGAAGAGGTGCGAGTCATTAATGAGGACAATGCTGTCTGCTGTGTTTTATTTAAATGCCCATGCCACTTTCGCTGCTTAAACAAAGGGAGTCGACCAATAAAGCATTTTCTCAATGCAGTAGACCATTATAGGGTTTCAGGAGGGACTGATATGGGATGTTTGGCCAATTTGAATCATTCAACTTACACGATATAATTCATTTACCCGGTAAAGCCTCGTTAAGGTCTCACAGCTGGTCTTAAGAATTGTTCCATTTTGGACGTTTGGTCAATAATTTTTTTCAGTTTTTCATGACAGGAAACCGTGTTGCTTAAAAAAATCCACGCATATGAGGGAATAACGCTCAAAGTCCACAGACAGATCAAGCAACCAACTTCCTACAGGCATCCTCTGCTGCTGCTGCTGCTTTGCTGGTGGGTGCCTCAGCCACAGCGTGGATTCAACTCGACATGATTCACCACCCCGACTTCACGAATTGCGCTTGGGGTTCGTGCTAAACAATGCAAAGAGCAAAACATGGGCCCTACAGATTGGCCTCACCTCGTCACTGGCACCAGGAGTAATAGAGAACAAGGGCAAAGGAGGCAAGGGATGTGGGGACCCTTAGGCTGATCTGTTCAGAGAGGGAGCTGTCTGGCTCCTTACCAACAACCCCAGCCAAAGTGACAATAATAAATATGCAGACTGCCTCGGCTCTTGGCAGCCCAATAGGTTTTCCGTAAAGCTGAGAAACGTGCCCACTGCCACAGCGCGTGTTGGTAAGCTACTTGACGCCGGCGGAAGTTAGTGGGCAGATGCTGAATCAGTGGCGTAACCGTCGAGTGGTCCAGGTGGTGCAAATGGTGCCCGGAAGGGCGGGGAGGAGGGCATGGACCGGAAGGGCCCAGGCACGGGGCTACAAAGGAGGGAGGCAAAGTGGACACGTGCCCCCATATTTCACTCCTTGCACGAGGGGCACCATGCCAACCCGCGCTACGCCACGGCACTTGGCCTAACCGTTATGGCAAGAAGTGGGGGCCTTCAAAAGCAAGCCCGCTGGTGTATCGGTGCTCCGTCTGCCGTTGACGGTAAAATGCGCGTCAATAAATTAATGCAGCCTGAAAATTTAACACTTCACAAAGGGCTTTAAAAATACACAGCCCAAACCAAAAACATAGCTTCTAATGTAGAGTACAGCAATACAAATCTGCGTTTAAATTGATGAGTGAGGCAGTAAGGCTCTTTTCGTTGAGTTACGTATATTATCTACATTAGATATGCCAAATAAAATGATACGTTCCTAAGGTGTTAATACGCTTATATATGCAATAATAAGCAAGGCATTAAAACAATCAAAAGGTTGCTGAGCAAAATATAGTTTTTTTTTCTTTTCTCCCATTTTCAGTAACCACAAGCAAGTAGAATTGAATTAAAACAGGCCAACCCATCCACGTACGACTAAATTTAAGATTGGCACAATAAAATCTTTACTTGAAACGGTGTAAGATATAGATAGCTTTTGAAAGTAACCATGCGAACAGGTCACGGACTAAAAACTGCCACGCAGAGTTGTTTTTTTAAAAGCACACACAATATTGCACGAAGGCAGATAAGGCAAAAATCGAGTCTCACGAAGAACTACCAGTAAAAAAAAATTAAACCAACAAAATCACACCACTCGCTTGTCAATCGACATATCGATATTGATTGAAGCGGCACAACACCGAAAATCGATAGATGGCATTTGACTTCCTGCCGAAGAGCCAAATAAATTCGAATGACAGTAACGAGTAAAGTGATTTCAGAAAGTTTATACAGCTCGTTATTTAAACGTGACGACATGCCAAATGTAAATAAAATAAATAAGCAGACAATACATCTGTCATCTATCCATCTCTTCAGATAAAAATGTTTTTCAAAAGTATATCTTACACGACCCATCAGCCACACGGCATTCTGGGGAGTGCATAATTTCACCAGCATTTATTTAAGGCAAGTGAACCCTGGACCGGATTGAACATAAAGTGTCTCATCAATGGTCAGGGTTGCTTGAAACAATGCTGCTGAACTGCCGATGTTACAGGCAAGACCCCCCCCCCCCTTTCAGGATCATGGGTCTTAGTTCGATGCAAAAATTTACAATAAAAACTGAAAACAATAAAAGACAGATATGAAGGAGACATTGCTTATTTATTTTGTTTATATCCTGCCAAATGTAAAAATCAGTGTGATACGCATCTCAAATACGCGGGATTCTTTTGCGTAGCTTTCTCGGTGCACCAACCTTCCACGAGCTAACCACATTTGATTAATAAATAATCCCATCGATTGCACTCCTCATTGTGTACTTTACACATTCATAACCTTCAGACTAGATTTCAAATAAAAGGGCCAGTTTGTGACTCTCCCAAAGAGAACAGCTAAAATTGCAGCAAATCAGCAGCGTACATGTCGTCTCTCTCATCCACAAAAAATGTACAACAACAAAATGGCTTTTGTTGTTGTTGTTGTTTTTATGAAAACCGAGATGCGTGCGAGTGTGTTTTTTTTTTTAAACACAGGAGATAAGAGTTGGCTTCCTTCTGTCAGCCAGCACTGCGAGGAGTGAGCCCCAGCATTTCGATCTCTCTCTCTCTCTCCCTCTGCTCGGTTTATACAAACCCCGCCGCGCAGAACTGCATTTCCGAAGAGAGTATCGCTTTGAAGAGTGGCGCAAACGATGCCCCCGTGCCCACAAAGTGTTATTAATAAGACTCTCTGCGGCGAGTGGCAACAATAGTAAGAATGCAGCAGGAAACTAAAAATACCAACGAGCAATCAACCGGGGGATCCATTTCAAAGCAACGTTTGCAGGAAATAATTCCACTCATCCTCCCAAGGCAGGCCATAAGAAAAAATAATGCGCAAGTTAAAGCGGTAACATTTCAAGGATGAGATTCGTATGTCGACGGGAAATGTAAAGGGGAAGCCCACAATGGTATAACACTATGCGTGCACGAGTGATGTTTATCGACCCCCAAATCGCACAGTTCGTGGAAATTAAAGGATTTATTTAAAGGCAACAAAATGGCTTTCCGTGTTGTGAAATGTAATTAACATCACTAATTATTCAGCACAAAAGCAATTTGGTGCTTATCTTATATTAATGAGTTACTACCAAATTAACGTGCACTTTCCTGGGGGGGGGGGGGTGGGGGGGGGGACTGTTGTGCTACAAATTAGTGAAAGACACCAAGATGTGTCCCATAGAACGTGGGGTTGGGAGGGGTGGGGAGCCTATTAATTACGATACCAGACTAGCAATCCACTGAAGCGATTAATTTGAATGTAAATCATTAATTATTGTAGAATTACCATAATCCCTTGTTGGCCAACAAGTTGGCCATTTCTTGAACATCCCCAAAGCAGCTGTGAAGGGGGAGAGTGCGCGGCCAATATTACGACACGTGGTCACGTGATCGCGAAGCCAAACAAAATCTCGTAACACAACACAAAAACACCGACGGGCAAGTTGGCTTTTTCGTACAGAAACGTCGATTCGTTCAGAAAAATTTCCGTGCAGGCAAAACAAAAAAAAAAGTTCCACGCATTTGAGCAACCAAATCCGTACGCCGATCAAATTGTCCGTTTTGATGGCGGGTCTCGCAACGTACACGAATAGGATTTAAAGACACCCCGCTCGGCGTACATGCACACGTGCACGTAGCAACAATCCTCAAACACACACGCGCGTAAGTTGATGCTAATTGCTCAGAATGGTTTGGCAAAATTAGAGAGAGTGAAGTTTCCACCGGTTTTTTTTTACATAAAATAAATTTCAATCGGATGATAAAAAAAAAATGAGGTGGAAAAAAAAAACTCCGCATTTTTAAAACTGATGCAGACTCCTCGGCGTGGCGCGCAAAACGCCCGTCGCACTCGCCCGGCAAACACACGCTCGGCAAACACACGCTCACGAGAAGCCAATGCACAAAAAAAAAGAGATGTAGAACGTGTTGACAAAATACACTGGGGCGAATGCAATGAAATCGACGGGAAAAAAAAATCACATCGGCAAATGCTGGGAACAAGGTGACGGCGCTGCTCGAAGAGCCCTCTCGATCTATACGCGGGTCGGGGTCACATCACGGACAAAGCAGCCACGTGGTGAAGCGAGGACATCGATGGTCTCCCGACTGATCGGGGGGAGGGGATGGGGAGGGGTGTTCGGCGGGCGTTGGTGGCAGCGCGCCACGAGAGACTCACAATTCAAGGAATTGCCCTCCAATGGGCAATTAAGCACGTGCCAAAAAAACACAGCCAAACAAAGGCATGCAGGCGCTTTAGACTCACACGTGTACACATGTACACAACAGCCACGCGCACGCTTCGAATGCACGCACGCTCTCAGGCACGCCTGCACGCCAACGCACACCCTTTTTTTTTTCGCGAGGACCATCGCGGGAACACCTCGGCTCATTGCGAGCCACTTCCAGGCAAGCGCTGACAAAACACATACGCAGCGCATCAAGAGCCGGGAGCGTCAATCCTGGGTTAAGGGTGGGGGGTGGGGGAGATTCTTTTCCGGGAGACCGCTGTGGCTCTGTGTTGACAGCAGAGTCCTCACGAAGGGCAGAAGTGGATGGGGCTGAACAGCCAGAGCGCCAGCACTTGCAGACCGACCAGCGCCAGGAAGCTTGGCTGCAGCATCGAGCCTCGGCCACAGTCTGACGTGTCCTCCTGAAAAACCAACAAAGAAATCCCACCACCACCCCCGACACACACGGTGACCATTGGTGATGCTCCGTGGATTACTCAGCTCTAAGTATGCATGTCTACACGCTAAGGTAGGCATCCTGCTGAATGGGGCTTTTGCACGACGCACAGATGCGGAGTGCTTTGCAAAGCCTATTCGTCAGGCGTCCCCCATGGAAGCCAATATCCTCCAGCAGATAGTTGTGGTACTACGAACCCAGCAGCTTGGGTTTAATTCCCAGTAATGGTGCACTGCAGTCGCCAGTGATATCTGAATTCATCCTGGCCCTCCCCTATATTGATTCAGCCTTAAATGAGTACCTGGAGCAGTGTATAAACATCAGCACTGGGGAGGCTTGCCATACCACCTACCTCACGCATTCCAGTTACACCTTGAATGACTATGGGAGGAATTTTTTGCCACACTCCTACGGTCTGGTTTGTCATCCAGTCAAGTGGGCTGGATCCGGATGCCCTCAGCAAGCGTTGGTTGGTCAAGCGAGCGACAACCACGCTCCGCATGCGCTTGCCTCACTCATGGCCCTCATCGCTAAACTCCAGAAGAGTGCGACAGGTTCCAGCGCTCAGAACAACGCTCGGAAATAGAGGTGATGTCACAAGGTCATCACGGAACGGCAAAGTGTTCCTGCGCACAGGTCAACTCTCGTGGCTGCGTTTTTTGCTTGAATAAAACAAAAGACGAAAATTGGTAAGAAAGAAAAGTGCATACGCGTGTTTTTGTCTTGGGACAAGTGCCATGATGTCGGATTTAGAATGGGCACAGAAATTTGTGCGGCGAGTCGCTAACGGAAGGCAGAGCGTTTATTAAACACTAGCACAGAACCCGTTGCTCTGCAATTGGATATAAGAGACGGCTGTCATTTTCAAACCCTTCTCACAATCCTGTGCTCGGAGAACTAAACAGAATGTCTGTGTTTTTTTATGCAGGAATAACATAGCGAGATAATGAAGGCAGGGGGCATGGCTGGAGCCCAAGGAGCAGCACTTTAGGGGCACGAAACGATACCGAGTCATTCCTTGAAATGGTCCGGCACCGCTTTGGTACGATCTCATTATCATCGCGGGAACGCGGCGTTTGCCTCTGCGCGGCACGGTACCAGGATGTTGTAGTCGAAGCAGGAGTCCGGACCCTTCCTGTAGCGCGGCGCGAGCTCGCACATGTTCGGGCCGTCCGCTGTGCGGGGGGGTTCGTCAAGGAAGCTGGGCAAAAAAGCACCGCAAAGCAAATAGCGAAACGGGGGAGGGTGGGAGTCTGCCATGCAACAGAGCAACCAAAAATAGTTTAACAAGGAAAGAAGAAACACAACTGGAAAATTATAAGAACTTTGGGCCACTGCAAGTTGCATAAACCACACCAGACCATCTTTAAGAATATAATGAGTCGGTGTAAAAAGTCAAAGGCTCCAACGGCCAAATTAAGGCGACTTATCAACGACTCTAACAGCAGCGGGGGAACCATCCAAAGCTGAGCTCTCCACAGCTCAGCTTCCTTGTGGTGTAACGCGTCTCCCTTTCAGGAGAATAATCCGGGGAGGTGTGAACACTGCCAGGGGACGCAAGGTAGCAAGGATACACTTCTGCTCAGCCTGTATAAGAGGCCTGTTGTCGCACATGGGACACATGATCTTCTCCGACACCACGAACACCAGGTTGGAGTTGGCCAGCTTCTCCGCGAAAAAGAACCTGTGGCAGAGAGTTCAGTCGGGAATTGAAGAGTGGCACTGCGGGCGAAGAAGCGCTTGCGGAAGTTGAGCATCCACAAATAACGAAGCGTCGCGGAGGGGCAACGCCACAACACTCACCAAGATCATCGTCTCAATTTTCTACGCCTGTTAATTGTTTTGTCGGGTCTTTCCAAATGGCTCTTTAATTTACTGGAGTGTTGCTCATTCGAATTAATCTATAGTATTAATTTGATTGCCTATACAGGAGTCCCTTGGTTAACGTTTTTAATCCGTTCCACGAAAAGTACTGTAAACCGAAATAACTGTTAATCGAAATAAATTAATTGCATGAGTCTGCAAGAGCTGTTTGCACTGCCAAAACATAAAGCGTAATGTAAACAAAGCCAGTCAAGGTTTAAACGCCCATGAATGGGCATCGCTGATTGGCTGACGCATGCTCAGCCCACTTATGAGTGCTCGGATTGGCCGAAATTGGCACCCGCGTGCATAACGTAAACATATCGTTAATCAAAATTTGAACATTAGTCGAATCCATGGGGATCCCTATGAGAGGCGAAACTTTTAACGGAAAAACTGTAAACAGATGTCACTTAACTGAGGGACTACTATATATATAGGTCCTTTAAACAAATATATCCTCCTTGCCAACAGTATAAATAATGTACACATCCTCTATATTGTTATGAATAATTGCACCTAGGATGGATTGATTGTATTTTAAGTTCAAGTAAGATACACACGATTGATTCCTTCCGATTACAGATAGCGAGAACACATAAAACACTAAATGCAACATGTAAAGCACCTGTAATGGATATTCAAGAAAATAACTATCCCATCTTGGCACAACTGTCACTCAAGTTACATGAATAATTTCAGATTCGAATAAGCCGAGTTGATTTATCCTGCTGCTCGATGGAAACCCATCGATTTGAAGCTCAATCTATAACGATCGCAGTAGTTCACACGAATGTCCACGACACACCAACCAAAGGGACAAAGACAAACATGTGGGACAGGGAATAAGCAATTCACAGTTCAGAGACACGTTGCATAGCTTGCAACAAAGCATTACTGCTCTTTGTCAATCCACTGCAGGATAAAGGGGCTTACCATGTTGTGTCTATTCTATGCTTGTAAACATACATAAATAGGCAATGTGTTCAGGAGCGGAATTCCAATATCAATGTCGAGGTCTGCTCGCCACAATAGGGCTTCACGAGAAAGTTTGTGTAGTTTTGCTATTCGTCTGTTGAAGGGGCGTAGACTACAGTGGTTTACTAGATATGGTCCACAGTATCGACCATGGGGGGTTGTTGTGTTACCAGACTTAACCACGCTGGTCAGTGTGGATTGGTGAAGGGGTTGGGCCAAGGACCAGTTTGTATATCGCTCGTCAGCGATGTTAGACCTGGCCAGGAATCGAATTCGGATAGCCAGATTCAGAGCGCAGTGTGCTTACCCATTGGGTTGGCGCTCTGCTCGCAAAAGCCATACGGATTGCTGAGTAAAGGTGGCTAAGAGGCCCGAGAACCTTTGCCACCACACGGGTGAAGAAGAAGTGCAGCACCTCCCACGCATTCAAATCCTTCGTATTATCCCTTGGGCTGCTGGACACCCCCGCTGTGCTCATGCCGAGTTTACATTTTTTTAAAAATTCAAAGCAAACCTCTGCCTGCGCCGGTAGGACAGCGCGACTCAAGACTGAAGCAGAGGAAGGACAAGAAAACACCTGCTGGGGGCCGACCTCCGAAGTCAGGAAGAGTGGGGTTGGGAAACCGCATGTGTAGGCGCACCATCGTGAGTCACAATAACATTGCCTCCCGTGAGTTTTCTGGAGCTCGCCATTCATTGTTCTGCCAGAGCCTAGTTTGTTGTCCTTCCCCTGCACCTGCGATTAGCACGGCTGGCTACGTACGGTGTGAACGAAGTTCAACACACATACAGGCCAAATGGCCCCTCGGGATGTCCTCCAGTAGAGGCCCTTCCACCAAGCAGTGGCCGACTAGGACGTTTGCTGGCTGCTCGTGTAATGTAATTGCCAGTGTTTATGATTTATGAAAGGAAAAAAAACACCACTGCATCTGAAGAGGAACATCCACGGGCAACATAGAGACAAGCGGACTACTTTGAGACTGTAGGGCTTTCTGCGTGCGTAGTCCGAGCGACCCTGAGCTTACTTTTTCACCCACATCAGAAGCAGCCCCACTCTTCAGCACTGTACGCTCCTGAAAATGATGCTGTACTTGCTGTTATCATTATAAATAGCTTCACATGTACGGCCCTTTGGTCAATCCACTGCAGGATGAGGGCCTCCGTCATACACCGGCCATGTGGGTTGTGAGGGTTAATTAAACTTCACCGTGCAGTTCAATGAAGGTTGGCGAAGGGCGGGTAGCATACACGTGGCAGCATAGAATCGCAGCAACAACAATGAACGTTGCTGCAGCTACCCCTTCGCCAACTACCACGAAGCCCCATTATGCCTGACGTACCCCTATTCCGGGGCATTGCGGTCGCCCATCAAAGCACCGCAAATCCAGACTCAACCCTACTCGGGCTCTCCGAGGTTTGACGAGGTGGGGCGCGCATTCCGGGCGATTTCGTCACTCGCGTGCAGGAGCGACGCCACGCACGGGGGGGGGGGGGGGGGGGGGGGGGTCAACTCGTGCGCAGGTGAGCAGCTGACCTGGAGCAGTTGCCACAGTCCATGAGTTCCTGGAAGGTGGTTTTGTTGTTGGGGAAGTAGTACTGGGTCTGAAGGGTGATGCAGCTGACCTTTTCCTTGTAGTTGGCCCCATCCGCATAGCTGAAGTCTGGAAGGGGAAAAAAAAGGTGGCATTACATTTCCATTGCCCGCATTGCGTGAGGGTTTAAGACGTAATTATTTCTGACATTTTGAATCCCACTCCGTCACCACCACCCCCCCCCCCCCCCTGTTTGGTAATTTGTGTCTCAATATACTTGGCAGCTGTGCATTACCGCAGAGCTCCCTCCCCCCCCCCCCTTCTAAAGGTCTCCATGACACAAGAAGGGGATTCATGGGAATCCTTTTTGGCAGTGTTCACCAGCAACAAATTTGGCGCAACTATGGAAAATGAGGGGCAACTTGCTATGGCAGAGGCAATGGCCTTGCCTTTGGGTTTATTTTCCGTCATTAAAATGTTTTAGTTTTAATGGCATGTGATGAAGGTACATGCGAGCGATACAAATTTAGTGCCTGCGGTGTGGATAATGAGGTTTATTGAAATGTTCTTTCACCAAGGGCATTGCCCTGTTAATCTACATAAAGCAGTTCAAAATGTTAATTTGTTAGTCTCATGCAATGACACCGACAGCAGCATGATAATATATGGTAAAAAAAAGTTTAATATACATAGAGACCACTTAATAACAAAGCCACCTATTTGTAATTGGGTCATGTGATGGCAGTGGTTAGTAAATGACACTATGACCTGGAAACCGGAGTTAATTTCCGGCCAAGGATAATTCATACGAAACACCATTTCGTCACTAACACTGCCTCATGAGGAAAAGTGAGGGCCAAGATCAGCCGATTAATTTTTTTGTTTCGATTATAAGCCAGTGGTAACGACAAAGAGGGTGGAGGGGTGAGTGGTGGCACAGTGCTTACCGCACTGCACTTTTACCCAAGCGACCCGTGCTAGATCCCCCCAACCACGGAAAACATCCAGTGGTGAGTGGCTATCTCAACCAGTCCTGGTCACCCCTTTCCACTGACGATCAACCCACACCGACCAGGGTAATGAAGTATGGTCCAACAACCCTCCACGGCGAAAAGGCATGGAGGGAGGGCCTTGAGATCCAGCAGCGGATTGACAATATCAAAACATTACTTATTCACGTGTTTAAAATTGAGCGATAAATTGTTAATACGCCCGCAGCTGGCGGCAACCAACAAGCCCAGCTGTACGGCGGCTCGTGTTTATCGACGAGATGGTGCAGAGACGCAGCAGCAACCGGGCGGTGCGGCGGCGGCGGCGGCGGCGGCCGCGCGCAGGTGACACACCTGCACTGTACCACGTCTGAAGGGTGAGCGAGTAGAACAGCTGCTGCAGCAGAGACCTGCACAGGGTAGGGAACAGGTCAGTGGGGCGCACACGTCGTTACTTATCGCCGCAGGTGTAATGGCGCGTCGATTCATTGATCACGAGTAATATTGTTTCGCTCGTGGAGACGCGCGTTGAGCCACGGGCGTAAGGATGGATCGCTTTCGATTCGATGTTTGTATTGAGTTCATATGTACTATGTATCCACGAATGCCCGATAGCATTCACCACGATGTTAAAAAGTAGAAATCGATTTTTCACTAAATTGCCACCCTGAATCATGACAACTCATGAGAATAAAGCAAGCGAATTGGTATAATTATATAATTATAGTGATATACACGTGCAAAACTCAACGCGTTTGACTTTTATTACGTTGTATTATTTTCCTCATCAGTTTACTGAAGTACACATAAAAAATAACAAGTTAACTTGAAATGAATTATATAAACTAACAAAAATATAAATACGCATTGAATGACTAATACTATTCCACAAAAACAGAGCCCACAATGTGAATTCATTATAATTATTCTCGTTTATCCAGGAAAGCCTCACCGAGTCTCAAAACTCTTTTTCAAGAGAGACCAGCCAAGCTTTTGAAGTAGGGGAGCGATGTTGCTCTGCGCCATCCCAGAGGAAACCCCATGCGGAACAGGGGGAGGGGAGTAGTGCATACAAACCCCAGACAGAAAAGCGCCCATAGCCGGGAAGCGAATCCGAGCCCTTCTTACGGAGAGACACGAGCGTTGCCACTGCGCTGCCCCTGCTGCCCTGACAGGCAATAATGGAATACTAAGCATGCTATCGCATGAGTAGCGGCGACCCCTGATGTGCATCGGTCATAGGCTCGGTGTGTGGTGGGGCCTCACCAAGCGGCTGCTGAAGCCAGCCATGCGACGTTCAGCACGTCCGAAATCCTCGGCTGTGAATATAGAGGGCTCATTAAAAAAAAAACATATTAATATCAAAACGCATACGTATGTGACTCCCTTTAATCATTCACAAGCACATTTTAGACGAGAGTGAAGTTAAATTGATCCTGCACGTGGATTAACTGTGCTCATGCTCAATTAAAATTAGATAAGTGACCGCAAAGCCACGATTCTGCCTGTAGACACCAATGTGCCGTGAATGGAAACTGCCCTCTGTAGCCCATTACACCTTTTCTGGTAGAAATCGTTCGACAGTGTTATGAGAGTACTATAAGAGTCAGCTGGGTGGTGCAGAGGGGGGTCAGAGCAATGAGCCAGTAACTTTCAAGTTCTGGGTTCGGTTTCAGACGCCCGTAAAATTAAACTGGATTCTCAAGCAAAGGCAGTTTGCGGTTTCAGCCTTGTCACCAATGACTGCGTAAAAAAAACCTCCTCACATTAAATTGGGGGTTTTCGTTTGAATTGCTTAAATTCCATCAAAGCTCTGTCTCATAGCAGAGTAGCATATGTGTGAGAGTGTGCCCCCTATTATATAAATAGGATTCGGCAATGCACGTACAATCTTATTTAGAGCATTTAAATGCAACTTCTTAAAGAAACAGTACAAACATATGGAACAATGTGCACGAGGGGGATGAGGTAGTTACATTAGTTAAATAGCAGACGATTAAAATGACTTCATACGTAGGGGTCAGCCAGTCTTAAACAGAGAAGAGAAAGGTCTTGGGCCTGTACTTAACAGGGGTAGGGAGTCGAGTAACAGGGATGGCTGGCACAGGGGGGGATTTCAGACCACAAGCGCAGCAGCAGAGGAGTCCCATTGAATAGCAAAACCTCCCATTGAATAGCGAATAATTACATGCGTATTCATGAGGCTCACAAAGTTATATATATGAATATATATGCAGAACAGCCCAATTACACATATACATGAAAATGTCAAGTTCCCATGTTGCGTTCATGATTGTAAACACCCACCGACCGAAGCAGGAGGATTTCTCCACACTCTGGCTGTCTGCCTGATGGTGCTAGTTGTAATTACTGGCGAAACGCCGTACTCGAATTGTAAATGTTGTGGGTTTACTCTCAAACAAATCGGTGTGCTGAACGAGTAATTAATTGGCACGTTTTGTTTAAGTGACAGACCATACTAATTGGCTGTGTCGGGTGGTGGCGGGCTTAACCCCACATGAATATTTACGTGATCTAACCCGAAACCCTCTATTGTCAACTCCCACATAGTCACACTTACGATAGCGATGGATCTGGGCGCCGCTCCCGCCTTTGGCTCTTTCTCGGGGTCGCAGGTCGACTGATAGTCGTACGACTCGACTTTGGCGAACAGAGACACGTTGTACAGAGCGCGCATCAGACTCGGGTCCACGACACCAAAGAATTCTCCGACCTGCAACACAAAGCAGGCCCTTTGTCAACTTGGCACACGCACAGATCGCACTACTATTGATTTCCTGAAATGGTGTGTGTGAGTCCGTGTGCAACTAGACAACACAAAGTGGTACGAGAATTGGCGACGCAACAACATTCTACGAAGAAAGAAATGCTCCTTTTCAGAACGCAAGCTTGCGTATCGATAGGGGATAATCTGGCACGGAGAGCAAACAAAACCTTCAATGGAACGATCAGTTGCAGCTGCTGAACGGTGACTGAATTGCAATACAATTTGTTTTCAACATCCTACCTAATTAAACATGTTCAACATTCTCTACGTTAAAACTCGAGAACCAAGAGCGGTACACGAATGAGCCTCCGTGAACACGGCCACAGTGGTGAGATTACGAAGGCACTGCCACAGCTCGTTACTACAGTTTCAGGATTCATTACAAGGAGTTTTCCCCCCCCCCCCCCACCCCCCAGAAGTCAACTCAGAGGCGCGAGGAATCCCAGACAAGCGAGAAATGCTGCTGCATCCGCACGGCGAGCCAGCTCCAACGATAGCCCAAGTTCAGCGGTCATCTGTACACCAAGATGTTCTCAGCCTGTTAATGAGTTGTCTATACGTGGCAATCAACCGGAGCAACCTGGGACAACACCCACGGCGAGCGAGGGAAAAACACTTAATCCGATAGAGATAATACGAGTTCACATTCTGCTGTACCGCCTTCTCCTGGCAAGCCGGAGTAAGGCACCTCGACGCCCACAGGGAGTGAGTTTCGCGACATCCGTGCGATCCGCCAATCCTTCGCTGCCTCCAGTGCTGGGTTGCAGGCCATGTGCATAGCCACCCACCGTCTGGCTGAATCCATAACCCCGTGGGGATTTACACCGTCAGCCTTCACCTTTACCGAGAGCTCAAAATGTAGTGTTCCATTGGCAAGCGCAGTGATTATATAGTGCATGTGAGAGAGTGAAGTGTGGGCAGCATTTTGTGGACGAGCAAGGTCCAAAATTTCCACCTTTTTCTCTTGGTCTTCTTGATTGGACATTATGAGGAACCCTCCATCATCCAGGATGACACACTGCAGCTCCTAAACATACCATACAAAGACAAAAGACAAAGATTCCCCGTATAGCTTTAACAGACTGTTGGGGTAGGTGCTGTTATCGGGTACCTATGAAGGTTGGCATGGTACACAAGGGGGTGGGGGTGGCCAACACCATGCCCAGCCGCATTTGTCTCCCCAGCAGCACACCGCACCAGGTTATAATTTGAGGCTGACCTAGGGGAGGCCCATGACCGGTTAAAATAATCGTCACTGGTGTTGGTGGCCGTGAGCGGGAATCAAACTTGAGTCGCTGGGTTCGTAGCGCAGCAGTAGCGCTACCCGCTACAATACCACACACACATTGTAGCCTCTAAGCATTCAGCACACATAATATCACAACATACAAACCGTACGCAATATAAAAAACATGCCTAACATTAATGAGGTACACCCCTATGATCCCATCGCATAGCATATTTGAAATCGATTGAGCACATACCTTACTGGACAGATCGCAGTCCATCTCACAGCTGCCAAGACTGTCGCACTGCAAATGTCAAAACAAAAAAATGGTTTACATTTAAGAACACATGAGCAACTAAAGAGAGAATTGTAAACCGACGTCTTCAGTTTGTGTATGCGTTGTATACAATAGAGGTTCACACGGACCCCTCCAAGCCACACTGGATTCGCTGCCATTCACCACGATGCTAAACAACACCGTTACTGCTTAATTAGATTACTCCATCAAGAGCGGGTGTTGCGATATGCACAGATTATTTGTACACACTCGCAAGTTTAAGAACTAGCGCTATTTTCACCGGTTCTATCTCCGTGTAAAGAATAGTGGATTTGTGACAATCAGCACCACAGAATCGGTAACATGAAATACTAATTCAAGTCACTGTGAAAAACACAACAAAATAAACAGACAAGATGCTTTCTTCATATATCTGTCCCTCCACATAGAAAAGTATGTTTTATACTTCTTATAAACCACAAGGCCTTCTGGGAGTTTGCGTTTAATGAATCAATGCTGCTGAAATTATTGCATTCCCAGAATGCCTTGTGTGGTGGACGGGAGCCGTGAAACAAACGTTTTGTATACTTTATATGCAGGGACGGATACATAAAGCCTGTCCCCTTTACTGTGAGAATTGGAGGTGGGGGGTGTGGGCGAGTCGCTCACGTTGCTGCTGCGCTTGCTGCGGCCCTCCCCCGTGTGGTTGCTGGCCAGGAGCTTGAACTTGGCCGTCCAAACCTCCAGCTCGAGCTTTACTCCAACCACTGGAAAAACGAGGAACCGGAGTGCTCGGAGAAAACGCGTGTGTACGAGGGGACGCAACGACCCAGAGCTCCACATGGTTCAACAATATGTTATAAACAATTCAAGTGTAATGTAGACACCAAACACATTTGACAGCCTAATAAAAAAATAAACTGTTGAAGATGAACGTGCTTTGTATGTAATCATTAAGATAATCTAAATAAATAATCGACAGATATTTATCCACTGCCAGATGAAGGCCTCCCCATGTCGTGTTTGTCAGCGGGATTGTTTGACCATTCTTCACACTGATAATTGCGGAAGGGGGGGGGGGGGTGTCAGGACTGGTTCTGATATCACTCGCCACTGATGTTAGCCTTGGCCAGGAATTGAACTCCAGTTGCTGGTTTCAACGTACAGAACGCTAACCGCTGCACCACCACTCCGACCCCCCATTTATTAGAAAGGTTATGAGACAAATATGTAGTTACTGCTTTCAGTAAATTCGTACAATTAACAGCTTGGTTTAAAAACATTACAAAACATGTTTTACAGCCATCTAGAGGAAGGATCTGAATGCTTCGGTCAACTGGCCTTGAATAAACTGGGCTCCTTTATCTAAGAAACCTTCACCGAGTCCCATGACTTTTTCAGAAGGGTCCTTCCAAATTTGTTTGCGGTTAGCGGGGGGGGGGGAGGCGACCTGTGTACATTCCAATCGCGGGTGATTTTAACAGTCAGTAACTTTGGAGCAACAACGGTGGCACGCAACGGCCTCCTCTTGCGAACGGGCGTCACAGGGTCTTTAATGTCCACCATGAAGCAGACAGAGCGTATCTTTTAAAATCACCCGGATTAAAAACTCGTATCTTTCGAACTGCTTTTTTGTGTGTTTTAGTTTTGTTGTCTTTCCGCCCCCCCGCACCTCCGATTCGCACCGTTGTGCTAGGTACGGTGCGAAGGAAGTTCAACGTACATGCAAAGTGAAACATGACCCGGGTCAAAAACACAGACGAGAGGGAGCAAGAGGCTCCGGCAGCGATAGCGCCGCGTTGAATCTGCCTGCATACGTGCCACTGCCAGACAAAGCCACCCCCCCGCCCCCCCCCCCCCCCCGAGATCCCCCTTTGTTTTACTCGTCGAGTGCGGGGCGGAGGCGAGCACCTGCTGGCTTGAGCACCTTGCCGTCGATCTCCACCTCCACGGCTCTGCTGGCCAAGATGCTAATGTTGGAAGGGTCGTTACTGCCCCCTTTACTGACTAGCGGCAAAAACGACAAGAGCGACAGCAGCAGCAACCGGTAAACAGAGGCGTTAAAACGTAAATAAAACAACCAGAAATACTGCATTGCATGCATAATGTAACATTTGTGTACGACGGGTTTATTAACGCCGCACGGAGTGCATGCTTGTGGCTTCAGATACCTGAAGTGAAGGTGACCTCTAAAACCAAATGTGACCTCTAAAACCAAATGTGACCTCTAAAACCAAATGTGACCTCTAAAACCAAATGTGACCTCTAAAACTAAATGTGACCTCTAAAACCAAATGTGACCGAAAAAACAATTTCATATATCATAATTTCAAGTTTGTGTGCGCTAATTGCTATGTTACTTGCAGGATGGCATAGTGGGGAGCACAGGTGGTGTATCTGCCAGTCATCTCAGTCAGTTAATCCATAACACATGGGTCCATTCCGTGACCTCCTGCCTGCCAGCAAACCTTCCACTCCTCACATGGCCTCATAGTGGCACCTAGCCTGGCACAAGTGCTGCGGTGATGTCACCATCACTCCGCAGTGAATCAAAGCCGTTTGTTGTGATTTGGTTATGGCTATTGCTAAAAATTTCGTTAGATTACAATTTTTGGACCACTAACTCTATCTTTACCGGTACACTGAGAACAGTCCAATTAACATCTTCTAAATATTTGCAATATTTAAGGATATAATGTGCATTCGTATATTGCATGCATGTGACAAGGATGGTTCTGATAATTAATGTGCAGGCTGTCAGTTCAGCTGCGTCTATTTTCAGCTCTGCAAAAAAATCCCTTCCATCGATTCTGTCCATCTGTTATCCGACTGCCTCAGGAGCCATGCCACCATCACGATCTATTTCAGTTCCTCACCGCTAGAAATTGTCACGTAAATTAAGCATCTCTAGTAATTATTTTAGTTTTTTTAAACGTATAAGACGAGAACCACCTCTGCCTCAGGTTCAGAATACATATTAAGATATGCTTCAGATTTGGAGATCTGAATATGAAAGATATCAAAGCTTTAAGTTTCAGAGAATATTCGGAAACAGGCTGACGTGCCTCTATCAAGGAATAAAAGAGCATACATGCAAAGGCAGACTCCTCGGGAAAACTGGGCAGCTTCAGTGAACACAATAAAAATTAGCATGACAGTTCGAGAGCACATTCATATGGCTGCTTGTGTTGTGGCCGAAACGTCGTGAGAATTTTATTTTATTATGTTTAATTAGTATTATTTTATTATTTCCCTTCTACGTGACTTTACCAAAAGAACCAAGAAGACAAAAACACATTCTCCAGCATATAGCAGATATCACAAGTATTTAAAATGTGCTTCTTCCCACAGCGCAAGATCAATTTATTGGCGTATGTTTAGAATTCTGTGGGATATAGGAGATGCCCAGGAGATGGCTCAGGGTCAGAGCACTGAGCCAGCACGCCCCTGGGATCCTGGGTTCAAATCTAGGTAGCTACTTGTGATTAAACCCAAGCTCGCAAGTGTCGTGCGTTGATGGCCTCAGTCTGGTCATCAATGACTATGTAAAACAAACAAAAAAACTCATCGTGAAAAATTAGGCTTTCTGCTTCATTGGGCTATATTTCAGCTCTCGACTGCAATGCAACAAACATTTCACCGTAGCAGCGAGTGTGGGAAAGTTCAACCCATAATTAAGTGGTTAAAGATGTTCGCTAGAAAGGAATCTCAGAAGCAGTTCAATCTCCATCCACCCAGCTTATTCTAAGACACCAACGCGATCACTTTGTACGAGTACACTCACAGCTCAGGGAGAATTATGAACGAATTCCTGTTCTAATGAAAATGCCCAATATTGGAATAAAACTGGGTCCAAAGACAACATAATATATTTTAATTTGGAAATTTCTCACGAATACTTCTGCAGCGCATGTACAGCTGTGCCAGGCACATCTAGGTCATGGTCTGAACCCAGGATCTGAAGCGATGCTGGCCAATATTGCAGGTGCGCAGCGTTGGTGGCGCATACTGGGAATCACGGGCTTGTAGACAAAGCCCTCATTGTCCAGGCTGCGCTTGTAGTAGCTGGCATTGTACGGCTCCGGTTCCTCGTCCCAGTCCTCAACCTCCCTGCAAACGCACACGTACACACGGCCCTCTCATGACGGAACTCCGCCGCCCAAACCTGCCGCGGTGAATATTGCGGCCTCGAGCGGCCGCAGGGGGCCATGCAAGTGTCCCGTCGTGCGGCATGCAGCAAACATTTGTGGCAGCAAAACCAGTTTATACTGTGCATCTAACGCTCCCCCGCCCCCCGCCTTCACCAACCCGCAGTGGTCAACGAGGCGAGTTATGGTCGTACAACCCCCACGGGCCTGCGCATGGCGTGGGGGGAGGCCCTCATCCAGCAAGCAGTGGATTGACAAAAAGGGCCGCAAGCGTACGAAGCGAACGCCAGTGCCGAACGTTGCATGAAATCGGGGGGGTGGGGGGGGTTAGGGTTAATACTCACTCGAGTGGATAAATGCGTGTGACACCCGAGTCGGTCGCGACAAAGAACGTCTTGATCCCGTGCCTGTGGAAATAATAAAAACGAATCTGTGAGTCACTGCTGCTGCCCATCGGCATCATTGGGCACGCGTGGCCCCCTGGAGCGGCGGGTGGCCTTTACTCCTGACGGTGGAAACACCGATGCACAGGCCGCGGGAGAGGTGTAGGACCCAGGGGGTGGGTGGAAACTTTTTTTTCCAATGGGGTGGGGGGGTCAGAAAATATAGACGTTCAAAACTATCTTTGTCAGGCCGCGCATTGCAAACGCACACCTTGGCGCTGTCCGATAATAAAACAAATCGTGCGGAAAAGTTACGTGCGTGTCAACAAGTAGCGAGTCCCTTGCAATGACCCTCGTGAAAAAAAAAGCCTTCACGCTCAAGTGATGCGTTCTTGGAATATTTAAAAATGGCATCATTTTTCTTAGTTTTTCGGTAAAGTCACGTTGAAGAGAAACAACAGAATAACAAAATATATATAAAACAATAAAAAATTCTCACGACGTTTCGACCATAACTCAAACGGTCATCATCAGGTGTTATTCTGTTGTTTCTCTTCAACGTGACTTTACCGAAAAAACTAAGAATATGAATTACTGCAGTCACGAAAGCTTTAAATCAAAATTTAATGGCATCATTGTTGAATTAAACATAACCGAATGTGCCAAGTACTGTCAGTGGCTTAGCTCTAAGGTAAGGGGGGTGAGGAACCTTTGCCCGGCCTGATTCTGAGGTGAATAGGACTCTCAGACATCTTCGGGCGGTGACGGCACAATAACACACACACGGCTGTTACCGTGAGAGTCCCTTAGCAGTGATAGAAGTTACCGAGCGCGTGAAAATTGGAAACAGCGTTACCAGATTTAATTTCATACGCAGGCTTGCACGACCAATACTGCGGTTCACAATTGGTTTATTTTGGTTTCGGTCGTGTAAAGAACGTGCATGTCGGAAACCGTCCTCCACTCGGCACAACCAATTCACAAAAAAAGTGTTTCTAGGTTGGAAATGTTCCACTCTAGTTCCCGATTTGTGCAGTCAAGATGCTTGCAGTGATGAAGGGAGATACCATCTGTGGGTCAATTTCGTAGTTGGGCAGCCTCATGCGGCCAAGGTTTGTCGGGGTTAAACTCACGGGCCGAAGGGTTCCTGACTCCTGATCTCTAGAATGTTTTGTTGTGCCAATCTATAGAATGTGCAGCGGGGTGAATGTATAGCATCTACAGTGGTATGCATATTTACAATGTATAATGGTGTGTGTGTATAACAATTATGTGAGAACTAACAAAATCCACATTGTAGCGAATATAGAGAATCCACAGTGATGTGAATTTAGGTAACATACAGTGGCGTGAATCTATAGAATGTGCCATACGTTCTTTATTCCTTGTATAGAACAAGTAAAGACGTACGTGCTCTTGTTCAGGTCCTGCCATGCCTCCTTCGCCAACCTGTTGGTGATTTCTACATCCAGGAGGAGGTTATAAATCCACTCCTTTTCACCTGTAAAATAAACCAATAAACACCGCAAACCATTAACCTTGATTTGTAACATACAGCTGTGCATTATTTGCTAGTGGTCTACAGGGCCAAACAAAGCAATCATGGACCCATGGATTGGCATTTTGGCTATTGCGTCTTACCAATTTGCATTGATCCTAAAACCCACAAAACAGCAGGCATTTAGCGATTAATTGATTCAAATCGATTATTAAGCTCCAAAATGGTTGGCATTGAATCATGCGTGCAAGAATCGATTTGATTTTATGCAAACGTGGGACTGACAAATGTCCAAGAAGATTGAAAATGATGTGCGGTTACATTTAGGCTAACGAAGAAAAGAATGTGAACGAGATGGTACAAAATGAGGCAAAAAATAGCCGGTTATCGAATCAAAATGGTGATCCCCAAGCCACTACTATTCATCCAACCACCGATGGTAACCCTGTCCCATAGGGCAGGCTGCCTTTTCGCAAAAAGGTAAATTCGTGAAAATGTTTCATGTACACAGTGAGCTTCGTGTAAAAAGGGATGACAAATACACGCACCAAAAATGTATTATCTTTTGTCGCTCATGTAGAAGGATAACCTGCTCACGATAGCGACGTATTGCTGTTTAAATGTAACATCGCAATGGTGTTTCCTTAAATCGTGTTCTGAAAATGCTATTACTTCCATTATCCGTGTACGCAAATAATTTATTTATACGTCAAGGAAAACAGAACAATTAAAAGACTTCTACTTGGTTCTTTCGGTAAAGTCACCACGTAGAATGGAAATAAAATAGTACAAATAAAACATAATAAAATAAAATTCTCACGACGTTTTGGCCACAATACAAGTAGCCTTCTTCAGGTGAAGGAACAGAACTGTCGGGACGACAGCAATTCAATGAACACCGCTAAGCTTGGCAGCATCTTTTAAGCTGAGTGGGAGGAGCAGAGCGGCTTGACAAAGGAGTTTACATATCAACAAAATAATTTAGCATTGAAGTAGCTGTGTTACTGTGTTGGATTAGCAGGGTGTTAAAGTCTACTTGTATTGTGGCTGAAACGTCGTGAAAATTTTATTTTATTATGTTTTATTGTTATTATTTTATTTCCATTCTACGTGGTGACTTTACCGAAAGAACCAAGAAGATGAATCCCTGCAGTCACGAAAGCTTCAAATCGAAAATTAAAAGACTGTTTCATCACAGTTACCTTATCGTATTCCCGACAATACAAATGCCTGCAACGATTCGCCAACCATCTCGGAGCTTAATACGTAATAACGCTCACCTGGCACTCGTCACACATTCACTACTCGCCACTCACCACTCGCAGACATGCACACTCCCCCCCACCCCGGACACACACTCGCACACCCGCCTGACAACACCACACAACATGGCACTCGCCAAACGCTCACGCTCACCAAATACTCACGTCACCGGGCACTCTCCACTCACCACGCAGCACACAAACAGCACCTGGGAGTGTTCAATGCTCATCAAAAACGAACAGGGGGGAAATGCAACGTATTGTTTTTTTTTTGTGCCATACTTAACAGCATAACGACTCACAGTTGGGTGCATCTGGCGATTTATTATCTATCTCGTCGATGAAGTTGAGGAGAAACTCGGTGTTGTTTCTCACTATTTTCATATTTTTGCAGTACTTCCTGCAGACAAGAGGCAAGAGCGCAGAGGTGAGGTGGGTGCAGGGAAAACCGACGGCGAGGTGGGTGCAGGGTAAACCGACGGACCGACAGCTCAAAATTAAAGAGCGTGAAACAAGTGGCCGCTGTCCATGTGCGCTCTGTTACGTGCCCCCCACCCCCCCCCCCCCATTAAAAATTATCAATTGTGAGCCTCTTACAGTGGTTGGGAGAGGTTATTCAGGGAATTACAACGCACGTGGCTTGTCGTGCCCACACACAAAAAATGACGCTGCGAGATTATTTTAACCACGAGTTTTTTTGATGATTATTCAGGACAACGTCAACCACAACAGAAAGTGCAGCAGCAGCAGCAGCAGACAAACAACAAATTAATCTTGTAAGTCTGAATTAGTCGCGTTTATATATAAAAAAAAATCACACTGGGAAATGTAGGAAAACACAAAACATGTATGAGGACTGGCGGTGTTTTGAGGCGGAAGGACACTCGCCGAGTCAGGAGAGGACTTCAAAGTTTGACGTTCATCCTCAACGGCCGACGCCAACGCGGGCACATCGCCATCGGCATGCAGCGGCACACCCCCCCCCCACGTGGAGCGACCGCGGCAGCATGCAAGCACGTCACATCACACAAACACGGCGCATGCTTTACACGCCCCTGCCCCAACGCCCCCCCCCCCTCCCTGTCCTCCCACCAAAAAAATCACAACAAGACGTTCACGCATGCAGTCACGAGTAAAGCATCCCCCCCCCCCTCCCCCCGGACCCTCTGCAAGCATGGCGTTTGAAAACAAACAAAAATCATGGTCCGCAACGGATCGAGGGAGGCGCAAGGATCATTTATGGAGGCATTCGAGAGTGAGCAACCCGGCACGGCATGCCACACATGGCGATGAGAGGGAAAAAAACACACGCGTGGCTACCTGGGGGCTATGAATACATGTCCCCTGGTTTCAGAGTGGGAAGATGGAGGTAACATGGACGAAAAATCTGCAATAAAAAGGAACAGCATCCAAGGGACAACCATCAAGGACTGCAGAATGGTAGGGGGCCGATGCGGTGGACTGGACAGGGAATAGCCATTCTTCCAATTCGTAAACCGGCACTCTATTTTAAGCTGCATCAAGGAGCTGCTGTTGCACGTATACCGTCTTATACATTTTACAGCGCGCCAGCGAAGGGATGTAAATTTTACCAACTCTTTACGAGATAGCTCTACAACTGAGTTTTTAAACAAGGACCACCCCTCCCTCGTGGTCTCTCTCCGTGTTTAAGAGGCACTCATCAAGGGGAGCAGTGTTTCATCACGAAGCCTGGTGCCTCCGCGTTCCAAACACGGCTCTGTCCATTTGCGAGTCTCCTCTTAGTCTGTGTGAGCGCACACACCGCAGTGCTGACACAGACACATTTTACAAGATGCTACATCATTATGAATGTAAATGCCCGTGTATCTGCACGACTTGCCGACCTGAGCTTGATTCACGGCCACGGTTAATATTAGCGGGGATATCTGAACCGGTCCTGGATCCCCCCCCCCACCTGCTTCATCAATCCGCACCGACCAGCGGAGTGAAGTATGGTCAAACAACCTCCTATGGCTGATACAGGATGGGCCGGACATTAATCTAGCAGTGGATTGACAGAGGGCTGGATCACTATTACAATTTACAGCGAAATTGAAATCAAAAGAGGCAACTTTCACGGCTTTAACTTACACACATTCCGCGTGACGTCTCGAATGGCTAAACAACAGAGAATGGTTTTTACAAGATGTCGCATTAATCGCGACCTCGTAACGTGAACAGGATCATGACAAGGTGTTTTAGGATAATGAGACATGTACTCTGACTTGCCAACTGAACAGGGCAATGATGGGGGTGGAGAGGGGTGGGTATAGGGGAGGATAAGGGGTGGTGGTGGGTGGTGTGGGTAGGTGGGTGGTGTGGCTCGGGGGGCGGGGGGGGGGGTCAGGGGTCAGGGGTCAGGGAACGCATTGCCGAGACGACGGTACCGTCGTTAGCGCTCGGCGCTGCCCTCCACCCGAGACTTACGGCACAGGGGTTCGGAGAACGAGAGGAAATATGCACAGACGCCCGCGTTGTAACTCGATGTGGGAAGAGAGAGAATACTGGGAGAGGTCAGTCGTGGACATATTTCGGGGAAAACACGCTACCGCTCGGTCTGGGAGGGTGACATAGGAGGGGCAGTAACAGCGAGGGTGGATGGGCAAGCAGGCTGGGAAGAGGGCGGTAGGAAAGGCACCAAATGTACAGGTTCGGGAAGACAAGGTGGGGAACTAATAGTCAAATACTTGCCCTTATTTTTGTTCAGATTGGCTGTACGAGTCCATCAGAGAGAGAGAGAGAGAAAGCAGAAAAGGGTTGGGAGGGGATGGGTAACAAACAATATTTTATTCAATTTACGACTTGAATAAAAATATTGTGTGTGCATCATACCGCAAATACTCGCCACCAACAAACAGTGAGTTCAGACCAGTCAGAGCCCTGCGCTTTTTGTGGCTTGCACAGGGCCAGAAGAACAAAAGGTAAAATAAAATAACTAAATAAGTAACGAATAAAAGGGTGCAAGCTTAGAAGCAATGATTCCAAAGCTGCATCTCGCTACCAACGCTTGCAAGGTACGCTAAGTGACAGCGAGGGCCCTATCTGAGTATTGACAAGCTAGGTCGGGCAATGAAAGTCATTTTCAGCAAGGTAATTTTTACAGATCTAACCAAGATGTAGAATGATGGGGTGAAATCTATGAGATGGTCACGTGCACTACAAACATCTGAAAATGACTTTTTTTTTAAGATCACATAAATACAAACGATGCCTACGATGCTCTCTTTGGCCTATGCCTGTGATCCAATTGTTAATTGTAATAGGTAGCTATTGCCCAGAATCATGAGGGTCAATAATAACATTGGGAGATCATTTAATCAGATTTAAAATCCAATCTGTGCCAAGATTTTTTTTTGTATCTACAGTCTAAAGTTAATCCATTATTTAGATAATGTGGCACAGACTTGCTACTGTTCAGCCATTTCTGCAGAAAATAAAATAATATCACCCTGGGAACACAGCGCCAGCATTTAGAGTTATTCCCAATCAATTGACAGCATACGAATACTTTAGTTGCTTCCACCAAAGCTAGACAAAGATGTGCAAAAATGGCAGTACTCGCTCTACTGCTGTGACGTCAAAGGAAAAAGGGGAATGGAAATAAAGAAAAAAATAAATTGAACACTAAGTAAAAACAACATGGGCATTATTTTAAGTGTAAACATGTTGGAGAATTTATTCTAATCATTTTTTTTTACCGTTCACCTCTCCTAAGCAAGATTAATAGTGCATGTTCAAAACTTGTTTGTTTATGCATCACCGGCTGATACAAACATTATACAATCTGACTCGCACGCTGCTTGTGTGGGTTATGTCTTCCAAAGATCTACTCATTTTTCATCCGACAGCATTTAGTAAATCACGTCAGTGGCTCGTGTAAATCCAACGCACATAAATAAATAACAACACGCATTTTAAAAAAAAAATCACTGCTTTGGAATCATTCGTTGTGACATCATTTAACAGAAAGAGGACAGCCGTATTCCAAATATAGATAATATAGGAAATTGAATAAAGTTGGAAATAAAGGCATAAGGTCAACGCAACAATGAAAACATTTACTATCTTGCAGAAAGAGGAGTCCGTGGACGAGCCGCTGTTGGGAACTGCATGTCGCCTACAAGGAGAGCAGGGTCACGCGATAGAGGGTGCGTGCGCGGGTGGCTCTGCTGTGCGTCTTACACTTGGCTTGCGTGATATCGTCACTCAGCCGGGCCTTGATGCGGTAGAGACTGTACGAGGGCATCACCAAGGCCAGGCTGCGGGCACACGGGGGGGGTGGGGGGGGCGAACAGGGCAGCCAGAGCGCGCCTCTCACCGACGACACGTGACCGCGACATGGTGGGAACTCTCAAGCAAGTGCAAAACCCTCCACGAGCCACACACTGCATATGTTGAACGTCTTTCGCACCGTTCACGTTGATTCGCAGTTTCGTTTGAAAGTAGATGCTCTAAACAAAGCCGAAGTGATTTCCCTGCTCAAAGTTCCACATTCCTAGAGCGGGTCCAACCGTGTTGACTTCGCCACTAAGTGGTAATCATATCATCAACCCCAGGGGAATAATGGGGCTGAGTCAAGCCCCAACCGGGACTTTAACCTGCAACCTTCCGATTGTGCTGCTCACTACCACCAAGCCAACAGGCCGGGTAAGAACCCAACATCAACGTGCTCATCATCAATGGCTGCGCAGTTTCCCAGTGGTATTTTGTTTTAAAAGATGGGGTACCTGTAGTCTGTCTCCCGCACTCGCTTCCACGTATACGTCCTCAAACCTTTATCCACGTATCTCTGTAAAAGAAGCGGGGTCACGTTAAGGCCTTCCGTTGCACACAGGAACTGGCCTTTGCTTTGATGTGCACAGTACTCTAGACAGATAATGTACGCTTATACCCATTCCTATAGAGGAATCAAGAAAACTCTTTGTTAAGCTGCTGGATAAGCAACATAGACAAATCGATGGTTTAATCCTTGGAATGTATCCATCATGCCACTGCTCCACCCATAACAACAATTGAAGATGTTAAATCATCTACACGAAAGGCTCTGTAGATAACGTACGTAAGAAGTAATGCGGCCTTCGCAACTGCTTGCTCACGCCACTGCCAGCAGAAGAACATCCACGACAACGAGCTCCGGAGGGTGATATTTTGGCCTACTCATTGACCAAACGCATTGGAAGGAGTGGGCGCACTCACACTCTACCCCCACCGCACGTGACCGAACGATCAACTAACTGTAATGTACCCACGAATATTGATAAAGTGGACGGAGGTGGCGGCATTAAACAAACAAAAAACTCGTACCTTTGCTTCAACTATCACGCCGGGCATAAATCGGCGGAAAAGGGGTGGAAATTCAAATGGATGTAGAAGGTTGGAGAGGTACGGAAATTTAGGAACATTGTTCGGGAAGTGACTTTTCAATGGCAAAGGACAGAATTAATTATTTACTATTTTTATTTAATTTACCAGGTAAGGCCCACTGAGCTATGTAGCTCTTTTTCAGAAGCGACCTGGCCATCACAAATGATAGCTCAAACAAGTGGCTCATCACGTGGTAATTCATAGCAGTCAAATACCCTGCTAAACGCCCGTTTCTAAACGCGGAGGGGGTAGAAAGAAAAAAAAACCTGACGATTACGACGACGTTGAAAATGATAAAGACGACGGTTGGGGTAACGCACGCGGGTCTGCGGAGCGGTGCACAATGAAGGAGCAAGCGTACACGCGTATTTAGATCTGGGTCTAAAGAAAGGGATGGGATCAGTAGAGTGGACGATGACCGAGGGGAGGGAATTCTGGATGACGGGGGTGGGGTGGGGTAAAGCAAAAGTGAAGGAGAAACAAAAATCATCTTGCCTCATCCAATGACTTGATTAGCGTTTCAAACGTCTTTGTGCCAGATTCTCCTTTGATCATGAGCTCTCTAATCTGAAAAAAAAAGACAAAACAGGCCGGTGCACATCGTCAAAGCTGCGAATCAAAGGTGTCCCCGAGAACAGTGATCGATGCGTCTCCGCTCATGGATTCACTCGAGTTGCCGTTGTTCCATCGCTTCCCTACGACTCTTTTTAAATCACTGCTCACACAGTCGTCATTATCGTGAACTTGACACCAAGATACCTTCAACGTTAAGGATTCGCCGTTCGACCAGATTAACAAATGCATACCGTGTTCAACAGCCTCATTTCAGGACGGAACGCTTCTCTGCTCACACTCCTTCCCACCGTCTCATTTTCCAACTTTCCCAATCTTACTCAATTCAAATAAAACACTTTAATTCTCATCTGCTGTACGATCGTTATTACTCTCTTCAGCTGGCTGCTGTGCATCATGGGTCCTTGAGCCTTTGCTCAGCAATTGTGATAAAAATAATAATCAACAGCTTACCCATGGTGCCAGTGAAAGAGGCAGAGAGAAGTAATGTACCCCGATGTCTTCATTATGCAGGAGTTGGCTTTTAAACATATCAAAGACACTCACTAATTGACAGCCAGTAAGATCCGTCAGTCTGCGGCATCGGGTACGCGATGTCCTTGCACACGTGATTCGCAGGATCCACGTGCGATTGGCCAAACACTTTCACAGACAGTACTCCCATCATTTAAGCCAAGATACCTCATTTCCATCAAAACTGACAACCAGGCTTTGCTAACCAAGGAACAGCTCAGGAACAACCGCATGATAAGGCCTTGATCCACACACTCAATATATAAAATGACTCCATGGTCTTAGCCTCTGCCACTCCATCGCTGCTACCTCTTGCTCCTTGGCAGATGGTGATGGTCTGGATGTATGTTGAACTTCTCATGCACTGCACGTAGCTAACTGTGCTAACCGGAGGTGCGATGTTGAGTCTATGGGTAGTGTTGAGTCTATGGGCAGTGTTGAGTCTATGGACAGTGTTGAGTCTACGGGCAGTGTTAAGTCTATGGGCAGTGTTAAGTCTATGGGCAGTGTTAATCTATGAGCTTCTTTTGCACCGTACGTGTCCACCCGTGCGAATCGGAGGTGCAGGGGGAAGGACAACAAACTAAAGACAAAAAGTAGGACGATAGAAATTAGTTTTATATCAAAAATGGTAAGGAAGCAATGCTTCAAGTTGGTTAATGAATCACCATCCTGGTTATGACTGCAGCATGTGTTAACCAGTGCACGTTCAAGATCACGTGACGTCATTAGCAAGAGTAGGCCATTGTGAGCCTCATTTTACTCAATGTGAATCTGTAAGGCCATCGTCGCTTCCCCCTCGGACCCCCCCCCCCTGAAAAGAAGCCATCAGACTCATTGTGGCTTTCCTGGGTAAAATAAGCACAGAAGAGAAATATACAGTGAGCTGATGTTTCAGGCAATAACTCTGTCATACATACGCAAATTATTTTACTTTCTCAAGATTTATTTGATGATCGATATATTATTATGTCAATTCGAATAGGTTGTTTTTGTTTTAAACTTCATTAATATGTTCATAATATAGGTTTTGTTGGGTTAGATCGCGTAAATATAAGCGTGTCGTTAAAGCCGCCATCACCCGACACAGCCAATTAGTAAGGTATGTCACGTAAACAAAACATGCCAATTCGTCACTAGTACAGCACACCGGTGCGTTGGAGAGCAAATCCACAATATTTACAATCTGAGTACGACGTTTCGCCAGTAATTACAACTAGCTTCATCAGGCAGACAGCCAGCTTTGTGGAGAAATCCTCCTCTTCCGTTCCTTGAATAGAGGGATATATGTGATGACGTCACTTGTGAGCCCTTCATGTGCGAAGGGGGGGCGGGGGATTAATGAATGCATATAAATTACAATGGGTATCCATTACCGGTTGGATTATTCATATGGTAATCAACGTAGATTATAAGCATGCAAATTGTTCTTTATTAATGCCCTAGGTTTCCCAGGGAACCCAACGAGTAATAATGTCCAACTGTTAAGTCGGTCACCCTTTCCGCTGTCTCTCTGCTCTGAAGAAGAACAACGTCAGGACAAACCCCCAGCAGTGCTGCTCCGTTCCTGGAGTGGCTCGGCACGGCTTGGGCGTGCTTATCGACGGTCATGGAAACGCAGCATAAAGGAACCACATTTGGGGGGGGGGGAGATGAGTAAGCAGTTTTTTTGATGGGCCAACTCGGAGCACGGAAGCAGGAAAAATCGTCGCGCGTTTTTTCACCTCCACTTTGATGTCATTCTCCAGCTCGGCGTCCAGGAAGTCGAGCGTCACTGGCTCAGAAAAGCTCGCGAGCTTGAGGCGAGGGGGACAAACGAGAACGTGTGTTAAAAAAAAAAAACGTCCAGTAGCTTGCGAGGAGTGTCCATCTCCCGATCCTTGTTCCAATAACACGATGGATGAGCAGCCACTTCCACCAATTTTTTTGTAATCGCATTTAGGATCGAAGCTTTTTGCGAGTCGTGCGATTGCTCGCTCAAGCCACTGCTGGCAGGAGGGCCTCCCCCTCTTCAGGGGGCTCTAGTGAGCACCTCTATATCGTTTGTATTTTGGCCTACTCTTCCACGCTGACCAGACGTCACCATCGCACCCCACTGCAAGTGACGTGCCGATCGAGTAACGGCGGTGAACCCGCATATACTGCTGGGAATTACAAATGTCGCAATTTGTTCAACTGCTGCATCGGATGATTGCAAACAGCAGCCTCTGGACTGCGAGTCCAGTGTGCTGACCGTGGCACCACGTGGGCGGCATTGCACTTTCTAATTGCTGTAATCAAATCGGCAAGGAATGTTGCAAAAACGTCAAGCCACTTGCTTTGGAGCAGTGGTCCTTAACATGGGCTGAACGCGTCCCCCGGGGGTGCGAGACGCTCATTCTGGGGGTACGAGACATGGCCACATTTTTTTAGAAGGTAAAAACATCGAAACACAAATTAAGCATGGGCACGTAAGCACAACTGCTTTGTTTCACCAAACCTACGTATTTATTCACATTGTTCATTTTTGTTACGATTGAGAACCAAAGGGGGGTGCGAGTCTGCAGTCAATGTTAAGAACTTTAGGCTATGTTAAACGAACAGTCCAGTCTCCTATCATTAACAACACATGGCTGGTCAACATAGATTAAAAACAACGAATGTAATCAAATGGCGATTGCACTTTTTGTTGCCTAGCGGGACTGTTACTGGAATCAAAGCGTTGTTAAATCCAGAGCACAACCGATGACTTTGTTCAAGGAAATAATTAAACAAATCCCCGTGCACGAACCACTAAATGGCACTGGGAAACAGTTGAAGCAGCAAACAGAAAGCATTATGCAATAACATTTTAAATAAATACCCAAAGCAATGGTGCTTTGCTTTTGTTTAAATAGAGTTAAACAGAGCAGTGCACCACCGAACTAACCGGCGCAAAAACACAATTACACACTATAATAAATCGGCAAAAAACACGAACTCACAGCCACAACGTGATTTTTTTGTTTAAACAAATATAGAAAGTATATAGATTGTTTTCTCTTTGCACAGCATTTTTTTTTTTTACGTTTATGAGTATTCATGTGACGGGTTCTTTGAGTGGCAGATTTGTGGCAGAATGGCCCCACGCGTTTAAGCAAAAACAAAATTGCCTTAATGCTAGTGATAGCAATAGTGGTTCATAGTAGATGGGTTTTCAGCCAAGCGTCGGTAATTAAACACTGTGATCATGTCATGTGCGAATGAATACCTTTGGCAGCAAGTTGGGGTGCAGAAACACGTATCCGTTGGGATCGATAGCAAAGAAGTACCCATTTGCACCGAGCTGCATCGCAAAATACCCACACAATACACCCATCTGTCAAAATAATCATCAGCATCACCAGAATCGCCGTCATTATCGTGATCAACTTTGCTGCTATTCTGGCCCAGAGGCGTCTCTTTCTGCCGAGTAAGCAGGTGTTCTCACCGCACAAATAAGTCACAATGGGGCCATCCGATAATTCAGCAGTTGTTGGTATTTGTCCAAGTTTTGCCCAAAGCTGCTGGTGAAATTAATCAACGATATAACGGCACGGTTGTTCACACCCTCCCGAATCAGCAGTCAGTGTATTATTTCGTAGGGTTTCTCGTCCGCATTCAAAGTAGAGATTCCTAACAGCAGTCTCCAGAGATAGTCCATGAAACACGAAAGTCTAGCCAACTCGGCAAAGACTGCCAAACGTGTTCACCAAACACACGTGAGCGTGAGAAAAAAAGATAGCTTTCGCCAAGCAACTTTAAATCTCGACATTAATTCTGTGTTGTTGCAGTGGGTTTTGAAATTCATGAATAATAAACTCGCAAATTCTGGACCAGTCAACGGAAAGCATTTGTTAAAACGAATGCTGTTGGAAAACGTTGTTATAGAAGGCCCCTGGTCTGAAAGCCGAGCATTTTATTGTGTTATAACACAGTGAGGCATTATCTTTTCTGTTGAACTTAATAAACAGAAGGCAGTTGTCTTAAAGCCTCTGAGGCACAAGACAGCAGGAGGCAATGGCGGCTGGCCATAACTGCACTGACGGTTTCCTAGTGTCTCATTGTCCTGTTCCTCTGATTAGCATACATTCATACATTGTCCTGCTCTTCCGAATCGCACCACATAGGACAGCAGTTCAACATATATACTTATTTTGATTTAAAGCTTTCGTGACTGCAGGGATTAATATTCTTGGTGCTTTCGGTAAAGTCACGTAGAAGGGAAGCAATGAAATAATACAAATATAAAACAATACAATTCTCACGACGTTTCGACTGCAACACAAGCAATCATCATCAGGTGTGAAAACCACAACAAGATAATTTGAAAAAAGTGGCGGTTTTTTTAACGTTAGCACCATCTCAACAAACTGCCAAATCTCTCTCCGTGGTGCTAACGTTAAAAAAACCGCCACTTTTTTCAAATTTTCTTGCTGTGGTTTTCACACCTGATGATGATTGCTTGTGTTGCAGTCGAAACGTCGTGATAATTTTATTGTTTTATATTTTTATTATTTTATTGTTTCCCTTCTACGTGACTTTACCGAAAGAACCAAGAATATATATACATATGTTATTGTCAAATAATATGGCCACAACTTTGACCCTTTTGAGTTGGTGGTTAAAATCAAGGCTGTGTGCATTATACACGCAGTGTGGTGATGTCAGGCGACAGCAAAGGCATGATTGGGAGGACCAAGCAAATTCATATTCGTGCCTTTCGTTGCCTAGAAATTGTCTTTTTGCTTGTACTATTACTCTGCTACACACTCTCCCGTCGTTTATATTGAAAAAAAAAACACGTGAGGATATGAGACGGATTCGTGCATACGTGTAGCGACTCCGACGGCAACGTAATAAGAAGAGCCACTTTTATTGAAAGCCTTCTAAAATAAGTAACCCTACTAAAGACTTCCACAAAAAAAAGACCCGAGGCTTCGTTCTTGTCTTCCCTGCTTGTATCTTCCTCCGAGCATCCCCACTCCTCGTGCTCTCCCTGTATATATCCCCCTTACTCGAGCCTTGTTGTCCTTGTTTTTTTTACCTTTAGCCGATCCCATGTCCGTTCCCTCTAACGGGTCCTTTCTGTTTACCCGTTTTCTCGTTCAACCCTCATTCTCCAATCCCTTTAAAAGTCTGCCTCCTGACCAATCACCGTGGAGGTCTCTTTCTTCCAATCAGACACCTTTGTTTATTTGTGAATAGCCGTTAGGCTGCATATGGCTTGAGGTCATTTTTCGGTCATTACGCATATGCATGAATCTATGTCATAACCCACAAGGCTGGTGCACATCCAGTTTTGCACAATTTCACTGTTTGGCCCCTGATGGTCCCCACGGTGTGGTTCCACGCAGTGCCTTGGGCCCAAATCATCAAAGTGACCAACAACATTTGATTCAAATGTCAGATTTTTTTTCCCCCCTCCACGTTTGCTTGCAAAACACTTCCGATTATCCACAACGGGAGAACTTCTCCACAAATGTGGCTGTCGCCTGATGATGCTTGTTGTAATTACTGGTGAAACGTCGTACTCGAATTGCAAATGTTGTGGGTTTACTCTCCAACACACCGGTGTGCTGTACTTGTGATGAATTGGCATGTTTTGTTTACGTGACAAACCTTACTAATTGGCTGCATCGGGTGGTGGCGGGTTTAATGACACATTTAGATTCGCGCGATCTAACCCAAAAAAACCTTTATTATGGATAATATTGGTCGCGAAAGCCTACGTGTCAAACTGACTTCAAATTATTCCAACGTTGACACATGTAACACACCCGCTGCTGCTCAGCACAGATTAAAAGTTGCCATTACAGAAGTTCGAGCAGATGAACGCGCAGGCAACAGGAGCTGCTGCAAGCGGACGACTCACGACTTACAATGTACTCCTTGGTGAGCCTCTTTACATCCTCCAGAGACACGTCGACACCCATCACACCTAGGATCAGCTGATTCTGAAATCCACAGGGAACAAATTAGCTAGAGGCGCTGACCACTGAAAACACGAGCACGATAAGATATATACGCACGCGTTTTTGAACGCTTTTCAACATAGGTGCAAAGTGTGAACGCATTAGTTCTGTCCGGCCGTCTGTCGTGGGTCATGACAACTCTCATGACAATGATCTGATATAAATAACAAATTAGTTTAAAGTTATCGAGGACTTATAACGCAGGTGAGTGGCGCCTTCGTGTGATGGACCGAGGGTCATTGCCCCCAGAACGTAGCCTACTAATTATTTTCAACGCAGTATTTTAATGACACGGAATGTGTTCACTTGCTCTTGTTATTTGTGCTCGTGCACCACTGCCAATGCAGAATCCGAATATTTATTTAGACTGGTGGAGGAAGCTCTTTTTCACAGATGTCCACCAGGGGGTGGGGGTCAGAAAGTTACAACCAAAAAAACTAAGCAAATAAAGAAGCAGCAGCAGCACCATTCAAATCGTGTGTACTCACAGTGGTACGAGTGTCTGACCCCACATCAGAGACGAGAAGCTCTCATTAGCCCTTTTTCCCGGAATAAAAAATAAAACAACTTGATCGGTCCACCGAAGCTCACACAAAGGCCATGAGGGAGGGCGTGTGGCACAGCTTGGCGTCAGTTACCGTACAGTGCGGTCGTGTCGCTACAGTTCTCTGCTGTGAGTACAATGTCTTTAAAAAAAACGGGGCAACTACGCCTCTCTAAATAAAATTAATGGCGAACCGCTTGCGCGTTCCGAGATCCAGCGGTGAACTGGACACCCACCCTGCAACTCGCAGATGTCTCGGAACGGGAAAGGGCTAATAACGTTTTACAGTTGCCACGTTTCCGTTACTCCCCGCTCTGACAAGGCTAGAGGTGCTGCCTCTCTAAGTTCACACAGGCTGCGCGCTCAGCTACCGCCGCCGCATCCCGAGCCGACGTCTCCTCTCACCTGTTTGTCTCCCTGCATGCTTGTGTTGAACACCGGCATCGTACCTGTGATGACCAGACCCAGCCCCTGTTGAAATAATAGACACGTTCACGCAACCGTAACCGATGGCCTCGAACACGCACGGCCCTTTCGCCAATCCACTGCTGGACAGGGGCATACCTATGCCACGCCAGGTCGTGGTGGCGCATGTCTGTAATCCAGAACTGTGGAGTTAAGCGAGGGTTGGTGGATTATCGCACTGATATCAAGAAACTGCCTTCACGTGCAATATTCTGGGCTTTCCAGAAGGCAGGACAGCCTTGCCAGGTATACAGGAGGTCATGGGTTCGATCCCAAGCCTGACACCTGTATATTTGGAGTTTGCATGTCTCTCTCCCCGTGATCGCCTTAATTTTTATTCGGATCCTCTGGTTATTTCCTCAACACTTAGAAACATGAGTTTAAGAGTATTTGGCTGCTATAAATTCTACACGGTAAGCCACTTCTTTGAACTATAATTTGTGGCCAGGTTGCTTCTAAAAAAAGAGCTACATAGCTCAGTGGGCCTTAACCTGCTAAAATAAATTGTTTAGTGACAATAGTTTTTACAATCGGTCCGTTTTAAGGGAGAGAGAGCAAACAATCTCTCGCAGTATCAACATTGATTCAGGTGACTGCACCGCTAATGTAATATCCGCCTTGGAGAATGAAATAAACACATTACAAGTCCAGGATAACGCAGGCGCGTCGTTAAACCTGCCGCCACCCGTGCGGCCGCTTTATACAACAGCCTCTCAAACCGCATGCACGTGGAGCGTGAATGTTAGTGCACCCCGTGGCTCTGCACCGAGAAGACGCGCATTAGGACATGCCATCAGCCTTTTTGGCACCTAGGGTACCACGTCATTGAACTCGACGCTGCGACACAGTTGTCACATCGCGGCTTTAATGCCGCGTCTCTCCTCCCGTGCCGCATTAAGCCCGCAAGCAGCCCCCGAGGCTTCATCCGTTTCAAAAACAGAGCTATCACACGTGACGTCTTATCGCGCTGGAAATAAACGTAGCAAGCCACGCGACGATTCGTAAATTTAAAGTAAATTTTTTTTTATTCAAATCAGTTCCTACGGCCACAATACAAGCACGGCAGCGATTATTTTCGTTTCGTGTAGGACTCTATGCGATCTTTTTCCCTTTGGGCTAATGGGCAGAACGAACAAGATAAAGACTAAAAACGAAAACCGTACAGATGACACAGACCATACAGGTGGGATAGGATGAACGAGAGAGACTCTGCGAGCCAGCACTAGACAAACACAGTTTGAGACGGACAGGCGTGGGACGATTTGCGAATTTAAATTTAAATCTATTGCTGCGATCACAATGCACGCGCCGGGTTGCGTGTAGAGAAACGCTCGTTATTTTCAGCGTATGTAAGTGTTGCATAATGTTTTTTTCATTGGGCTGATAATCTTCGCGAATGAGGCGGAACAAATGAAAATAACCCATGAGAAATACAGCACAGATGAAACGGACGGAGCTTCTGAGGAAGTGCCGAGGAGACAGACAGCACAAACGAGATAGCCAATACAACGGAGGCAGCTTAGACAGCTTATAACGATAAAGAAAGCACAAACGATACACGATGCAAACGAGACTTCATAACATCGCAATACAAGGACGAACGCACAGGCAGCATAAACGAGAAAAATAGCACGAATGATAGTGCAAACAGGGGGTTTCACCGAGGAGGCATGCAGCACAAACGGCACAGGCAGTCGATGGCACATTATATAATCAAAACCGTTCAGACGAGACAATCGGCACAGACAAGACAGTACAAATAAGACAGAATCGTTGCAAGCCTAGGCGTCAGCAGCCAAGTAGCTGGAGGGATTTAACCCCGTTTGGCTGCATGTACTTAAGTGCCTTGAACTTCTTTCGCACCGTACATGGCCAAACTGTGCTGGACGGAGGTGCAGTTTGACACCCGCACAGCTCACTCAGAGGGCTTCAGCCAACAACGCGAGCACAAAACCCAGTGGTGGGGGGGGGGGGGCTGGGGGTTAATGGGAGCCTCGCAAACGGAGGCGTGGAGATGCCGGCACTCACCAGGGCATCCTGGTAAACGTTGGTCCACTGCACCTGCTTGGCACTGGGCCCTTTCAGCACCATGGGGCGGCTGAGGACATCCAGGTACTCCTGCGCAGGAGGGAGGGTTGGGGACGATCAGAGACTCTGCGCGCCGATAGCACATACCCCCGATCTAAATTGCGTGTCATTCATTCGTCGTCTCTGCATTGCACGCGTGTAACAAATTGACACATGTTCACAAGAGAAGTGCACACGTAATTAATTCGTTTGTCAGTGCCTCCCCCCGCATTAAGTGACATCTAATCCACAGCCATCGGCACTTACGCATGCGCAGCACATTCGATGAAAGATAAAGCCGCGGCCCCGCAAAGTCTCACTCACGCCAATGCTGGCGGAAGCGCCTCTTCACGAGAGGAGGCTCTCGTGGAGAGCCTCTCTATAAGATATTATATTTTGGCATACCTGTCCGCACTGGCCAGATGTTTCGGAAGAGGTGGAAGTAGCCACACTTTACTCCACCACACGCGACCCACCGATTGAGTCATTTGGAGTACGCATTATACTTAAGGGGCACGTACAATATATATACGGTCACAGAAACGTTCTCAAACTCTTTATACATTTACGTATCGGCAACATAATGAAGTTTACAAATACATATTCACAGATATTTGTTATCTGACAGTATGTCTACTTACTAATGCCTGATAAACAGTCATAGGAAGAGATTGTGTGACTGGCAGGCAGGCCTGAGAGAGGGCAGGTAGTCCGTGACGAGGCGGTCCACCAGAACAACCAATAACATCCGTACCAAGTGACTGCTTACCTGTGTGTTAATCCGAATGGCCCCAATGGAAGGAATCTCAAAGTAGTAACCTACATAAAAAAATGTAAACAACAAACATTTAACAATCGGCAATAGGAAAAGAACATGCACCACGTCCTTTCCCAAAGATGTTGGCGATCATGGCCTTTTTCCATTGAGCAGCTCTGTCCATGCTATTTACTCGAGGACTCAGAGTTCGATACTCAAATATCTTAAGTACTTATTTAGCTGTCTTCCCCTGCTTCATGTACCTAAAAGATTCCAAGTCTAAACATTATATTCAGTCTCGTTTTTCTCATGACATGTCCAAAAACTCTAACTTGCCTCATATTACACAGCATATGAACCTTGTAACAATTTGTCCCACTCACATTTTTATAAAATGTTAACAGTTCCTTCGGTAAAGTCATGTAGACTTTACCGAAAGAACCAAAGAGTAATTCCTGCAGTCACGAAAGTTCCAAATCAAGTTTAAAAATGCTATTTTATGTTTCCTGTATATTAGCTGCAGGGCTAGCTACCTGGGATCATATCGTTGTAAGGGTCATTTGATGCCATTGCATATAACATATAGGAATCCAAAAATACCAATAAAGTCAGACATTTGGAATATGCAGAGATTTCCTTTGAGATTCAGAGGCAAGGGAAAAGGCAGACTAGCAAGCGAGGCAGCCAAGACTGGTACCAACAATTGCCCAGGTTCTGTGGCCCTACATTGGAATGCTTGGCCAACTCCGTGAGTATACAGAGGGAGAAAACTGAAGCACCCGAAGACAACCCGTGCATGGCAGGGGCGGAGGGGGGAAACACTCAATCCCCAGACAGATGGAGATTGAGCCCGCTTGCTGCACTGCCATCTCCCGGCGGGCTAAGGGTATGGCCATCTCGACGGCCACGGAAAGGGAGATTTGCAAGATTTGTTCGATCCACCAACCCTAACTGCCTCAACAGTGCCGGGTTACAGGTGTGCGTCACCCACCGCCCGGCTTTCGATTGTTACACAATTTGTTTAATGTATCCTAAGCGTATGAATTTATTTAATTTTTTTAACTTATGCGTAGCTACATGCCTGGTAAATACACACACACACACACTTAAAAATGTTGACCTTGTTGTACACAAACCACACTGAATTCTGAACCATCAACATTCACATGCTATCAATATTAACCAACTCACACATTCTGATGAAGACGTTAACACAACACAGATCCCTCATTTACCTTTAGATGCGCAAGGAAAGTGGTGTTAACAAATACCTTATAAAGGCCAGAAAAGCACCTGAACAGTTGCTGCGGCTTGTACTTAGTCCGCACACCTATGTCTCCCGAGTGCCGATGTTCACAACTTTGCGCAACACAGGTACTCATTTAAAAACGGAGCTGATCTAACAAGGGACCCAGGACAGGTTCGGACACCACTCGCCACTGCTGTTTAGCTTTGACCGGAAGTCGAACTTGGGTCGCCGGTCCTGTGGCGCAGTGCGCTAATACTCCGCCACTGCTGTGAACACATGCGCGCACACACGCACGCAAGTGTAATAGCACGAAAGGCCGTCTCACCTTTATTGGCACACGCCATCCACTGGATGGGCGTGACGTCATAGTTGTGTTGCCCGACTGAGAATGTGAACACGCGTACCTGCGAGAGAGAGAGTGCGCACAAGGGCAGTCAAAGTCCACGGGCTTGCGGCATTAAAAAGGCTGCAAGACACTAAGGCTCCAACCTGCTCGCAGCCGTCCTATGACTGGCACCGTTTGGCAATAAGCACATCTTAAAATGAAGATGGAATGTACCTAGGGCTGTCTGACATGATTAAATCAATAATAATTTACGTGTTTATTCTGAGAAGCAATGCTGCGCCATTGGGCTCTATTTCAGGAGGGTCCTGCTTTGCCCTTTAATTCTAAGACGTTTTCAGCCAATTCATGATGAGTGTCCGTACAAGTGTGGGAGCAAACCGGACCACCCGGAGAAAACCCACACATGCAAGAGGGGGCAACGCACTATCCCCGTACAGATGGAAACAGACGTCGATTAGTCCGCTTGCTCTACCGCCAGGGTTATGGCGCTTCAACGCCCACGGGAAGGGAGTTTCGGAACATTTGTGCTATCCACCAACCCTCACTGCCTCCTCCAGTGCTGGGATTTCAAGCGTGCACAGCCACCACCGCCGATCCGTGAATGATAAAAAAAAACATTTAAAGTTAAGGTCAAGAGCAGTGACATGACACCACTACAGTGGCAAAGCAATTGAAAGCACGGCACCCGCAAGGTGCTCATGATTCGGGCTGAAACGGATGCGTCCGTTCATCAACGAACAACGATTGTTACGCTCACGATACGTGCCATCAAATTGCACGTGTAACAATTGATAGTGGTCGATTTGTGTGTTGTATGAAAATGGGGTCACTGTACCCTTGCAGCCACTAGCGGCGCTGCCAATTACCCGAATGTACAAACATAATTTTTGTCACAAATCACGACAACTCATGAAATCACAGTTGAGGAGGGGAGGTCATGTCTACTCTTCTTCAGACCTTGACTGTATTTGTTTTATCAATTATAAAAAGCTTCAAATGTGCAGCGAGCAGCCCAAGATTTGTGTGTGTATGTCTTTTGCATTGCCTTCCTTGAATTGGAATTAAACACTCATATACGTTTATGCGCGCAATATACAAATGCATGCACTTAACGGGTGCGCATATAAAATTGCAATCAGATCTCCGGTTCCATATCATTCGCGCGAACAGCAACGCAGCTGGACTAGATGAACACCTTGCACCATCCCCGGATGTAAATCGGCATCGTTGATTTGGTAATTTGTCTTTTCTTTAAATTAATATGATTCGTTAATACGTTTATTGACCAGTTCCTCTGCCCTCCTACTTTCCTCTCCCACTCATACACAACACAGCTGCACGTGTGCTCTTTTGTCTGGCTTCATTCCCGTCACGTGTCCCAACCGATGCAATCATTCTAAAACACTGCAGCCTTTTTACGTAACGTTGCAATCGGGTATACACTGATACAATTAGACAAGTTGACAGATAAAGCCCATTACTGTGAGAAGCTATATTTAAACACAGCACATAATTGTAGGTAGGACCGCAGCAGCTCCTATATAATCTACACAAACAAGGGATTCTAAAAAAAGGGGCCCAAATGGCCCGGGAGATAAAAGATGGATGTCATTAGTATTATTTATTCATCTTGGTGCACGCTTGCAATGCCAGTCTCACGGGGTCCTTTTGGCCATAAAGACAGACATAATACATGAACGTCTATAATTACAGCAGAATGAGAGACGCAATTAGCGCTACGTACCGCGTCACAGCCGCCACCAGCGGCGTGTTGTTGGCACGAGCACACACAGCTGCACCCAGTTATTTACACACGTCTTCACACGGTCATTACGTCGTACTATGCGGTTGTGTTTTCGTTATGTATCTCATATGCAAACATTGGGAGGCACGTACATATGTATGGCCAACGCCGGGCAATCCAGTGCGGATTGAGGGCATCCTGACGCCGGGCGGGTAGCGAGGGTTATTAGACCGTGCTTCACCATGCTGCTCAGTGCTGGTTGGTGAATGTGGGGAGCACAGACGCGGCAGCACAGAAGTACGGTACAACAAAATATTGCATCTTCACTGCCTCCTGTTGACAAACGAACGTAGTGTGGCCCCCTCGGACGCTTATGACAACCTGGCGTGCATGGTGGCCGCCCAATCCAAGCTCAACTTAGGGCTCAACCCTGCTTAGCTTCTCAGATGTGATCAGATCGGGCGCATGTCGGGGCGACTTTGACCACAGGGAAGAAAGTACAAGCGGGACAAACGTAATCGATAATTGAATTTAATCGTGACCCTACATCACAACAACTCCTCGGATCGTGGGGGAAGGCGAGGGTGAATGACGATGTGCCTGCAACGGATATATACATTATCCGCCATGCAACCAGGGGGCTACAAAAAGGAATATAAATTTGTCGCCATGGCAACGGCAGGCTCCAGAATTTATGGTGAACGTACATTAATTTTGCAAACTGCTGACTGTTCCACTTCCCGCATGCTCACCATCACTGCTGTTTAAAGACCGCCCCACCCCCCCCCCCCCTTTGGGGGGCCCTCAGCACTCAAGGGGCAGATGAGATGCCCTACCTTTTTTTACGAGTCAAGCCCGGATTCTAAATTGGAAGTAATTGAATAAGTTACTCGTCAACTTCAACCCACAGTTTAGCTATCGCCTTCGGGTAAGCTCGTCTCGGGAGGAACACGAGACTGCTCTATTAAGCGCCGTGCAGCATCCAGCAAGCCCTGACCCTGGGAGCTTTGTGCCACCGCATTCCTACCCTTTGTATGCGCAGCAAAAGCTTTGCTCCTCGAGGTGACTGCTCGTGGCTTTAATGTTATTTTTTTAATAGCCTTTTGTTCCCGTAAATGTATTCGGAACGCGCGTCACGCAAGAATACGACTTGTCCCTGCGGAACTCTCGTGGAGCATCGCCTGAGCGCGTTGGAGAACGACCCGCAGAAGCATGTTTCAGAGAACTACTGCCGATGCCCCTTCAAAAGTGACCACTCTCGTCTACACACGAAAGGATGCCATTTCCCACATGCCCTGCCGCAGGGAAATGTTTATCGCATGGCAATCAAAACACATTGGGGTTTTTTTTTTCACCCATTCTCAGAGCTGGAATTTTAGTCAAATTAAGTGAAAACACAAATTTAATCTTCAGTCTTTTTTTTGTGAAGTCACAGGTGACCAATCTGAGACTCGTCATCCTGGATTTGAACTCAGAATCACAGAAGTTCTAGCTCAGCGCTCTGACCCCTGAGCTGTACTACCCTTTGCTGCCCCACAACGTAGCACAGGCTTGCACAGCTACCTACAACAATGTGGCACGCAAAGCGGTCACCCACCGCAGCACAATTCAGGATCGAACCCGACCAATCATCTTCCGAGATCCGAAGGCATCGGGTGAATTCCTAACCATCGAACAAAGACGGTCGCCGCATCGTGCGCTTTCAGATTCGTTTCTGCGGTCGTCTGGAACGCTCTTCTTTACGATATTAGGAAACTGCTGGAGCTAAGGAATTTTTAATAATTTAGATTGAAAACGGATTTATTTAGAACTGCTTTTTGTGTTCAGTTTGTTGTCCTTCCACCGCACCTCCAATTAGCACGATTGGCTACGCACAGTGCGAAAGAAGTTCAACATACATAACTAAGTATGGATATTATGATTATTGTCATTGTACATAGTATATTATTCGTGGCATATGGTCAGTGGGGGATGGACAGCCACTCACGGTTTTGTTGGGCCAGTTGTACTTCTCAAAGATGTCCTGGGCGCGGTCTTCGCCGCCGTCAGTGAACAGCATGATCATCTTGTTGCAGAAAGCGCGCGATATGTTGTTGAACTGCACCGGCAGGGACAACAACAACATGCCCAGTGAGAGCTTCAGCTGGGACACTTTCAAAATGCATCTGGCGATTCGATGGATTGCAGATATGCGAGGTTTGCCATTTAATTTCGGAATGGGTTACAAATAATAATTAGCTCTGTGGTGAGTATAGTGGCCACTCGTGGCTGCAGGTGGTCCCAGGGTCCCACTACATACAATATACGACAATGGATTAACCACATCTGTTTGGTCGTTGGGGTACGACGGAGTGATGACTTACGAGAAAGGGCGAGTGGGTTAACATTAGCGCATTACACCTACACGAGTTGTACATTTACAGTCCTTTAGTCAGCCAACTACTGAATGAGGGCCTTCTCACACCATGCGAGTTTGCAGGGGTTACCTGACCGTACCTCACCACGCCGGTCAGTGTGCGCGTTTGTGAAGGCGGGGGAGCAATAATGCGGGAGCACATAATCACGTTAAAACAATGGATTTTTCTACACTTCCCTCTGTAGATCACCACGGAGGACCACAATCACCTGCGGCAGCCAATCCAAAAGCAGGCTCAACGTCTGAGAAACGTGGTGTTGCCAGCTCAAAAAAGAATCCCGTCTAGTACTCGATTGGTACAGCTAAGATGCTTGCAGTGACAGGTAACTGTCGTTTGCGGGCCGAATTTAAATGGTAAGGCTCCATGTGCCCACGGGTCATTGTTACAGCAGCGGCTTTTGGCTAACCGTTGAACAAGGACGGTGATCACCGCATCGTGCGCTTCCAGATGCGCTTTTGGGGCCGTCTGGAATGCTCCTCTTTCCAATATTAGACAGCCACTTGAGCTATGCACTTTTAAAAAGAGATTGCAAACTCGTTTCTTTAGCCATAATACAGGTTTTTTTTTTGGGGTGAGATTACATAAGTATAAATGTGTCGTTAAACCCGTTTCTTTAGAAATGCTCTTTGTGCGTCGTTAGCGGTCCTTCCCCCGCGGATCTCCGATTAGCACAGCTGGCTAGGTACGGTGCGAAAAAAGTTGAACACGCATACATACGGGTCCTATAAACTGAAGTCGCGGGCCGTATCTGGCTCATGGGCCATAGGTTCCCCCAGCCCCTGCTCTACTGTGAGGGCAGCCAGAGGAACACCGGGCCTTCCCCTTACATTGAGCAACTGGTTGAAAGCAAACTCCAGGCCCGCCGTGTAGTTGGTGACCCCTTTGGCCAACATCTTGTTCACGGCGGCCTTCAGCACGTTCTTGTTGCGTACGTTGGCTTGGACCAGGTGGTTGAAGCACGCCACCGAGTTAGCCGTGTTGTTGAACTGCGCAGCGGGAAGTGGCGAGTGGAGAGGCATGGTGGGGAAAGAGAAAACGGAACAGATTAAACATCCCATCCTTAGCGTCCACGTGGCAATCACACGCTCGCTGGAAGCCGGCATTAACTCGGCAATTACTCCATACGCTCCCGTTCCAATGCAGTGCACATAACTGCTCGATCTATTTTAAGCCTCGCGCAGCCATTGCAATTCGACACTTCATTAAGATAACCCACTCATTAAAAAATGAGAAGTAAACGACAACGGATGAGGCGTCACGCACGTGCACGGTATTGCACGCAGACATTAAATGTGAGAGAATCTTTTTTAAAGTACACACCACCTTGCTCTCACGGATGGAGACATCTGATTTTGACCACTGCTGCTGCTGTATTAGATTTGTGTGCATTGTTTAACATTTTTCCCAAGCTAAATTGGAAGAGGGAGGCTCTTTTTAGCTTGCCTTTGACACTGTATTCGCTTGCTTTTGTGCATGCCTGCAATTGCAATCTATCGTCAAGAGCCAATGTTCAGCTGATGAGCTTTGCATACGGTAGCGACGTAATTATTTCAGCGGCAACGTAAAACAGGGTTGACGGACGTACTTTCCATTTGCAGTGACTTTATTTGCTTCCTTTCAAATCAGGATATATCGTTTATGAAAATTAGCCTTTTAATTGTTCTCCCAAACGTTGCAGAAAATACTGAGCTCGAAAATGAAATGGGTTTCTAAGCACACTGCCGACAGCGTTAATTGGATTTGCGTTGCGAGAATGGTGGAGACGCCACACGTTTGCCGTCGCCACAGAGGCGACCGACGGACAATTAAAAGCAACGCGCATTGTCCTCCGAAACGCCTAATTATAATGGCCACATTCACGCAACAATAACACTATGAGTGGCCTTGTCCACCTTCAATCAAGTGGGTGGACAGTTTCGGAAATTATATGATGTAATTTATTAATTAGAGACCAAATGTAATCATGTGCAGCCCTATGTGAGAAAACGTGTGGAGGATGGCCTCCCTATTCTGCGTTAGCCATGGGTGTTCTTTAAAACCATACTTCACCACAGTGGTCAGTGCAGGTGTATGAAACGAGGTGGGACCAGAACCAGACGTGATATCATTTGCCGCTGACAATAGCCGTGGCCAGGAATCTAACTCAGATTTCCCTGTCCCCACTGCATCCCACGAAGCGATCTGGATATATCACTGGGACAATGTGGGGATGGACATGACATTCAAGAATCAATTATCTTTTGTCGTACGATGAACTTGACATGCTGACAGGTTCGCTTACCGACACAACATTCACGAAGTCGTCATCGGCCAGTGTTTCAAGCATGTTCAAGACGGACGTCTTGATCAGATTGAGCGTGAGGCCGCTGACACTGCCGCTCCTGGCGTAGGGGTGAGCGCGGAGAAACGCACAGAGCAATGCATCATCTCTCCATTGAGCTACCAAACAGTCCTGGTTCATCCAGGACAATCCCAGTTTTAGAAATGCTGTCCCTGTGTCCCCCCACCCCCTGTCCCCCCACCACCACTCCAAAGCATTTTTTAATGTTTAAATCACAGTTACTGAGCATGCCCAAATGCGCATAACGCCAAAAACAAACAATACTCTTGAGAGCATTATAGATAAGAATGCAACACATTCCTTGAGTTAAGCAAAGGTTGTAAGGACTTGGGAAAGAGACGATGGGAGGAAAATTGCGAGATTTGGAATTTTGTCCCTGTTTAAAATGTTCTGACCTTTTGCTCGGCTCGTGATATGGGCAAAGAGCAGAACTACCTGGGTCTTGGGCAGGACTGGCAGAGGAGTGAGTGGGGCCTTATGAACAGTAGGCAGGGCAAATATCAGAAAAGGGCCAAGGCCACTCACGGTTCAGGCAGAGCTAGGGGTTCAGTAGGTGTGGCTATGTAAAAATGGGCGGAGCTGACAGAGGGAGGAGCTACCAGCTCACCACGTTTCCTGGTTGAGCCTCCTAGAAATTTGGTAGCTTCATCACCGCATGAATACCAGCGCTGCTTCCATTAACAGCAGAACCCTTTGGGTGCTGTGCTAAATCATGCGGGTGACCTTTAAGCATGCCTTTATTCTAATTTCATTGTGTTCCGAGATTTGGGGACGCGTGAATAGGATGAAGAGGGCTTAACTGTGATAACATTCAAGGCGAGTGACAGGAATACATTTTACTTCTACGCTCATTGCGAAAGCTTTGCAACCGCTGTCAAAACAAACATTGGCCTACAACAACAACAAATCTTCTTTTAATATATTCGACTCCTGTAAGCTTCAGCTCCTACTCTCTGTTGCTCGCAGAGCTGAAACGCTGGATTCCCTCGCAGTGCGACAGCGAGTGCCAGGGAGAATATACTCCTCGACTTATTATGAACGAGTTAGGATCCAGGTCTGTTCGTAAGTCGAAACTAATTTTACTCCTGTCCATTCCATCAGGTTGTACAGCATGTACACTAAACATGGGGAATGGCTTTAAAAGTTGTATAATCTCCTGCAGATGCCACTAGTTCTTCATGTTCTGCAGATGTAGGTGCCACCACTGCCATCCATTGCGCGGCGGTGGAACTTACGACTCTCGGCCCAAACAGGCAACTGGACAAACGAAGAAGTTTGTTCGTATCTCTTAAAGTTCCTAAGTCCCTGCATTCACTTACAGATACACGATTACGAGACAAAGATGCAGCCCTGCAATTTCTTGCTCACGCCACTGCTGGGGGAAGGGCCTCCACTGGAGAACGCTCTACAGAACCCCTAAAGAGGTTTCCACTCCGGCCACACCGCTCGGAAGAGGTGGGCGTACCCACACTTTATCCCCACCACACGTGACCTGCTGACCGACTAACTGCGGTGACTCCTTTTATACTGCTAGGTGGACAGAGGTGGTGGGGCCGGGGGGGGGGGGGCGGGCGGGCGGGGAGGGTCTTGAAGAAGCGTGCTCATCATTTCAACTGCCGTGGAGAGATCGAACCGGTGCCCACGGGGTGGAAAGCCTCTCACACCACGGACACACCAGGGTGCCGGACGTTTATGCACGTCGGACTTCTTTCGCGCCGTACGCGGCCAACCGTGCTACTCGGAGGTTAATGCAGAAACTCGACAGTGCTTCACGCTCAAGAAATGTCCAGCATCCTGAGCTGCTAATGGAGAGAATTACAACACTTACACGTCAACAAGTATGAGCATGTCTTTTGGAGAGGCTGCTCCTTGGATGTACCTGCATCGCACGCCACACAACATTCAAGTGTTGTCACTTGCACCTTTTTCTATATTTTCAAAGAATTTAAAAGCAGCAACCTCTTATGCAATGGGTGCAACCGAGGATCATTCTATTCAGACGCATCTCACAGAGTAATGCCACACTTCACATTACAGGATCACACATTGGAAGCCGGACATCACATAGCTTCGTCCGAGATCCTTTCAGGCAGCCTCTGTTCTCGCACCACAGTAGGGCAGCACTTTCCCACCGACGGTAATGGTCATCGCATGAAAGCCAACCCCAACGCGATTCATTCTTGGAGCAGAAATAAGTCTGATTAAGTGACAAACGCACGGATTGGCCATTTTGTGCGGTCATTAGTGTCCGAGATGATACCATCCTACTGGACATCTGTGAAAAATATCTTTGTAACTCATCGGATTCCTCCGGTATAAATAAATATTTTGATTCTGATCGACGAGCTGCACTTTAGAACCTGGTTTAATCATAGGTGGCCGCCTGGCTTCGGGTCCAGGATATCAGCGGTGCTGGCCCAATGCTCTGAGATGGTAATGTAATCCACACAGTAGCATGAATAGAGAAGCAATGGAATATATTTGTGGCTGTACAGTGGAGGGAAGGGTACTAGCTGCCATTGTGTTTCAGTCTCTCAGCCTCTCTGCTCGTGTGCAGATATTTAAATTACCCCAAATCCTGACTGACAGATCGAGCTGTTTAGCCCAGCAAAAAATGCAGAACACAATCCTGTATTTACATGGTAAATACTACACCCTAAATATCAATTTTAGGAGTGCAACGAGATAAACGTCTGAAGCCAAAGAGATGGATAGGAGATGGCCACGAGCTTTGTTGCAAATGAGTGTCAAAATCATTGCCGCTTAGACAAAATATGTCAAGCGTATGATATTACTTTTCTCTAGTCACAGCATTGGCTTATTTTCTTAGCAAATCACGTGGTGATACTGCTACTGCGTTTGGCAGTGGCGCACAAGCAACAACAATAAACAAAAAAATCTCACGTTCATCATTAATACTGATTTAAATATGCATGTATATATCTGGTGGAATTTTGGGGAAAATGCCCCCCATCTTGATAATGCACGATGTGCTATGAAGAAGGGCCATTGCCCCGAAACGTCGTCTGATTATGTTTTCTCTTCTCACCAAGGTCGTCTTCGCACATCGTACATGTCCACCCCTTTGCCTTCCTTGTTCCATTCAGACGCTGCGAGGGGGGAGGTAACGAAAATGCTTCGTCAACCTCGGCGGCTGCGTCACACGGCCACCAAGAGCTGACAAAATTGCAACGCAAAACTCTGTGGGCAGAGTTATTTTGGCTTTGTGGAAAAAAATATGCCTGTTCCGATTTGAATGCAAAGATTGTATTCCACCTTAGGGTTGTCTGTTGATGATCTATGGTTTACAGTCAAACATACTGCACCGTTGCTTGTAATGCTTACCTTTGTGTAAGTGGTATTCATAGGTTTGTGTGTCCATGTGTGTGGGAACGGAAGTGTGGTGGTTAGCGCACTGCACTATAAATTCAGTGACTAAAATTCGATTCCCGCTCACAGCTAACATCGGAGAGGAATATCTGAACCGGTCACAGGGCATCCCCTACGTCGACTCAGCCTTAAATGAGGACCCGATGCAGTGTGTAAATATCACCGGGCATGGTACCGGTCACTTGGCTGAAATGTTGACATATTTATCATTCATCCACAAAAAGTGAAAACTAATTTTTAAAAAATATAATGTAAAGCCCTTTGTCAATCCACTGCTGGATGAAGGCCTCCTTCTGCCATGTCGGGTATACTGGAGCCTGCTGGTCAGTGCAGGTTGGTGTACACGATTGCAGTGGTCAGATATTACTGACCACTTACGGTAGCTGTGGCACTTCACTTCCAACCCCGCAGCAAGGTGCTTTATCCACTACGCCATTGTCCCCCATTCAAAGCTTCAAAGCTCCCTCGTATAGCCTTGAAAAGATTCTTGAAGCAAGCGCTGTTGGCGAGCAGCACCTATGAAGGCCGGCACGGCACATGAAGGGGTGAGTGACCAGCACCACGCCCGGCCACCTTTGTCACCCGAGTGGCAATGATTACAATGCGCCTTACTCATTTAAGGCCGAGTCGACCTAGGGGAGGCCCAGGACCAGTTCAGATATTTGCCACTGTTTATTGGTCGGGAGCTGAAATTGAACTCGGGTCGCCAGGTTCGTAGCGCCGTGCCGCTAATCACTGCGCCACCGTTCCCCACTCCATTGGACATAGACACACACATGCACTTTACAATGTTTTGTGACATAGTGTGCATAAGCATTCATGTAAGAATCACTGCATTAAAAAAACTTAGGAGTTTGGTGATGACTGCACCATTTGTAAAAAGGTACATTCAATGTAAAACGTTTTATTTTCCCACAAACTGCACCCGTTCGTCGATCTACATTACATTTCAGTATAGATTTTTTCTCCCCTCTCCATATTGCCTGTTTTATGAAAAACCAAAGAATGCATTATTTATTAGCTCACAGAGTGGTATTATGCAACATTCGGCTTCATTCTGTCCTCTTCTCGTGAGGATTTACTGCTTGACCCAATGGCAGGAACAACACCTCAGCACTCGGAACCGTAAACACCACCACGGTATGGACGAGGGTTGTTAAAACGACAAAACCGGTAAACATTTTGCAAATCGATTACCGGATCAAAAGAGGCCGTGAAACATTGTTTCCAGTGGAATGTCAGTGAAGAATGCACCGATTTAAGAGACGTACGCCATTGTTTCAACTGTCAAGAGATGGAAACGAATCTGCGACGTCTGGATTCGCAAGTCCGGTCTGATGACCCTTGTTACTCAGTTAAGAAGGTAACGGGTGTGTGTGTGTGCGCGCTTTGCCAAACATTTCTACGTGCGATACATAACTCGTTTTTTTTGGGTGAGATCATCGTAAAGGCATGATGTCAATAATTTTACGAGAAGCCTTCAACACCCGACAGAGCCAATGAAATCGAGTTGTCACGTCATGGGCAAACAGGCCAATAGATTTTGTTCATCGGCAAAACCGGAGGAATGTTGACAGCAAGCAAAGTTCGACGATTTTGTAGGATAATCATAACATTGGTCGCGAAAGCCGACGTGCATAACATGTCTGTGCGCGTGGCAAATCGGAAACCATGTCTTCGTATGCTAATGTCAAAACGACAATGCTAGCATGGACCCACAATTTCTACACGTCAACCTTTGAAGTAGAGAACGCAATGTAATGATTGACGATTACAAGCTGACGTTCCCTATTCCTGCAACATGTAAAGCATGTACCGACTCTAGGCGTTTGTGTTGCGACATACATGGCCACGATTGAGACTAAGACTGGAACTGAATGACGTCTGTACCGTCGCAGGACACCTATGACACAGCCTTACGGCCTATTTATCGGGCCCTTCCTGTGGAAATTTGAAAGCTGAATAAAGAAAAGCAGCATGCGCAAGTTAAATAACACAAGTCATAAATGTCACTTCATTATCAGCATGCACAACTGTTAATATGCCGCCGTAAGTATCACACTATTTCGACAATTACCGGCACAGCAGCTGATGCTTTTGTATTACATGGAAAAAATACATTGACCCATTTAAGTATGCTTTTTTTTGTCTTGTAAGGAAAAGGGGGAAATTTTGAATACTTTCCATATATTTTAAACTGGTAAAAAATCCAGAGCAGATATTTACTGTGATTTATTTTTTTCCCCCATTCAAGAATTGTGTTATGTTGTCATAATTTGAGATGTGGATGAATGAGTGGACTGCAATCCATATCATTGTTTGATGTAGAATTGCACATTTAGAGCAATGCCAATACCCTAAAGCCGTTTTGTGCAATCTTAAAGTAAGCCATTACGAAGCTAAATAATTGAAAACATAAAACAATTGGTTTATGCTGTATAATAAAAAAAAATCTGTTATTGCAGCTGCAAGCTTAGGCAAATATTTATAATCCTATGAACAAAACACTTGGAATGCACCAGATCTCATCGTATCTGGCAAGCCAAGCAGGCTTTTTGAACCTGGAACACGCTTGGATGGGTGGCCACCGTGCATAAAACAGGTGCCGCAGTTCCGCTCTGGGTCTACATCGTGGGCAGCAAAGGGCGATGCGGCAAAACGACTTTGTTGTCTTGCACTTCTATACCCCCCCCCCACCCCCCGTCATTCTACCCTCCCCGCCTTCTCCAACCCACACCGAGCAACCGCGCAGACGGTGAAGTGCGGTGAAATAACCCTCATGGCCGACGCGGCGTGGGGGAGGCCTTCGTCAAGCAGTGGAATGGACACAGAGGCTTGGAAATGCTCCACCCCATCCCAACGCCTCGAATGTGGCAGCATCAGTGTCGAACCGCACACGATTCGGCTTTAACCTCCCATGGCAGATTCCGCCCAGCAGACGCACCGCTTGGGTCACGTGGGCTTGCTCACCGGCAGCGCTTCTGGACAGCGCCTTCGTCGTGACTGGACCACGCTCGAGCGTCTTCGGCCGACGCACGCACCACACGGGCACGACACGCCAACCCACCCCTCGCCGCCAAAATTATGCACGGCCGTAAATTTAACATTACTGGGGTTACGTGATTTAAAGCAGCCCCATGCGAGGGAATGAGTACAGGATGTCCCCCCCCCCCACCCACCCACCTCCCCACGACCAAGTGAGAGTAACAATCCAATCCCAGTGCAACCTCAGACAACGTTCGAGATGGCGCTCGCAATCTTCGAGATCATCCACGGGCTCAATCCCGCTGGCCTCCCTCTCAGCTCACTCTACGCCCCCCCCCTCACCCTTCGTGTGTTCTCCGCTCTGGCAACCAAGGACCTCTGTTCAAGGCCCCAAATAACGTTCACTTAGTGAGAGGTCACTCCTTCTCCTCTGTTGTCCAACATGCCTGGAACTCTATTCCGCCTGGACATCTGAGCTGTCAACTCCACATCCCAGATTCAACCCCTGGGCTTAAAGACCTGTGCATATTCCCGTCTAGTTTTTGCAAACAATATCTATGCATATTGATATAATTCCCCCGCCCCCCCACCCCCATGAAGACAATGTCCCCAAGGTTTAGTACAGCATCTTAAGATGCAGCTGCTATTTAGATTTTATATAAAAACTCAAGCAAGTGAAATAATGGACAGCACAACCCCATGTAGATAGATGTTGAGTAATTATTGAAGGCGTACCAGGATTATGCTGATGAGCTAAAGAAGTGAGCAAGCACCGGGCTGGATGGGATGCTTTTGGAAATTAATATTTGATCATTATAAGCCAGTAGCTGTACTACCCGGCTTCGCCGGGACTTGAATTCACCACGCCGACCGCCTTTGTCTCCCCAGTGGCCATGTTCACACAGCAGTTACTCTTTTGATGCTGAGTCGACCTAGGGGAGGCCCAGGACCGGTAAAAATAATCGTCACCGGTGGTGGCCGTGAGCGGAAATCGAACTCGGGTCGCCGGGTTCGTAGCGCGGCGCGCTAACCGCTACACTACAATGCGTTACGCTTCCACATGCGCCGGTCACGTGACATATTTGACGTCACAGCTCACTTGCCGTGCAAAAAATATATACATTATTGAGCCCCCCCCCAAAAAAAATATATATACAAAAGTGTATTTTTATAATTTTTGCATGGTGTACAGCCTGGAAAGTACCTACATGGCAAATTTCAAGTTTGTTGCATGTCGGGAAGTACGCTAAACATTTTGAAAAGACACACATTCACAACTTTGCCTTTTATATATATGGAGATATGCCTGCGTGCTTCAAGGTGAACGTTTTCAACGAGTGAATATTACCAGCCACAGAATACGGATTGGAAACACACAGAACAAAAGCCAAAACGTTCCCAAAGGAGCACGGAGAGGATGCATGCGGTGAACCGCAACCGGGCAGACGCAGTGACAAATGAACCAGAGAACAAACGCAAATCAAGGGACACCATGTTGACAGGTCCGCTACCCGAGAGATCGTAACCACCACGGAGATGGAGCGGAGAGCCCGGTGCACGGTCGCCGGGAGAGATCACGGCATCGTCTATCCAGCAGTGGCGTTTACTCTGTGCACTGTGCACTCGACTAACGCGGAGTTGACCTCGGGGGGGGGGCCCAGGATTCGTTTCGATAGCACCCCATTAACTGCGGGCGTCAGCCATGGCCGAGATTGGAACCCATGCCAGCAGGGTTACGGTGCACTCACCGCCGCACTACGGCAGTGGATGGGTGACTGCCAAAGACGACGAACGGAAATTGGAATTGCAAGACAGAGGCGCGGCTGTCCGTGCGTCGCAAGCGCCGCGGTTTACCTGGGTAGTAGCGCGTGAGACCCGTCGCGCTGCCAAACACTTGCCACATCAGTGTGGGGTCCTCCTTCTTGTTGTTGATGAACACCTCATCCAGCCCGGCCGTCCAGTTCAGCTCGTTCAGAATGATCGTCGCTGTGGGCGACAAGAGGAGGTGTTACCGGGCGCGTCTGCGCATGCGGCACGACAAACCACACAACACTCGAATAGGTACCAAGATAGGGCCAAAAGGTGGCCCTATCTGTCGCCTCTGGTTGCACCGAGTCCTGCTCGGTGCGACGTCAGAACGCTTACGTCCACGTGGTCGGAAGACTCTTCAGGAAATAAAGGGGCTCCACATTTCGGGGAGCTTCTTCAGTTCCCGAAACGTCGGACATCGTGCTCGATCGACACTCGGTACACGTCCCCCCGAAGCACATCGGAGAGCTGCAGAAGGACCTACGCACTAATACGGAGGTCTCCTGTCTCGCTTTGCAAACCGTAGATGAAAGCGCTGTTAGCGGGCACTTATTAAGAGCACTGCGGAACATGAGATGGCAGAGTGTTCACCGCCACACCAATACGCCTTTCAACTGCGGGAGTTAGCCATGGCCAGGATTGGAAACCATGTGACGAGGATTACGGTGCAGTGCACAAACCACTTCCACGCCTCAAACACAGACGCACATATATATAAACAAAGGCACAGAACCCCTGCATAGCCTTAAAAGACGACTGAGCCAAGTGCTGTTAGCGAGCACCTATGAAGGCCGACACGGCGCCTGAAGGGGTGGGGGGGGGCCAGCACCAAGCCCGGCCACCGTTGTCTCCCTCGTGGCGATGCTTAGACATCGCACCAGGTACTCGTTTCAGGCCAGGTCGATCTAGCGAAGGCCCAGGACTGGTGCAGATAACCATTACTGGTGTTGGCCGTGATCGGGAATCGAACTCTGGTCGCCGGGTTCATAGCGCAGTGCACTAACCGCTACAATACTGCTTCCCACACACATATGCACATGCATAAAACATAGCGTGTGAAATACTGCATCACCACATGCGCACGAGAAACAATTACACCTGTGAGGAGCCCATTACCTTTTTTAGGAATGATCTCTGTAACTTGAGCGTGTCATTGATTGGGCGACATTGATTTGACAGCGAAAGGTCAAAATGCACTTGCGCTAACAATTGGGTCTTTTACAAATGAGACTCGTGCACATCATTATGTCGAACAGCGTAGTTTCCACTCAGTCTGAGATACAAATTGCATAGCTGGGAATGGAGTTTGCATCAGCAGCACCATACATGAGCGCATCAGTTCAGGGTACCATCACTTCCCCACGCAATATAAATGAACACACACATTCGATATTCGTGCACACAAGTGAATTAATTACACACACACACCAGCCAAACATAATTAACCTGTTCCCCAATATATGTCCGGCCTAGGTCTCCAAATTGGATTCTTGATTGGGAGCTGTTAAAGGTGCACAGGTCTTGTATATTCAATTGTTGAATTGTCCTACGTGCTATTCACAGGCCGCGGCAGACCCAACAGAACTGGGTGGCCAGTCGGTAAGAGTAAATGTCAGTCGAAGTAATTCATAAAGGTCAGAGCAAAGCTGCGCAATGGATGAGATTTCATGACCTCGGCGGATCAACCGTGATTACACCGAGCACCCAGACAGGGCCACAGAATGTCACTCAACGAGTTGAAAAAGAAGGGTCGGTTACGAAGCTTTGACTATGTACGAGATTCAAAATGACAGACATTGGGGGACAGACTAAAATTTATCTCACCGTCTCTGTGACTTGCACTGCTTTATAACAGAAACAATATAATACGTATATATCAGGCTAATATTTGGGCAATAGCCCTTCTTCAGAGTATGAAGAGGTTACAAAGGATTATGCAAATTACAGTTGGAGATCGTAATAATAAAAGTAAGTACCTAACAACACAACTTTACGTTGTGGCGTTGTTCATTTCGGATCATCTTTACGAGGTCTATAGTGCCCCCCCTCCGCTGTTAGGGACAGGGCTAGCGCATAAACCCTTTCAACAACCATGGCTGTAAAGCATTAAACAAATGCCCTGTGGAGGGGGTGTGTGGGTGGAGGGGGTCGGTGGGTGGAAGGGGTGGGGGGGTTGGTGGGTGGGTGGAGGGGGTAGGTGGGAGGGTGGGTGGGTGGAGGAGGTGGGTGGGTGGAGGTGGTGGTGTGGGTGGGTGGATGGAGGGGGTGGGTGGGTGGAGGGGGTGGGTGGATGGGTGGGTGGATGGAGGGGGTGGGTGGGTGGGTGGATGGAGTTGGTGGGTGAGTGGATGGAGTGGGTGGGTGAGTGGATGGAGTGGGTGGGTGGATGGAGGAGGTGGGTGGGTGGGTGGATGGAGGGGGTGGGTGGGTGGAGGGGGTGGGTTGGTGGGTGGAGGGGATGGGTGGGTGGGTGGGTGGAGGGGGCGAGAGTGTGAGCGCGGAGCAAACTCCTCCATCCCAGCTGAGCGAGCGGCAGCAGCTTGAGACTTTGGCGAACCGGCAACTCACAGCCCCGGTAAATGTCCGTGGGGATGTGCACGGCCGTGTAGCTGTCATTGACGGGACGCTTGAACGCCGGGTCGGTTTCGAACTTGGCGTCTATCTGGTTCGGGAACACCTCCTCCTCCCCCTCGTCCTCGCCTTCATTCGTCATCTGCCCGTCGCAGAGATATGGGGGGGTGGGGAGGGGGGGGGGCGCACGGGTGCATGCGTGCACCGTCAGCCCGAGCACGTAAACCACACACCGCTGCTAGCGGCGGAGTGCAACAAACAAAAAACGCACAAACTCCAAACTGCAAGCAAATCTACAGCGGGCCTCTTGCGTGTCAATCATGGATTTACTCCGGAGATTCCACGGTACTTATTTAACCACGCCCATTAAAAGACGACGGGGGAGGGCCTGTGTCGTTTGCGAGTTCTGTGTTTTATGGACGAAACGCAGCGTGGGCCCCCTTTTGCTGTGCAAAGCAGGCACAAGGGGATCTGTTCATCGAGAGTTAAATTTGAAGTTGATTGAGCCAAGATCTGTGAGTTGAATGGGTTGAAAAGCCAAAAATGAAGCGGGTGGAAAAATACGGATGATGAAGGTTCAAGCCAAGTCTTTTTTTTTGCCATACCCAGTAGTGGCAAAAAGGGAGCTGTGAACCAGGGGTTAAGATCTCTAGTTGAACGAGCAGGGATCTGTGAAGATGAAGGCTTGAGTGGGTTTAAAAGCCAAAATGAAGCAGTGTAAAATAGGAATGAGGCTTAAAGTCGCGCCTTCTGAGCTCTGAGAACAGATTGTGGTTATGAATAACCACATCACGGTTTGCTTACTGGCAAACTGAAGCAAATAAATGTTCCAAGAGGGGCAAAGTCAAAGCAGGCGAGGCAGGTGTAATGCAGGGAATGAAGAAGAGTATTTTAGTTTGTTTGTTCCATTACCACACGTTAAAGGGGAAGGTTGCTTTGTTAATTGTCACCTCTAGCATTGTTATAAAATCGTGTGAGTGTTTCACTTCATTCAGTAGAGGAAAAAATAAATAACCTTTGGAGGAATAAATAAAACACTACAAGGAAGAAAAACATGGGTAATTTAGATTCCACAAAAAAAATCATGCCAAAAGTTTGTTTTTGATCCAGGATAGATCATGGACTCAAAATAATACCAACATCACCTGCTAATACAGTAACTAATGTGATACAACTAAAAATCTACCTAATAATGTTATATTTTCAACAGGTTTTGAACATTAAACACGAATGTACCTGACATTTATGTTTTTAAAAGGAAATTATCTTCGGCAGCATCCCAGGAGCTGTTAATGCTGCTGCCGATAACATCTGCTTATCTGGGAGCATTTCCTTAACGAGTCTGACTGTGCTGCTGATGAGTCCCTGAAGGTCGAAACAGGTCCAGCGTTCGCATGATTACACAAATGCTGCACAATAATATTGGACTGGAAAGTCAATAGGCCGAAAACTCAAACATATTTATTTGTATGTGGAGATACAGAATCGAGTTCCGCTTACATTGACTTTTTACGGAGTATGTGGGCTAAATGCACGCAATTACTGGAAATATCACCGATTTAAAACAAATTAAGTACGCAATACCAAATAACGCCAATACACCATCTTCTGCTACATTACCCTCAATGACGGCGGGGGGATGGGGGGGTAGAAATTGTGTACCCCCACATCCATTCATAGTGGAAAGTGGTCTGGAGATCCCTTGAAAGAAGGGGGCACTCGGTCTGAAGAGAAGTGACACCAATGCCCATGGCTGCCTGCTGCCGATGCGCTACAGTACACTTAAGTTGTCTCGACTGACCCACGAGAAGAGATCCAAATATTTGGGAGGCACTCACTGGCCCCCGATATTAGCAGTCCAGCGCTTGCAGTGCCACCGATCAACAGACGTGCATATTTTTTTCCATTGCCCAATTTATATATATATACACCAACGGCATCTAAAGTGTGCATATTAATTAATGATTTGCATATCAACGAGAGCTGAACTGGCATACGTGTAAATTGACGGCACGAGCGTGGTCCCCCCACATCAAGTCGGTGGGATTCTAATGCCATCGAGCCGAGTGCCAACAGACGTCAAAAAAAAAGAAATCAAAATGGAGGAGTCGTGCTCCGGATGTCCGGGGCCAACGACTCTGAGCCAGTTTCATTCACTCCATCGCCCGCTTGGCTCCTTTCGCAACCAACCAGCAGCGGCGGCGCTTCATTCGCGCGGACGGAAATCCCGACGGCCAAAACGCACCTCCGACCAATTTCACGGACAATGGGCAAACGGGCAATGCAAGGGGCAATGGCCAGCCGTGCCTTTTTTGACACTGAACTTGGGTACCCCGAGCTCTAGGCGCTCGCCCGCCTAGAGCTCCCGCTAGAGAAGGCCCCTTCCGCCAGCCGTGGTGTGGGCAAGCATTGCCAGGGCTGCGCCTTTACCCTTTCTGGGGACCCAGTAACTAATACCGGATATTTAATGTAATAGTCGAGTGATCTACAGAAACATGGGTAAAAAAAAAGTTATACAGTAAAAACCTTGGATTGCGAGTAACTTGGTCTGCAAGTGTTTGCAAGACGAGCAAATTTTTTTAATTAATATTAATTTATATTCTTAGCTCTTTCACACACCTGATGACGACCGTTTGTGTTATGGTCGAAACGTCGTGAGAATTTTTATTGTTTTATATATATTTTATTATTTTATTGTTTCCCTTCAACGTGACTTTACCGAAAGAGCAAAGAATATGAATTACTGCAGTCACGAAAGCTTTAAATCAGAATAATAATTTGATAAACGAGCGAGGTCTTGCAATACGATTAGTACGTGTACGCTTTGTCTGCCGAGCGTCACGTGATCACAACTGATATACGAGTGCTTTTAATATACGAGTGCTTTGGATTACAAACACGTTTCCGGAACGAATTATGCTCGCAATCCAAGGTTTTACTGTAGTCTTATTTATTCTAGGCCTAGCTGAACATTCCGAAAACATTTAAAACTTATTTTTTTATTATTTAAAAAGCCACTTTGTCACCGCAAATTCCGTCACTTTTGGATATCACCAGCACAAAAACATTCAATTTAATACAAGTTATGTAAAGTTTGCTTTCTTAAATATTTAAACCAAATTTTCCATGCCGTATCATTGGTGCTTTCTTTGAATTATAACAAAAGAATGAAAATCAAATATACATACTTCACGATATGAATTGTAATTAGATCATTAATTGGTGTGATAATTACAAACACATATTCTTGGGTCTTTCGGTAAAGTCACGTAAATAGGTTCAAAGAAAAGAATAAAAAATAACAGATTATTTTCTTTGAACCTATCTGTGTGACTTTACAGAAATACCCAAGAATATGAATTCCTGCAGTCACTAAAGCTTCAAGTCAAGTTACAAACACATTACGCACTGTGTACTGCTATATAATATAGTAAAAAAAAACGTTACCCCAAATCTGGAAGTACCGCTAATAATATCTGTAAAACATGAATTTATTTACTTAAAAATTAGATGAAAAATACGCATAACAATTATGATAAAGATACATGAATAAATAATCTGACAATGTTTGCATGCCAATCTATACAACTATTCTATTTGAAATGTGCCTGAAATTTACATACAGGAACATCTTAATTTCAGGAGAACAAATAAGCCGATGCTTTACAAAAAAATGTAATGTTTTGAAATTCAACCTATCCCTGATGCACACTTCAAAGTGCTGCCTTTAATGAAAATTTCAGATTGAAAAACTTTGTCCACATTTAATAATTCAAACAAAATCTCACAAACTTCCTGGGAGCAAATTAACATAAAGGATCGCCGCTGTTCACCCTCACTCTAATAAACGTGTGGACTACCAATAAGCTCTAATAATAAGCAAGGCTCCAATAATAATAATGGCAATAACAATGGCATATGATAGGTGACGTGGTAGTATTTGCGAGAGTTCATGATCAAGGTCCCCTTTATATTTTCAGACCGGATGACAAACTGTTCAGAAGCCGGGTAAAGGGAAAGAGAGAATTAGTTCCGATACACAACTTCCACTGGCACATCCGTCAAACCTTGGGGAACTGCACATACGGCTTAACGTCGAGCTGAGAAAAATCCAACCATTTTAATTAAAACGCGAACACAACAACAGAATAACACAGTAGTTTCATTTCAAACTTGCGGTTTAATTAATTTAATGTAATATGTAAACTATGGTCATGCACTAAATGTCAATGCTTGAACATGGGAGTCCTTTTGAATACTTTTTGCCACTGTATTTCAATGTTTTGTAACAATAAATTAAATACATTTTTCAAATCCATTTTAGCCATGGATGAGTTTCAAATTCGTGAGAATGGAATGGCAATACTAATCTTATAAGATTTCAATATAGCATTCTCGTAGGAAATAGGATTGCATTACTTGTACTTACATATAATCCTAAGAGCTTATTTATCAGTATATTTTAATATACATGACATGTAATTACCCACAGAAAGTCTCATCGTGTCTCAATACTCTTTTTCAATTGGGATGTTTGGCCAATTACATTCATAAAATGTTTTCATACAATTAATGATGAGTGTTTATACAAGTGCGGGAGGAAACTGGAGTGCCCAGAGAAAACCCAAAAAAATTAGGGGTTCCAAGTTCGAAGCTTCACAAAGATTTAAAACAATTCAAAGATGGAGAGATCCAGTCGAGCCAATCGTCTGTGGACTGCACCCATTTGCAAGGCTGCCTCCTCCTGACCACCTTTCACAGGCCCTTGTTTACAACACCTGGGTACTGCTCTGGTGCGAGTCACTCATTTGAGCACGAACTAGACTCGGCGCCCACTTGGCTTCCAAGATCTGACGAGACCGGGCTTATTCAGAGTGAAAGTAGACCATTCATTATCAAAACGTGAGGACATTAACAAGAAAAAAAAATATCCTTTGTAGACACGGTGCGTTTTATGATGAACAGAAATTTTTTTCATTGGACATTTAAAAATGCAGTGCCGTGATATTGTAAAAGACTCAAAAAACAGCACTGAACTCAGCGTCACCGTTGAGTAATTAACGTACCCGTAACATACATGAAAATGCTTCAATCGTAGCTTACCTTAATGTGTTGTTTTGCATTAAAATAAGTTACATTTTCTTCCTAAAAGAAAAAACAACAAAAAGGATCTCGGTGAATCATTGTTGATATAAATAATACAGCAAAAAGCAAGGCAATAAAAAGAAGCTCCTACTGACAGGAGAATTCTCCGGTATATGTGTGGGTGTATCCTGCGCACAGACAGTGCCTTGCTGTGCCGTCTAAAATATATGTGCGGGGAAAGGATAACTATTGCCACCATCATTGCCATTAATCCCGCGACGCTACGTTGGTGTCACCGCACCGTCGTGCACCCCCGTAAGTTCGATTTCTTTCGGGGCCAGAAAATAAATCTCGATTCCTCGGGGCCTATTCCAACACGCACCTATTTCCAGTTCCCACCTCTCCCTGTGCCATTCCTTTCCATTCGCCGCATCAGAAATCCGAAATCAGAATTCTGGCAGCAGGCACGACTCGCGTGGTTAACAAAATATGTGCGGCTACCAAAACTTTCAATCGCGCGGTATTAATCAACCGTCAATTGCTACGCATGAATCACCGATTAACCAAGTAATTAACAACGTCACAATTAATCAAGTCAGGGAAATTTAGAAAAGAGATTCATAATGCCTCAATACAAATGGGACATTCTGAAGGCCTTAAGGTCTTAACATTCTTACCGAGGAATCTTCCTAAGCATTCTGATTGATTCCAGTCTGCCATCAACTGCAGAATGGGTTTGGCGTCAATCAATGCCCGAACAACAGTTGGGACTTTATATTCCAGGCACACGTGCTGACAATCGCGCGATGCCAAACATACGTCGAGGCTTATTCAAGTGAGCGCCGCACATTAATCTTTTGTAAATCGCATGATCAATTTACACGTTCAACGATGAATCGAATGTTTCATTAAATATTGAAAGTTGCTTGTAAACTCGGGGTCGGGTGGGGGGGGGGAGGTTCAGTACAGTTCGGTTAAATTGGGATCCCAGTTGATACACCGAGCCTTGGCTCGTGGTAGTTTGGCAAAATTGTACAACTGCCTCTGCGGTTCACTATGGGGGGGGGGTTAACACATAGCTCTTGGCAGCCAATATGATTAATCATCGTTGATTTTAGATGGTGAGGCCACGAAATTAAGTGACCAATTTTGCATCCATAAGTCCCTCGTCCACCCAACAGTATTGAATTATGAATACGAGAGAGCGTTTGTTCTTTGGGAGATCTGCAATATGCTGTCGGTGCACAATGGGGCTCGTGGTTGGTTGATTAATTCATGGAGCCAGTATGGCGCGATGGAACCCTGGAAAAGGCGTGTGACCGTGCATGTGTGTCTGTGCATTAACCATAACCTGTATTGTCATTTACACAGTGGGGGGGAAAAAAGAAAAAAAAAACCCCACTAAAAAATGCAATTGGGCAGGAGAACAATCGCCCAGGACATCAGATGGGGATAATTAACAGCAGGACGGAGAGCAATGGAAGGAAGACGAAAGAAAGGTTGACAGAAAATAAGATGGCGGCGGGATGAGATGGTAAGATGTGCAGCAGCGCACTGGATGGAGGTGGCAAGCGATGGTGCAGAGCGGAAGGGCACTGGGGAAAGTCTCTTGCCCAGCAGTGGGATGTTAATGGTTGCTGAAAGAAGAACTAAATAAATAACACACCTTGATGTCATCATTCCACTGGTGATTTTTCTGTAATGTTTCTGCCGTTTCCGTTAGCTTCTGCAAAGGGCACAGCGCACAAAGATACAGCGTTATATTAGAAGTGGCGATTACGTTTTGACTTTGAGTATACGAGTGGCGAGATGCAACCATTAAAATGGAATTAATAGTTTGTATTTATAACGCCACGGCTCTTGCATCGCGTGGTGGCGGTTGTTTTTAAGATGTCGTATTATCAATCTTTTTAACGAGCTTGAATTTGACACCGTTTAGTTTAGCCGAAACCGTAATTGTTGTTAGCTTCTAGTGCACGGTATTTCAAGAATAATTACCTTGTTAATGCCATAGTATGCCTTAACTGTTGCACCCTAATGCACATTCTGCTATTTTTTTAATGAAAATAATGTGTTAAGAATTAAGAACTGGTGTAGATGTCGTTTTAAAGCAATCGTTGTTGAATTGAGATAAAAAATAATTCGACAGAGCATGCTTAAAGAAGGAGTCTTCTCTAATTGTGCTCATAATATACAATTCGCTTTGTTGCAATCTATTACTGATACCATTTTCAACATTGGAATACCGGTCCCCAAATAACTCACTCTATTGTACTTTAAAAACGATGTAAATGCAATGCTGTCGCATTTCACGTAGGGGCTTCATTCCATTAAGGAGGGCAGTAGCAACAAGGCAAAGTGTCCTCATAAAGACATCTGGGGTATTCTCATAAACAATACACAACAACTATGCCGTTGGTGTTCACATCTGATCTCAAGCCCAGTAGAGAAGACCAATCATCTGTACTTGCCTTTAATGCTATCACTTTGTTCGTCAACAGCTTCTCAATTTCGGCCGACACGTTCTCCACCAGTTTCTTATCTTCATTTTCCTCAATATCAAAGTCGTTCTTTTGTTCTTTGTAAAGCTGCGGGAGAGAGAGGGAGGGAGGGAGGGGAAGACGTGTCATCGGGTTTACGGATGGCTCTGGGCAAAAGCGTGTTCCGCCAGAAGCATCTTTTTCACTCCAATAAGCAAGTCTTGGCAAAAATAGCAATTTAGAAACAACGGCACGGGTCAGCAAAAGTACCACGACAACACAAAACATCTCCTGCACGGCCGGGGAAACCACGGGTGTTAATATGAACCCGCTGACAATAGTGCGATGTACATATTTGCCTTTGCATCAGTAACAGTTCCCTGGCAAAGTACACAGAGAGAACCGATGTAAAACGCAGCCGGCCTTTCAGTCGCGCTTAAGTCAACGGCCCGCGTGGTTGAGACGGCAGGTGTTGGGGGCGGCATATGCCCTCGTGCCGCGCTCTGCGCTACCTCTCGAACGGCACCGCTATCCCGGAGACGTACACCGACAACGGTGGCGAGCGCGCCAATGGTCATGTACGGTACGGAGAGCCAAAAGCAAAGTTACACTCTCGGTAATAATGTCTCGTCTGGGTTGCGCAACCGTTCGGACCGTGTGTGACCCCCCCCCCCCCGCTTCCACTGCTTTAATCATCGCAGACTTGATTAAAAAAGAAATCTGTTCTGTCAATCAACTGCCGGATAAAGGGGCTCCTCGTACAATATCAGCCATGGGGGTTGCGTGATTACGGTTCACCACGCTGCACAGTGCAGGTTGGGATTCCACTCTCGCCACTGGCGTTCGCCACAGCTGCGAATCCGGAAATCGAAGTCAGATCGGTCCCCGTTCGTAGCGCGGTGTATGCACGTTGAACTTCTGTCGCACCGTACGTAGCCGACCGTGCACATAAGAGGTGCGGGGAGTGTGGTGAAGACTGAGCCACCGCTCCCCCCCATTAAAAGTGTCAGACAATTAAGAACGGCCGTGGCGCACTTGCGCCTGCCGTACCCGTTTCGGTTAAACATTTGGCAATGATCGGGCTGTCGAAAGCCTTGGAGAGCAAATCAAGAGAGCCGGCGGCTTGAAAGCGTCACTCCAAGGAAGCCAGTGGGCACTTTGATCAATCCTCCTGCGGAGGCCATTTCCAATTAATTTCTACACACCTTGCAACCGACGGCGCTGGCTGAGCAGAGGGATTTTTTCAATTCTGCTTAACAATTCAACTTATTTATCTTCTCGCCAGACGGCCCTGGCTCCTCGGACCGATGCCCGCCACGAAGAGGAGGAGGGTGTCCAGTCACCCGGGCGGACGCGTCCCAGCGCGCGTCCTTCAACGCCACGGCGGGGGGGGGGGGGCCCCGTCCGGTGCACGGCGAAGGGGCCGGCGCTCTCGCGGCATTAGTGACCGTCGGAGGTGCTGCCCCCCCACCCACCCCACCCCACCGCAGAACTGCTGCCCCCCGACCCCCGCCGGCCAACCCACACCCCTCTGCCGCGTCGCTCCCCCCCCCCAGCTCCCTCCACCGCCCCCACTCCCGCACCCCGCCATCCGCCTTTCCCACCCCCACCCCGATCGTTAGGAACTCTCAATTATTCATGCGCACGAAAGAAAACAGCGCGAGCCGGCGTCGCCATGGCCACGCGCAGCCGGCACACTCTCTCAGGTCTCCTGCCATTTCCACTGCGGAGCCCATAAAGCCCTCCACGTGGGGGGGGGGGGGGTCTTAGCATTTGGCGATGGCATATGGCGTCTCTACAGGGTTCCTCCGTGCCATATTCCCCAAGTGAGCTCCACGCACATTATCATATTAGGGTTTTTCTTCTTGCATGTCATCGCTCCTTTCTCCCCGCCCACCCCGCCCCCCCCCCCCAGTTCGGATGTTCACAAGCGTACTGTAATATTACGAGTGTAGCGGGGTAAACATATGAGCATCGATTTCTTTACCTAGAAGAGGCTTATTGAGTCTAGGGACTCCTCCCTCCCCTCTCTCCCTGTAAGAATGGCGTTTTGCAGATTGCATTTTGGACGCGAGAGACAAAAACCTGGGTGGCCTGAGAAAGCGGCCGCACGCGAGGAATTAACTCAAGCGCCGCGGTCACAGCCAACGATCTACTTGTTGTGCTGCCTAATCCAGGTGCCTATTTGCCCCTGAAGGTGGATGTCTCCAATACAACTGCTTAATCTCTACGAAACCACGGAGTGATTTAAACCTTTCCCAAAGTGATTTGATTTACATAATTTTGAGACAAGACTCAATTCAAGACTTTGAAGTCGCGATTAAAATTTCAAGTCGCGATAAAATATTCATTAAAGGAGGAAGGGATGGGCGAATTTTTTTTTAATTAAGGCTTCGCCAAGGTGGCTCAAAGCTGAGCAACGTTGTATTAATTTCCCTAAAAAACAGAAATCTTACCCAAGCGAGTGGAGGCGTCTCTCGAATGCTTTCCAAGCAACATTACTTCAATTCAAACTTAAGAAGACCGTGGTAAAAAAATGTACCAATTGAAAATTAGTCACAGCAATCGTCACTCCTCGACTGGCAAGGGTGGGTGTGCCCGGGGGGTTTCCTTGTTCCGCACGGGGACCCCGCTGCTGCCGCTGGGGCGGGTTGCCACTTTCAAATGTGCCGAGGACGAGAGGCGATGTAAAGTGATCCGAGATGCCCCAGCGCGTATGAGCGAGAGGGGGGCGCGCGATATCAACAACAAATCAGTCAGTTGTTAAGTGTCACACCCGTGGACCAAATCACCCAGGAATTTGTCCTGCCTCGGCACATTCTGGAAGTTAGGCAAGCTTGGATAGTGCCTGAATGGGTGGCCACCGTGCGTAACAGGTGGTGTAGGTGACACGGGGGGGGGGGGGAGGCTTTGTGTTGCACTGCACTTCTGTACTTCACCGACCGGCACGGTGAAGTGTGGTCAGACAACCCCCCTACAACCTGTACGGCGTGGGGAGGGTCTCATCCAGCAGTGGATTGACAAAAGGGCTGAACGTGTTACGTGCAGTGCGTCCATGCTTCCACGAGCAACAAGCTTGTTCAAGGTACCAAAGCGGCTTTGGCAAAGGCCAGCAGTGTGGTACCGAATGCGATCGAATACGAGCTCACATTTTCCAGCGCAGAGATCATTAAAAAATATTCGTTGCCGATATTTAATGGACATGGCATACTTGTGGATTGCGAACGGAGAGGGGGAAAACAGTCTTGTTGTGCATACAACAGCCGGGAGACATGCTGGCTTTCAAGAAGTTGAATAATATACGTCACAGGTGGGAAATATTGGGGGGGGCAGGGAAATAAAAATAAAAACATGACAACCCTCCCACAGACAACGAGCAAGGTGCCTTTGATGTACAAAGGATTCCGTATGCACATTAAGTGTTAAACACCCCCCACCCCACCCCTATTCCGGATGGCCAAATGCCAAAACTGTGGCTCATTGCATTGAACTATATAATTACAGCCCACCCTGTGGCACTTAACTCACGGCCGTCCACTCTGAGCCCATATAAACTTTAGAATTGAGCAGGCTTACACGAGCGAGCTGTTTTGTTGGTTTCCTTTACGATGTAGGGCCTGGCACTTTTGGGAACGCATTTCCACACCGCTCCAGGCCCATCCTGCTGCTCGCCAACGACGAGCACAGAGTCGGACTGAGATCCTACAAAGCCGCAGCCACCAGGGCTCAATTAGCTCTCAGCCAGAGTGTGCAGCTGCCTATGGGCTCGACATAGTATGGGTAGAGAATACGTAAATGATGCTGGCTTATGACCCACAGCACCCTCAATCCGGGCCTGAATATCTCAGCAGGCGGCATTCTCTAGACACCATCGGCAGCAGCAGCATAACAGCTACCGCAGCAACAAAAGTCAGGCCTGCAAGCGGCATCCAAGTGCAGAGTTCTCATGCATGATACACAGGCTTAGCACGAGATGAACACGGCGCTGCACTCACGCACGCAGCAGGTTCTGCCTTGACACCTTGGGTGATCACTCCGGCTTATTGTCGTGTCATCTACGTCCTCCACCCCCTCCACTGCTCCTGCATGTAATGAACGTTGCCTCGTTCACTGGGACGTCACGCGGCACGCGACATTATTCCACGGTGGCAACCAAAGCCTGGTGCGATCGGGTAACGCTTTGAAATTGAGTGGAATATAAATAGACAGGTGAACGGGCGAGTGGAAGCATATCGGCAACTGTTTGGCAGATGGATATACAGTACATGGAAGTGGAGGGTTGGGGCTGTCGCTTGCCCAGTTGTTGCGCTATGAAACTGGTGACCCGGGTTGGATTACCACGCATGGCTAACATCAGTGGTGGAATGATATCGGAAGCGATCCTGGGTCCCTCTCCCCTTCACCAACTCGCACTAACCAGCGTGCGGTGAAACACGGGTCAACGAACTTCCACTGTCGATGTCATGGGCAGGCCTTCATCTACCAGTAAATAAAAAAGGAGCTGTCAATTATTCATGATTACATATATCGCACGATAAAAAAAGAAAAGTATATCATTAGACAACTCACAAAAAAAAACATTGACACACAACCAAATAAATAACAGAGACACTATTCTAAGCCAGGCACAAACTAACGTGTTGTTTCTCTTCAACGTGACTTTACCGAAAAAACTAAGAATATGAATTACTGCAGTCACGAAAGCTTTAAATCAAAATTTAACGTGGACAAGTTCGTGTCCTTATGGCCCTCCACCACCCAACAGAGCCAAACAAATCGAAATGCCTCGTTTGCACGCATATAATTGCGGCGTCGCGTTATTTGCTTACAGTTCAACGGGTCGAGTCCCAAATGACACAACCTCACAACAAAAATTTGGTACCGGAAACGCAATTTTTCCACTTCTGCAAGGACGGCAACACAGGGCTCGTGGCCGAGCGCGAAGGTGGATACCCTCACAATGAGCGCGGTCATAACGACCCATCGGTGATGCGCGTCGGAGATTGCTCGGCATTTAGGGGAACGCCGGCGATAATGAAACCCCTGTGTCGTGGCGTGGTTGCCTCATTTATCAGGGCCAGGCCAAAGCTAACCCCCATTATTAAAAA